AAGCGAGCCAGTTTATCAGTCTAAGATTTGATTCCACGACATGACATAAGCATAAATAACTAGGACGCCATTCATAGAGAACTACTGCAATGTACAGCAACAAGGAAATCATGGTCTACATTGTACACGTTATGTGTTTGTCAAGACAAGCCAGATGGCAGGACATGTGATTATTGGTGATTAGAGCCTTCGCATAAAATGCACTCAGATGACGAATCAGCGTAATTAAATATATCTGTGATTTTAGAGCCGGATTCAAATATTTGACCGCTCGTTAACAGTTAGACCTTTAATATCTACGCCGGTAGTAATAAAGCACCACGTTTTTTCTCGCAGCAGCATGTTAAAATTTTTGTCTTGGAGGTAAATAAACGGCCTTTGTCCCTTGTCGTTTAAAACAATTCCATAGTCTGAGCAGATAATCTAGCGCTTCAACAAGTTAACAGCTCCACACGAAGACCCACGTCACGACAAAGCGGCAGCTCTAATTGATTGATTAAAAATAAAACTAATTTTCAGTAGTCGCAGAAAGTCTACATCTTTCAATTCTGCCAGTAGCGATGGTTGATCGGGTGTGTCATGATTGCTGATTGGCAAGTTATTTTTTGTGCCAATTTTGAGATTTTGCGAACAAGAGCGCAATATTGAGCTTACCTGCTAGACTGTCCAGTGTGTTACAACAGCTGTGTACTTTGAAACAGTCACGGGACGTGTGTGTGTGTGTGTGTTGTGCCAAAACGAAACGCACGATTTTCATCTAAACTTGCTTGGTGTCTTACAAATATGACAAATCGATCTACATGCCCCTCTCAACCAGATCCCGCCATGGATTCGTTACTGGATAGACAATCTAATGGGTTTTCGGTTTAAATTTACGACTTTGATTATAATGCAACTGAACACCTGGGCATTAATAGCGCAATTATTCAATATATCCACGCAGAATATGATAGGCAAAGCCACCGTTAGATGAAGACGACAAGCACACACTGCAATGTTTCACCAGAAATGACCAATTTTAGTACTTAGACATCTTTCCATCATGCAGTTTTGGCAATTTTTATCCGCAAATTTGTCATTTAAAACCGTGTAAAGGTTTACTGGTCTAATGGTTACACAGCTATTTTGACAAGTACTGAAGTCGACGGATTCCTAACTAACAGAAAACCTGCCCAGTACTTGGATCATTTTAATTAAAAATCGCTGCAAAACCACTCAAACATGTTTACACTGCTCTTCTGCTATATTTGCTAGAAGTCTGAACCTTACCTCCAAGTTACTCGCATGGCTCTTTAATGTGAGTTTTTTAACTCACATAGAGAAACCCCTTTGGGAATAAATTATGATACTTCCAGCACCATCTGTCGATGAAAGTTTGTTGGATGAAGTGTCACATTCTCTGCTATAGACAGAAAGCTGAGTTTTCAGCTTCAATTTTAATTTAACTTGCAATTGTGTTAATGAATCGCAATAGTAGCTGCCAAATGTGTGCTGCAAAAACGAAAGAGGAGGTATCTATTATTGATTTTGACGTGGTTTTAATTGCCCTTAAACAAACCAAAATTTGCTCGAATAGAGAAAAATGCTCTAGAGGTCGATATTTTGATGTATATTAAATAAACGACGCATTAAAAGCCATACGTTAGACGTTTTGCGACTTTAAAGCTTATCCAAGATAGGTTAGCGATTTGCTAGAGTGAATGTGTGCCAGAACGACGCAATACCCATTTTAAAGTACTCATGAATATGAAAGATGCCTGAAATAAAGGTAACAGACATTTCTGACACTATTTACCGATAAATAAGCAGAGATTTGGAAAACTTTAATGCAAAAATGCCACTGGCCAGTTTCTTCTCATCTTATGTAACGGAGGCAATTTTGCGCGAGGACTTAATAACAGAAAGTGGCTGCTGATCGATGCCTTTTATTAAAATACTGTGTTCCCTTGCATAAAAAAATTGACCTCATCTCGTCACAAAGCATGCTTTATTAAGGAGCCTGCAAAGTGCCCTAATAGCTAGGGTAAAATGTGGCTAAAGGAAAGGTAAAACAAGCAAACACCACGATTCAAATTTTGTTAAAACCAATTGGGTGCCATGCCTACTTATTCTGTAGGCAAAAAATTAGAGCATGCATGCAATTTAAAAATGTTCCCACTGTTGCTATTTATTTTGTAGAAGAGTTCACGTTTTCGAACGCTGATACAAACACTATGCAAAATATTTATGAAAATATATTCCAAGTTTTGGAAAACGAGACGCTTTGAGCGTTGACTGTTTACTTTTGTGGAGCTGACTAATTTAATTTCGACTTTGTTATGGTAACTTTGACATCGCCATAAGCGTGGAAGTTGTTTGTGGAAATCTTTCACACTACAAACAATACTTGTGTGTGTTTTAAAGCAACTCCTCCATTTTTTAATCAAATGTGTGAAAATTGATTGATCACGTGTTGGCGTTCGAAGGTTTTGAAAATACATATGATTTCCATCGTAAAGTGTCTCCTAAAAGTTCCTTCGAGACTCTGAAATTATGCTTTATGGAGGTAAAATATGAACTGGACATTAATGATAATTTCTAATTACTTGTTTAACTCTGCCGTTCAACAATGCATATCGATTTTTTTAGGAAACATTTTTGAATTTAATTTTTACCGGTGATTTGAGGTTACTGAACGACAAGGCAATGAAATCGCTACGACAGTGTTTGTAAATCCATGAATCGTTCTCATTAAAATAAAGGCAACATACTTCAACAAGTAATTTTGCACTTTCGCTGACAATAAAATTTGGTATAAATTTGCTAATTATCCCCTCCCTATTTCTCGTCTCTGTAAAGCCAAGATCATGGACAAGTAAAACACAAATCGTCATTCTTTTGTAATACCTCCTTTTAACACTTTGAAAATATTTCTGTCGGTTCATAATTTCGAAGCGGTATTCGAAACGAACGTCCAGTGTATTTGATGCAGCTGTTTGCATCGGCATTTAGACATTATGACGAACCATTCATGCGAAAATTCACTGGCATTTTTCTTCATGAAGGGCATGTTCATCGAGTCAACACATCACCAAATATTCCATTTAAACTTTAAAAATGGAAAAATCAAGCACATTGCCGCTAGCGCCAAGCAGTAAACGAGCATGGAGACCATGACTGGTCACTTTACAATGAGACAACGCAATTCTCATCGACTTTCACTACAAACCAAAATCTTTGCGTGTTCTGCCATTCACAACAGTTGTCTCTGTTCTATGTATATAATGGCCGGAACCACGTAGCGGGTGTGCGACTGGAAAAAGTTGTTGTGAGAGCAAAACACACATTGAAAAACTCTTGGCCCATGTATTCCGAGCCCATGTAAGCTTTCTAAAAGCTGAAGTAACCGCATGTAAGATGAATTCAGGTTCATTTCATTAGCGCCATTATGCCTTCCTTTATAGTCCGTATATTCTACTAATCAGCTTTTGATAAAAACTAGCTAACTCACTGATGACAAAAGTAATTATTGATTGAATTGCTTTCTGCGTAGGACAGCATGGTTAAAAGTGTACAAGAATCACACAGTGCACAAATGGTTGCTTGTTCAGTACGGATTCATTTATTTGAACGAATGTGGTTAAAAATATTTACAAAAAACCATCTGATTTTGATGATAACATTCGCGCAAAATACTTCCACGATGCCATGCAGCACCTGGGAGTGAGTTGAATTGACCCAGAGAGTCACCGAACAACGGTTCTTGACCACCTAAATCTCCTTGATTTAATTGTGATTTAAAAAAGTTTAAAATATTTCGAAGTTTCATGACTCGGGAAAGAGGCCATGGAATAAAGATCTGGTATCACAGCCAAGGTTCACATGCGCATTCAACGAAACACATGAGTTCACCCTCGTTGGTAAACTCAGGTCTCCTTTATCGATGTTCCAGGTACCACAGCCCAAAGATCAGTGTCATTCCTCGTTGGGAAACAGTAACACACATTGTTCCTAGCGCACTCTTGTGTTCTGGACAATTGCAGCCAAAGTGGCAGAAAAACGATGCGAGCCACTAAAGAGTGGTACTTTTTCACACAAAAAATCACGTAGTTTCCTGAATCACGTTGCTGCCTTTAGGGCAATTTTGCAATCTGTCAGCAAAAAGATCCGTCTTGGTCACATGTTTTGACAGTTTTCAGTCTATTTCAAAGCTGGTAAAAAGGCCAAACTGAGCAGCTAGCAAAATTAGAAAGAGAACAAGTATGAACGAAAAAAACTAACTTTAGGCTATCACTGAAAAGTATTTGTGAAAGAGTAGAAGACCTAGTAGAATTCCTTTCAACCGGTACAGGATTGGCTACAATTACCAGTTAATGCAAAATGTCTTGCTTAAAAAAGAGTGATTATTTCTAGACCACTTTAGTTAGCCCGAATTGCATTTGCTCGACTAATGGAAACAAATTGACCTTCAAGACATCTTAATAGCACGTCAAAGAGGCTGATTCACAAGCCACCACGTTTCTACGTCACCAGAAACTGCAAAATTATGCAAATTTTGATTTTCAATAACGCAGTTTGATAAGAGATGGGGTTTGTCGAACCAGCGTATGGCAGGAAACTGAAATTAAAATGTTTCAATTTTTAATAATCGATTTTTAATGTTGGAATGCACAAATAAAATCAACCATAAGTGAGCGTAGTATGTTACTGCTGGATAAAAATATTTGTTTTTCGTGAAATTTCTTTGTCTGCATGTCACCAGAAAGGGCGCCTTATTCGGCAGACGAATGAGACCTCTAACATAATGCACAACTCACGAGGAGAGAAGTAGACTGTTTTTTTTTCTATTTTTCATGTTTAGACGCAAAGAAACGAAATTAGAGGCCCTATGACGGCGAAAAAATTATTCACCTTTCAGAAGGCTCATTTGTGACTGGCGCAATTAATGCCATCTACATTTATGCGTCAGAAGAAGTGATAATTAATTTTTAACCATAGGTGCAGTGTGTATTGGATTCAAACTAGGGTCCGTTAGTGAAGAATTTGCGTATTGCGCTCTCCTTAATAGAACGGTATCAGTAGGTCACATAAGGAATTGCTGGAGGTGGTTAGTTTATTGTGGATATCCAACCTTATCTTCCCCGAACGCTTGCGTAAATCTGCGTGGCAAATACGAGATCGACAGTGCCGTCATCACAGACGTGCATCTGCAGTCGCCTTCTTTTCATAAATTAACACACCTTTCAGGCCAACTGGTGAGATTACTGTTAATTTTTTTTTGAGCAAAAACATTTGCACTACACAAACGCTAAATAAAAGCTTGTGATATTTTAATTCTTAAGCAAATGTTTGAATGTGATTTCGAACCAAGTCCAAAAGTCTTAACAGTGATTTCAATCACTATTCAAAACGCATTCTTAGCAAGTTTAAATTTGTTGGTATTTTCTTTTGGAAATGTTGAACTGCAATTAGCAATTTAAGAACTGTGCGAATCTAAAACATCTGGAAAATAACAGAAGGGTGACGTGCTTCTGGGAAAAAGAAGGAACGATAAATCGTAAAACATCCGTTTAAGGACTTTATAAAAGTATTTCAAGTTAGTTGAAGTTTTAACATACAGATTGTTTACTCTAATAATTATACTTCATTTAAATTAAGTTTATTAAAACTACTAGTGCGTCCAATCTGTGTTCGGTAATGTTAAAAATATCGGATGCCTACAGCAGAATTCAACAAATAGGCAGTAACTTACGATTTTCCAGAATTGTTGTTCATGAAAGCACGAATGATTTAATTTGAATGTTGTACAGACTTCGTCCGGTGGACTAGGCACTTGTTCCACAACCGAGAGCGACAGCGATCCTGGAGGTGATGTGTCGAAACTGACGTTAAAATGAGCCGCAGCTGCGAAGTAAGCCGACACCGAATGCAAGCGTGAACTCCAGGTCAGTTCGCCTTTCTTCTGACACGGTATGTCAACGCCCTTTATAACACTCCAGTTAACCAACGGAGGAATGCTCAAGCGCCGCCCTAAGACGCGGTGGGTTTTGTGCTCGTCAAGGCAAATGGTGATCGAGGGCGGCTGAATGCCGTCCGTCAGACCGATCTGATCCAGCCGAAAGATGGTTTTGTGGGAGAGGTAATTGGTTGTAGTTATCGTCAGCATACAGACAATGCATATTAGCATCAGGATACTGCACACTGCATATATGACTCTGACTTTGCGTTTTGGATGGCACAACATTTTGACAACAGGAATAAACGGCGTGGCCAAGCCAGAGTACGACTTATCATGCCTTCGGTATTCCTCGATCTGTCTCCACCAGCGTCTGAATTGAACTCTGACGAAATCAAGCATACTGTCATACAGGCGTTCGTTTTTTGACTCGCATGCTACAAGATCCAAAGTTGGGTAGCCGGTTCAGGCGTAAGCACTTCGGCCACGCAATTGCCCCAGGTGCATGCGCATCCTTCATCCTGTAGTAGCTGTCACCATAATAATCAGGGGGCAAGACCAATCAGGGATATGTGAAGCGTATTCACACTTCCCATTGGTCTGTCAGCCTATCAAAATAGATGTGAAAGCCAAACGGAGTGCCTGTGTGCGCACGAGGGCACGAGGGTTAGCGCATGTCGGTGTTTCTGGCCCGGGCTATTTTGGCCCTGTTTCCAGACTTATCAGGTAATTTAAAAGCGGTTTAATGCACTAGCTAGACCGGTTTCAATCTGCTCATTTCGTCATTATTCTGAAAATTCCCCCTCGTAAATAATAACGATGTCATGGCTCTTCAAACAAACTACGAACATGCTTTTTGGGGGAGTGCAAAATGTACATCAAGAGAATGAAATCTTAAAAAAACTGGTGTTCCCTTTTGAAACCTTTTCTGCTTTATGAAGCAATGATTGTGGCAACGCCATGTCCTCATGTCAGTAATTTAACCATTAATTTGAAACATATTATAAGTCTTCGTATGTCACTTGACATCATGCTTGATTTTATTTCTTTCTTGTCGCCTATCAAGCAAACCTCAGGAAGTCATGAAAGGTAATGCTCTTAGTTTTACATAAAACAATGTAACAGTACTGATTTTGTTTAAATCGAACATGATTAAACGCATTAAATCTGAGATGTCTGCTGACTTGGTCTTAAAATTGATCAATCATATATTTTTATATTTATTAAACTGCATGTTGTCATGCACAACGATGTGTTCAGCTAAATCATTGGCGCTTGCATGTGACTTACTATTACGAATATAATGTCGGCAAATACGTTAATAATTTGTTGGGTAGAAAATGAGTTGAAAAAGTATTATGCAAGTATATAGTAGTTCAAGTATGTCAGTGTGACGAAAATAAAATAACGAGCATAAAGTTACTTTCCCTTTGCAACTTATAATCGTGATCTACTTAAAAATAATGTCAAATCTGCATAAATTAGTACGTTTAAAATTATACCATTTGGGGGCGTAATTGTAACTTCAAAAACATCGTTTAATGACCAAACGTCTACAAAACTGGTTAGGATACTATATAAAACAACTGAATTTTCGAAAAGTCTTTTGGATGACAAAGCATATTTCGTTTTGTAATTAATTCGTTTTGTTTCGACAGAAAATTTAACCAGGGAAAAATGACGAAAGTACCTTCTCTGCCGTGTTGTACTGCTTTTTGTCTCAAGCATTTTATAACCCCCAATGTCTGAAATTGATTGCACATTTGTTGCATTAAATTAGAAGACGCGCTAAAAAACCAGTGAAGCTGCAAATATGCTACACTTTGATGCTGTGTGCAGACTGGTGTCATAGGAACGCTGTGCGAACTGGTAACCAATTAAGAAGTTCAAACGTCAAAATAAGAAAATCATTAATTATCCATCCCGAAGTCCGCCTGAACAGCTGTTATTTACAAATAGCACTTGTGTCTTGCAACTACCAATCACGACCTGCAGCCTAACGCTCGACGGTCAATAACCGGCACTAGTGTACATCACCAGCATAACGGAGACACATAACTTGAGTGTTTAGTTCTTTATGTGAATCAGACTATGGGTCAGATTTGCCAGACACCGTCAAAACTACAGCCAAAGAATGCCGCTATTTTAGATTCATGCACAGAAACCTGACTCATGGTATAGGTATTCGGACAGTCAGCAACCAAACTCATGATCAAAATGCATGACCAAATGAAACAATCTGAAAAAGCCCACAAGTGCCCCCTGATTAAAATATTTTTAAAGCATAAAACTACTGAGAATTAGCCTAGTTTCCAGATATATGAACCTGATGTGATACTATCAGGAATACAAAATAAAATCAAATTTGCATCAAAACAGTGACTTTTTAAAAGTAAATATTGGTTTACGACTAACTGAACTACTTTAAATTTCAATATATCTGTTCAAAATAGCTAGTTTCAATATGATATGTATTGAATTGAATAGTCGTGCACATCGGAATTGCATTTAATGGTAGGTTTCCTTCGTAAAATACAACTCCAGAAGCCAGAGAGTCATGATACCCTTCGAGTTGAATTTTTGGTGAAATCTGTTTGCATTTTCTAGGATGTTCAAAGATACTGGGGCTTTTCAAATTACTGAGAGACTTTGATTCACGAAATTTCAAATCCTAGCAAATAACAGATTTGTGACCCTTTTATATTTAATAATGTTGTAGATACCATTTTATAATTCGTAGTGTCTTACTTAGTCACCTTTAATGCTTCAGCCAGAACCTTTTTCTGGGTTGGTACAGATATCCCCAAGTAGGATCGCTTCTTTGGATTCGTTAAAATCTTGAAGATGACTTAGATTACTCACAGATTATTTTGCAAATTCTAACCTTTGTAAATAACTTCCTGTTACTTGATCGGTCTGGTTCTTTTACCCGAGTCCCGCCTTAAGCGCAGATTCTTCACGTTTGTTTGTGATTTGGTTTTTCTTTTGTACTCTTATTTCTAAATACGCTGCATAAATATCCTAGGATTGATGAATGCGTTGCAAGTTTGCATGCCTTGAATAGCAAAAATTCGGTTGCGGTCTACACAAGTGCCTTTTTCGGCTATATTCGAAGACAAGCACCTCAACTTTCCAACACACTGAGTCATTGTCAGTGCTAAGGTTCGCCATATATGCAATGCTTGCCGATATATGATTCCTGCAAGACTATAACAATCTTACATAATCACGTGACATTAAAACGAAGTAGATATTCAATTGCCATCAAAGCTACCACTCTTAACTATGTCAGAGGAGGTTCAAATAGATTATATTGTATCGAATCATTATTACTTTTTAAAATCGTATTTTACCTTTAAAGTAAAACATCTGTTTAACGTCTCTAACCTCGCTTTCAACCTTCTCCTTTACACGGCAAGCCTTAACTTCAATTAAGTGAAACCTATTAAAAAGGAGCCCTGTCACCATATTTTCGGCATCTCTGTAGTCGTACTGGTTGAACCCGTTTCTAATAAGTTCGCAGCCATCAATTCAATAATGAAAATGGCCTTCGTGGTTGACCAAAAGCCTCATATTCCCGCCAAAAGATGCTCTTTTTAAAAATGTGTTATTTTACATTGGATTTCCTTGAATTAGTATCCCGTTTTGAGCCACCGGTTACTAAAATAAACAAGTTTAATTGCTTACAATTACAGTTAAGATTACAAGATTATGCTGTGATTCGTTTTCTGAGACACTACCAGTGCCTCAGTTTCGCGAAGCGCATCTATCAGAGTGTGAGATATGAGGACTGCCTTAACGCCAATACATTTTGTCGTTGATAAATCATTGTCTGATTGCGACTGACCATTGCACTACTCAACAATGGCTCTTTAACTTGACAATTCTAAGTGAAAACAACTACGTGTAACACTACCTGTCATAATCGAGCTCTTGGTTAGGGATGAGAGCAGACAACTTTGTATGAACAAAAGACTAAATTCGAAGACCAAAAGGGTGGTAAAATCTCTAGTACAATCAAATCCACGTCAAAGTAGCGTAAATTCCACATAGTACTTAATTTGTACTTAATACGTTTTAAGTAGAACTTGTTTCCAAAGTCGAACTGAGTCAAAACAAGGTTTAACAGAAATGCACTAAAACTAATTCAACACGTAATCGTAATAAGCAATATTTTCCACAAATTCAGTGCTGATGTATTCGGAATGTTAAATAAACAAGGGATGAAACCGCAATCAAGGGACATGGTCTTCAATTGACGAGTTTCCAAAAATATTTATGGGCATAGCTTGCCATTTTAGATCCTTGACATACTATATGAGTTCATCTGTTGCGAATTCTGTATGGCTTCGCGCTGGTTCAAGCCTGTACAGATAGCCTTATGTGATTAAACTATATTTAATGATTTCGATTTTAACTATCATTGCCAAAAAATTCTTCATTTTCACCGTCCTTCCATTAATAATTTTTGTTACAATAGTTAATTGCAGAAATATGAGTGCTGTTCGCATCACTTTTTATGCATATAATTGGATTTTGGGGACTTCGTTAGTAATTTCCGTGAGACAGAAGAGAAGCTGTATAGCAAAGAAGACAACAATAATGAAGAATCCGGAGTGCATTGATATTAATAATTTGCGTCTTTAAAATGAGTCTTTTAAGAATATACCATTTAACATATTCATGAAACGAATTTCATATCTTGTTTTTGTTGTCGTGACACAAACAAAACTAGAAAAGGTGACTGCCCATTAACCGATATGTTGATTGCAACTAATGTGACGTAAATATCCTGTTCCCTAATATGGTTATAATCAATTGTTGGAGCAATAAATATCTTCATATCATAAATAGATGCAAAAATAATCTGTAAATTTACAACAAGCAAAACGAAATATTGCCGATGGAATTATGAAATTTCAACACGTAATCTAGCATTCAGTCAAACTCTTCTAATTTTGTGCCTGTTTTATATTATTAAAAAAACAAAATCGTGGAATTTCCTTGTGGCGTCATCGGAAGGAATTGTTAATAATTCAGCCCTAAAAGCTCTTCCTGTCCATATTTTTGACCAGTGTTTTTCAAAACTTCAATCTCTTATGTCCTCTGCTCTTCTAATAATTTGTAGTCTGTTTAAAACGAATGTGTATGCATTTAATTAAAGGTCATAAAAAGCATGCCACTTTTCTAATATTTTGTAATTTCACGATTTAAATAATTTTCAGCATTTAAATTAACTTTATAATTGTTAGGCGTTTGTCAGTTTTTCAAGAGTTTTTTTTTCGATTGTTTTAAGAGGTTAGATATTGTTCCGATTTTTTGAAGTTTTTTCGTCAATCTTACTAGCCAAGATTTTCGGGCCAGTGCTTGTGCTTTTAGGCATGTCTGGGAAAAGAAAGCACGCACTCTCTGAGTCAGACTTTGATTACCTAAATGGTCTTGCTAAGGAGTATGCTAAGAATAATATCTTTGATGCTAAAGGAATAATGATTTTGTGTAAATCACTGTTTCCCAATAATGTCAGGGTTAAAGTATGTTTTCAGCTGGATTCTTCCATTTATATTTAGGTTTTGGAATACGAAATAGCTAAGGAGATGGGTAATTTTAAACATGCTTCTGGCATCCTTGCCGATAGCTACCATTTGAGAAATGCTCGATGGGAGGCCGAAGTAAACAATATTTTCGCTGGTTTACAGTCAGTTCCTGTCGATCAACATTACCTGAGTATGTCTCAATAGTTTCTCCCTAAGATTTGTCAGGGCTCTTTATCGCATTACCCCAACATTCTCAGGTGGAGGTGCTAATGGATTACTGTTCATCCTCTTTAACTACTGCATCGTCAAAAGCTGAATTTCTTCTTCGATTTGTTACTGAGAAGTTTGAAATTCTCGGAGAAAATAGCTTTATTGGGTCGCTGTTTGATAATCTTATAGAATTACTGATGGTGGCGGAGATGGAGCACTGGCAGTCTTTAAACCGTGCTGCAGAAATGGATGCTCAAAACCAGTCTGACTCTCCCATAAATGAAAAACAAATTTCTCCCACCGTGTGTACCGAAGACATTCAACAAACATCAAAAGATTGTTCAGGTTATTTGGAACCCGATGAAGGTGAAGAAGGCGAAGTATTAGAAGAGGCCGATGACGATGATGGAGAAGTTTTAGACGATGATGATCTGGATAATCACAATCCCAATTCACTTGGTGGAAAAAATTCTGCGAATCAGACGTTTAGTGTTCTAAATGTGCATAGAATGAGACTCGCTTGCGATGTCCTTCCTTTGGTCCATCGCGTAAGTATAGCATTGTATTTTCGTGAATTAACTTGAGATTTAACTAAATGAATTTAAAACGCTTTAGGTTCGGGGCACGATCAAGTTTAGCAGTACACAACTACAGTCATTAGTTATTAATGCCTTCCAGTTCTTGCTTACATTTGCTGCCCAAATTCCATTTACTGATGACGGTTTTCCGGAAATATCCGGAGCATCGACACCTCTTCCCGAACTCCTTAAGCTGGATCCATCAAAGTACCTACGCCTCTTTCTAGATATGGCAGCTGATTTGCTCAAATGGCCTATAAGTGGCCCTTCATTTCAAGTACAACCACGCTCTGATATTTTGGAGATGCTTCAGAAGTGTCATCGTGTCTACAAAGACTTGGAACATGATTTCCAGCGCCAAAAAGCTAGCAGTGGCAGCATTAACAAAAAACGCAGCTCATCTACTACACAAAAATTGTCGTCTGCAGCGAGCCAGATTGTTTGTACGTTGTGGGCACTGTTTGTTGAGGTTGGCGTTGCCTTCACAAAGGAGTCAAAAGCGCTTGCCCGGATTCCCTTCGATATTAGTACACTAACATCTCTGGACAAGTGCAATTTACCGAATGACGATGCCCTTTCAGAACCGTTGTTGATGCTTCAGTCGCTATGGTCCTTGCGAACACTTTACAGAACCCAGAATAAATCGCCTGTGTGTAAACCGCCATCCCATCAATCAGAATCTATTCTGGAAAGCCTCGATGCTTCTCTTCAACCTCAAGATGGGGCACATGGCCTCAAATCTGGTTCCCTACTTGAGTTTGTGGTTCGGATTAACTTGACTATGGCTTGCCTTATTGATTCAAGCTTTGATTTCACGTGGCATGAGGGAATATTTTCAAATTCCAACTTATTGTCTCGTGCCTATAGTCAAGAACAGCTACTGATGATTCAGTGCTTACTGGATGTTGTAAAGCTCCATCATGAAGCTCTTACTCACTCCAAACCTCTGGCTTCCGAACGCTCCCGTTTTTTGCTCCGCGTTCTAGATATAAGGATAGACGAAGCCACAAACCTTAATAACTGGACAAAGTTTTCCAACAGGGTTATTGGCCTGTCAACCACGTCGTTCGTCGCTACATTTGAAGTGTGTTTGGCTGTGCTTGAACAGTGGCTGATAGAAAATGTCAAACAGAATACTCATTCTATCACCATCGCTTGTATAGCCTTCGTTTTACATCAGAATCCTCTGTGGATGAGTCTACCAAAAAGCAAGAATAGACCCGTAGATGACGTCATATCGTGCTTGTTCTCAAATTGGCGAACAGCGCGAAGACTATTTACCGAATGGTTAAAGTCGGGGTTTATTTGCGACCCGAACTTGCTTACCCAGTTAGTTCGAATGGAAAATAGCTCAAAAAAAGTAGAAAGGTAAAGGAATTCTTTGATCTGTATTTCTTTCGCCTGAACTAATACGGAGTTTTACTATTTTAGTGATGTTAATGAGTTTTTGGACCTTTGCTTCGCCCTTATTCAGGCCCCAAACCCACCTGGTATCACATTGTCTCTGGCTAGATTTATCAAGCAGGAGGCAAACCATATTACATCATGCATAAGCGCTTGAATATAAGCGATTTGTACATATATATTTTCAGAAAAATTCAAATCCAGTTTCCGATGGTCAGTTTTGAATTGGGGTGGGGTGGGTTTGGTCGCGTCGTCAAGAGTGCATGCAGCGCTTTTCGACTGTGTGGAAGGTGAAGTCGATTTCCATGTTTAATCGTTAAAGGATCAGTATTTAACAGTAAAGACGATTCAAGTATTTGGTAGAGCGACGGGCCACTTTTCGCAGTGACGACTGTGAGAGAATTGAAAGATGAGTACAGATTAATTATTTGGGAAAATGTCCCATTGAAATGTAGCCACCTTGGAAACTAGACGGGGTGGTTCTAATCTCGGTGTCTCACGTTTGGGTGCATATTCTATGACGCCTGCAATTAAGTGACCGTAAATGTGTTAACATACTTGAATTAAGGGTGACACGGTAGTTCCGATCACTTCATTGCTTTGATTTGTTCTAACTAAAATAATACGTTTAATACACCAGAACCTGGATGCACATCCTTCCCAGTAAGGAAAGTTTGTTTCAAGTCTTTGCAAATAATCAAACTAGGCCATAGGAAAGCATGACAAGGTGATAAAGGGGTGCCAAAGGTATTTCGTTTAATTGAGTCGACTTCATAGGTATCTGTATCGTTTCGAAAACCTTAGCTCAAAGGTTTATTTCATTGCTTTTTTTTAGTTCTTAGTATATTTGGAAATCAGGTCCCTCAGCGAGTTTGTCAAATGATATTCTAAACTTTTATTTGGTATTATTCAAACGCCACAACCCTTGGGGAACTTACAAGAGATCATAAAATTAAGAATGCCTTATTGTATGCCGCTAAAAATTATTTTGATTTTAAGCCGTGTAATTTTTTCTAGTTGTTTTATTGTATCAGAAAATCGGGACCGTACTCCAGCAGCATCTTATGATTTGGTTTCTGGCAGTTCATCTCTGCGATTTGTGTGTTGGGAACCGTTTTCTTTTGCCTTAATAGCTACTAAAGTAAGCATTGACAGTGCTACATTTAGAGCAGGCTTTAGGTTGCATTGGATCGTAGCTCGGTTTATCTGGCACTTTTAACACTTTTTTTGTTACGCGTTGTGAAATCGCAAACCACACACCTTAGTCCTTTATCACTCAGTTCATTTTATTTTTTTGGCTTTTTAAAGACTCTGTATTTGACAAGATAGATTTTTTCTATTGAATTAAGTTCATGGTTACGTTGTGGTTCTGGTTTTACTATGTTTGCCAGGTCTTTACTCATATTCTTGCACTTAATATGCCCAGTTTTGATCAATCACACCCTTAATTGGTCTACCAAAATGCTGTGATCACCTCTTTTGAAAATAAAGATGTAGCACTTCCAGGCATTCGTTCAACTGTTGCAATGGTCAGGTGGAACGCAGCAGTTGGAAATAACAACAATTTATCATGTGTGAATTTATTTAGCGGTATTTAAAATACTTCGTGGTCAGTAAATTTACACCTATTAAGCCATTTAAATGTCAAAATGTGACTTTAATTCACTTTGGAACTTTCTTTTCCCTTGTATTGCCTCTGATGCCGAACTTTGAGCAAACTCCGATCCTTGTAAAGTGGCGAGTGTCCACATTCTGACCTTTCGATGAAACAATGTTGATCTGACAAATAATTTTATTTATTATTAACATATTGTATTTAACTTGCGCCTCCAATTTCGTAAAATCCGTATTTTTAGATGGCACGTGTCGTGTCTGTATTCGATGCCCTAACGACAAGTAGTCGCAGAGACCGAAAGGTATTCTATTTTTTGTCAAAGTATCCATCATGTAGGTCGTTCTAAGTCATGCTATTAATGCTCTTAAAACTACTTCTGTACGCAAGTATCTGTACGAGCAAAGTTGTGAAAAATGGCTTAAACAGGAGGCTGGTGTCTTCACCTGGAAGTCCGTCTGTGATAAAATCGTGCGCACTCTTCAAGATGAAATTCACGTAATGGCTACCAGACGAACTGCTAAAATTTCCATAACGCCTGAACTCTCCGAGTGCTTTCGCCTATTAAATGTTTTCTTCTCTTGCGGCTTGCAGAGTTTGTTGCCCTTCGGTTGATTATAATTTTGCTCATAGCTGATTTAAATCTCCAAGTTACCGACGTTTTGCGTTTTCTTTTTGGTCTCTTATCCGACTCGACTTTGCTTTCCTTGCGATCCTGCATAGTTGACTCTATTTCATCTTGTTTGTGGTACTTGCCTTCAGAAACACAGTCTTTTGACTCATCACTTCTTTTAAGTAAGCTGGACTTGGTCTCAGCACGTTTTCTAGGTCTTCAAAAGTGGTGTCTTAATGAAATGCAGAATGCACCCTCTGGTCCCGTGGTTCTGCTTCTTTGTCAAGCACTTGATGTCTGTATCCATTCTCCGGAAATCCTCCACAAGAATATTATTTCATTTGTAGAGGGCGTGCTTAATTGGTAAGTTCATTTAACCGACGTACTTACTGTGTAGTTTTGAATCTGGGTGGTCGGATTCACTAGGATTGGGTTGGTTTCTCCGGCTATTGCGTTGGGCCGTTGCGGAGATTTGCACGACACCGGAACTCCGCAGATCGATTATTACGTGCTTCCTCAGGCGCGCAATCCTTTTGTTCAAACTCTGGCCAAAATTCCGCGAGACTGGTGGCCAGAACGGATCCGCGTCTCATCGACCGCCACCTGCGGAGGTTACGGACCATAATTCGTCCACATTAGCTGGCATAGTACGATGAAATTCTTTTTCTTCCTATGTCGATTTTTCGATTATTAAAACGGGCCTAGATATGTACCCATTCAGGTTCGCTTAAAATTTTCACTCGCCTCAAGAAAAAGTTTTTTAGCTCTAATGGTTGATATTATGAACATTTCTTGCGCTCAGTTGCCATTGACCTCTCAAATGTTATGTTTTTAATTGACTGGATTAATCCCGTTATCGGCTCACCAAGCTAGCTGATTCTAACTATTTTGCAACCAAAAATACTCGCATATCTGCATCATCACATTCCCCTAATTTATATTATTTTCAACTCACAATGTAGGTCAGTGGCTGCCTGGATGACCCGTTCGCTCTTGATGTGTATTTTGGCACCTCTCCGACAGTTGAAAACCTCTTCACTGTCCCTGAAAGTTCTACTGAATGCTCCCCAGTTCACTTACTTGGTGATGCCTGTTTTATTGTTGAAAAGAAGCCGACATTGCTGCCAGAGAAAACTGGTCGTCGACCTCAAGCGAATAGCATTGATACGGGACGCGAGTTACTGGCTTTTTGCCGGTGGATTCTAACACATTGTGTACTTTTAAAGACGGATGACATGACTAACGATTTGAGGTCATTTTTTAACCTTCTTGTCAACTACTATGTCACAGAATGGCGTAGGTCTGTTGATAGAATGCGTTTCCAAGCCGAGGATTCGCATTATTCACAGCTGTCTGGGATGCAAGATTTCTTCTCAACGTTCAGCGCACTTCTTGTCGCCATAGAAACTTTTGAAATGGTAATCTCCCGTTATTCTTTATCCACGTCTAAAGACCGAACTCTTGGATCCACTAAAAGCAATATCATTTGAAGTTCCGGGACCCTGGGTCTACCAGTCCCTCTCAAAAGCCTTGGTAGGCGACGGCGATGTCAAATGGCTCTGGTAAGTGTCAATGCTTATTTTAGACCTTAGAAGTTCCACACACGAAGCTAGTGACATCCCCTTAATGCCCATGCATTTACGACTAACGTTTTTTTCCTAAACTGTCAGTCTAATTAATGCTTTTTAGCGTTAGAGAGTAAGCCATGACATCTTAAGTTAATTAGATGTCCGTAGAATAACCGTTTTTACTACTCGTTTTTGTTTCGGTTAAAACGTGCGACCTTTTCTGCTTGGTCCCACAGGTGGCCAGTATTTGACTGGATGCTTCGATTTCAATGGCAGGCAGCTATTACAACAGAAAATTTCCATAATTTAAACTGCGACATTGCTCTGGACGCAATCTCTGAATCGCTCGGTTCTGCCAAGAAGTATGCCTCCACATTTATCACATTGTCCACTAGTTCTCTAGCCATTGAGGTTGCACTATCAGCTGCTGTAACTGGGTTGGCTATTTCTACTTATTGTGCAAAGCACCACCTCCAAACCATCGATCGTCATCTGTGTTTTCTTGACAAAATTTGGGACCAAGCCTTGGAGTAAGTCTCGCGCTACGAAATGGATCTTCCCGTTGATGAACCTGATTAGGCATTGTGAATTTCAGGTGGTTTGAACAACTTCTGGCGACAAATACGCATGAGGACTCCCGGTATAAAAACGATAAACGTCGTGCTCTTTTGCACGATAGACTAATTTGTTGTCTCGTTGAGCATTTGCTCGGGCTCGATTCAGTCATCTTCGCGGGTTACTCGCCAACATCAACTCGGTTCCGCCATCTCTCTCGACTGTGGGCGGTGCTTTTTTCAATCCCCGTATTTGGCAACCCCGTTGTTCCCTGGCGCTACCGCCTAGCTGTGTCGGCGTACTTTACTTGGCCCAAGGCCTCAACTGAGTTGACCCAGGAATGCTGGACTGGAGGTGAAATTGATCACAGTGTACCGCCGCCTTTGGTGTTTCTTTTTGCCCACTCCTCGTCCTCCTACATCCTGCGTTATTTTTACCTCTACTGGAGTTTGCCACCACTTCTCTCTCCCAGCAAATTTAATTACTTAACGATTTCTCGATCTAGTACAGTCCCTGTGTTGGGAGAAAAGTACGTAGACTCGGTGCTTGAATTAGTTCGCTCCCATCTGGTGGAACCAGCTGAAATTTGGAGTCGCATGTTCTTCTACTTGGTTTCAGCGAGATCAATTCAAGCTTCATCGGTACAAGAAATGGCTGAATACATATTGGTAGACGTGAACCAACGTCATTGTCTTGCAGAAACCCTTTTTAAATTGCTCCCCAACGTTCCGAAGTCGCAGTGGCCGAGATGTCTTGAGCAGTTGGTACTGGATCTGCTTGTCCACAAATCATCCGATGGGTTGGCACCGAACCAACGCGACCGAGCACTTCAACTGGAGTTTGACGACGAAGTCTCCCAGACCTCCACGGAGAATTTGACCGTTGATGTTGGAGAAAATGTTGTCCCGAGTAATCTGGACGCAAGACTTCGTCTACCCCTGGCTGCATTTTTGCATCCTGAATTGCTTTTGCTGACTGTACGAAACTTGCACAAAATCATATCCCAGCTGACTTGGCGAAAGGCCCAGGACACGTGGTGGCTCGTGGCGTTCCATCGGCATCTACGAAAAGCCCGATTTCCGCCAATTGGCGATGAGAGCGTCGTCGAGTTATTCTGCTGTCTCATCGACGCCTTAAAGGATGCCTTGAAAAGTCAGTTGCTTCTGAAGAGGTGGTCACTTTTTCTCTCACTTGTCAACGCTTTGAACGACTTTGGTGGTGCTCTCTGTACTTACCTTGAGGATGCTGAGGATGGGGTTCGTGTTAACGACATTTGGCAGCAGGTTGCCGCACGGGTCATAAAGTTGGCAGAAACGGCGTGGCTTGCAGGCGGGGCAAGGTGGCCTGGGCTTGAGGAGAGCTTTGCGCCTCCCTCCCTAGCCTCTGCCTTCTGTGGCACGCTCCTTGTCTGGGTTCGAGTAAGTTACCAATCAATTCTACGCAGTGAACATGTATTCCTACTTATAATTGACAGTAACGTGCTTCGATCAAGCGATATTTTAAATTTGGGGCTCAGCTAAAATCATCAACATAAGTGCCAGCAAGCATTACTTTAGTTCCCAAACACGCCGTTTTTGTACGGATAGAAGTGGTGTTGGCGGTAAGTTAATGAAGGCTGCACTTAGGCGGAGCATCGACACTTGATCTTGTTATCTTGACGATAACTGATAAATCCAGGCCGAAAGTTATTTTGGACTCATTCGCAGTCGGCTGTGTGACTCTGGTTCGGATTAGGGACAAGCGGCGCAAAAAGGGGGCGTATTAGAAGAGGTGTATTACGGCGTCTGCGGCTTTGCACAGTCCTCACGAGTGTCCCGCGTTTAGTCTCTCTCTTGTCTGATGACTTGCTAACGTATCGCCTGTTTCTTTGTAGCTCCATTCCCTCAAAGTACTGGATGATGAAGTCCCGAGTATCCCACTGGATACCTTTTTAATGCAGGGAAACCCGAATACGTCTTTTCAACCCTTCCTATTGCTTCAATGGTACCTATTTTTTCTTAAAAATGACATTTGCTTTAGCCTGACAAATGCATCAAGAAGCAGTGTTCTACTCTTAACCTCCAATCTAATCGGTCTGTTGTCCAATAGACCTCACATGGACTCGCCATCCCTCCTTTATACCCTTGATTCCCTCTTGTCCTTATTGGTGACGACTTCAAATCGATTTGACGGAGGCTGTGGTGATTGTAATTGTCAAGCCAACGACATCACCCTCTCGTCCTCGCAATCACTGCCTCCAAGCAAGCCCTATGCCCTACTTTCGCTTATTGTGTCAGTCTGCTGCTTGCTCATCAAACACGTCGCATCTGGTAGTCTCCTTCACCAGGTTCGAGTGCCGCTTTCATTAAAAAAAACCCTAGGTTTTCCTCAGCCGACTAGCTGACAACAACGGGAATTACTTTGAACTGCACATAAAACCATACATGATGCCTCTCTGTCTGTGGGAGATCTCCGGTGGTCATTTTGACCGAGACGTGCATCTGCAGGAGTTCAATTCTGCGGCTTTGGCTTGGGGATATAAGTCGTTTGAGGACTTTGTGAGGTACGTGCCTGAGACCTTGTGAGGTACATGTCGTTTTAGCCAATCGCAGGAATACGGAGCATTCTTGAGGCTTACGGGAGTCGAGTTTTATGCGGGTAGCTCCACACGCACCTCACACATCTACGTCGCTGCTCACTTGTTTTCCAGAGATCAATTTCCGCAGTTTATGAAGTCTCTCAAAATCGAGGATCAGGTGAATTTCGTCTCCTTGTGGATTATCATAAGAAGAACTTTGTCTTTTGCCAGATTTTATTGCGTTATTTCAAGTCCTCGTGATTTTCTCTGGGGTTTTTAACTTCTTTCGTAACGTTTAATGTATTGTTTACCATCTCGTATTTTACCACCAACAGAAACATAATCTAGGGTGTATTTAACAAAATTGGAATGCTTTTATAGGTGCACCTTATGCATCGGAATGGGATTCACTAAATTTGCTGAATTCAGCAGCGTCCCTAACACTCGGATCGTTAACTTCGGGAACTCTGGATTCATGTTTTGTGGAAGCGCAACTCTATTTGGCGCCTTGATTTTACTCTGTTTATGAATCCAGACTTATATAATTTGCGTCTTTGTCCCTTCAGAAGGGTTTCAGGGCCCTGCGTTCTGTGGAATCCGTAGTAGGTGTCGTCGCAAACCTCATTCGTTTCATCCTTCTCTTTGTGGGTGACACCTTTGCCAGTCTCGATCGACAATCCGCTCTGATCTCGTGTCAACTCATCTCACACCTGACAATCCTGTTTCTTGAGCTCTTTTCGACTAACCCGACAGACGCCACAAAACTCCTCCTCCCACCTTCTCCCATCGCCGTTGACTACGTGGTGAAGACCGCTGCACAGCTTCTCACACAGGCCGTCACACTCAACAGTGAATTCTTATTGGTAGGCTCATTTGGGCTAATTTATTTCAACAAAATTAAAGCGGTTTCCCTGTAGTTTGTCAGTTCTAGTTGAGATTAATCCCGGGCATGACTTCGGCTTAAGAGTTCGTACAGGTGGGGGGGAATGGGTATTTTTGAAAAGGTCAATGCTTGGTGTAAACCAATCAGATTTAAAGAAACCAATAACATGTGGGTGTCAGAGCTAGTGTGGCAGGTTAACTGTACCGACTAAACTTTAGAATCAATCTATTGCGGTCCTCATTTTCAGGCCTTTGTGGGCTAAGATGTCAGTTGATTGCCAATCTGTAAACCATGTTGGCTCTAAGGAAATTTCTGTGCGACTGTGACTCGTGAATACAAATGTTGCAATTTGCATTCGTTTATTCGCTCTGTACCCTTCGCTGTTGTCTAGACTCTGTCTGACGCCATCATGGAAGAGGCGAGTCGTTTCTTGGACAATCCGCGACTCTCAGAGACCGCCGCCTGCTACGATGTTCTCGGAGGGGAGTGCGTGCGTGTCTGTGTGTGGCTGGGTCTTGCCCGCTTTTTGGCTCTGTTGGCTTCTTCCACGCAGAACAAGCCCACCTCGAGCAATGCGCCCTTCGCAGCCTATCTCAACTGGCGCCTCATCACAGTACTCATCAGTCTCATTGATGCGGAAATTGAAAGGTAGTTTCGGCACAACTAAACTTCTCTTACCCAATAGGGATCGGTTATCGACTATTGGTTTCTTATTAACTGCCCTGTCGGAGATTTTGGATTTACTTGTGGATGACAACACGACTTCTGAAGGCGATTTGGTAGGCCCACTTTCTTCAGCATTGTTTTGTGCTTGTTGTAGTTGGAGATTGCCTGGCACAATTCGACTGTGTATATGTTGTCAGAGGTAACATCACGGTTATCGTCTTTACCAGACGACGTGCATCTGGAGTTTTTGGAAAGGGTAACTTAACTCGGGTGATTGGTTTCATTGCGTAGATCACTCCAATTTTGGATAGACTCTTTCATGTTGGCGGTGGCTGCCGCTTCTCCCCGGCCATCTGCCTCATTGACAACTTCTGCAAAAGCAGCATCCTATTTTCGACCTACCAACCTCATCTCAGTCGGCACTGTAAGTGCAACAGGATGGACGCGAGTGAGGTAACTGTTCAGTAATCTCAATGGCCTTTCCAGGAAATTCGTCGATTTCTCAGGTCTCTCAATTGCCTTTGCCACCCTCGATTGGTAAAGTACCGCGCAGCGGGGATTCGTCATTTGACGGCACTGCTGTCACCAAATCGAGAGTACACTGCTGCAGAACTGCATGAGCGCCTAGCTAAGGTGCCATTCGAACGTGATGACGCGAAAGCGCGTTTGGTGGAGGAATCCTGCCTGCAAGATTGGGTCCCGCCCGTCACCGAAAACCCCACTCTGGCTGTGCAAATTGAACGACTCAAACAGACTCTTCTGGACTTGCTCACGTCAACCGAGGGTGTAGTCGTTGATCCTGCTACCAGCCATGCACTGGGCGACTGTCTAGTCTCCTTGTCTACTCGTTCTGGTATCGAGAAAAGATGCGTTAATTCTGCTAATGTGCCTAAACCCCTTTTCACTGGTGATTGCCCCAATCCCATGGCAGTGGAACAGCTTAACTCGGTGATTTTCATTTCAAATCAAATCGTGTCTCCCAGGTTAGTTGTATTCACCTTTATGTACCTACGCTCTTTTACTGACCAGTTTGTGATTGTGTCGCCACACAATACAACATCAATATGTATTCACAGCGTCTTCTGGACCTCAAGGTTGAAGGCTTGCGAATCACAAAATGTGCCTATTTCAATTTGACTTGATCTGAATCAGTTACTTGACAAATATGTTCCCTGCCATCGTGAAAACTTTTTGAGAACTCACTTAGATTTCAGAACTACCCTACCGTAGACCAATTTATGCTATTCAGCCCTAAATCCCCAAAACCGATGTGTGTTCATCATCAGGAATCAGCAATTCTAGTTATTTTTACACATTGCAAGAACGAGTACATTTAAGAACCAATGAGGCAATGCCTTCCTCCTGACACGTTTGCCAATGTGAGATCATGCTCGTCAGGCTATTGGCTGATTCTGTATAACCCGCCAATCGGAAATTTAATTTCTTGGGCGGTTGCCTCCCAAGACCCTCCGCAACATTCAAGGAATTACCGTCTTCCTGAAGCATATCTTATTGTTTATTTTGATTCTTTAGAACCGTATTTTCCCAACTTGGACCCCAGTGCCTTCGTGCTGTTATGGCCGACCCTCGGCTGTTGTCGCTTCTCTTCGGGAACCTAAATCTAACCACAGAGCAAGAAGCCTGCCTTCTTACAAAGCTCGCACCGTACTTGGCTCTCGATGAAATAACCGCTTTGAGACGTTCAAGGACGCCGGTAGGACGTGCTGTAGATAATTTTCACCATTTTCAGTCGGCACCGAAATTTGTATTTAAAAACATTCCCGAACATATGCTGGTGGACCTGTGCTCTCAGGATCTAGTCAATCTCGTCTCAAATTGCAACAAACAGCTGGACGATATGATTATTGAAATTGTGAACTGGCTGTTTGCACAGGGTTTGGTCTTGGACGAATTCTTCTTGGCCTGTAAACCACTCCTTCTTTCTGAGGTACCTGGTTCGTTGATTTGCTCCTTTCCCCACTTACTCTTGAGCCTCAATTATGATTTGTTTTATTCTTAGGTCTACTTGGCAAAACGTCTCCTACCCTGGATTTTTGCCGTTCTCTTTACCAGCTTGAAGCTCTCGGGCAGCACCCGTGGTGGTGGTAAGGGTGTCGAGAGAGCCCTCTCGTGCCTCCTCGCGTCACTCAACTCCCTCCTCGAGCACCACCCTCAACTGTCTGGGTTTCTCCAGTCGGTCTTGATTGCGCTCCACGCATACTCGCAGTGGTTAATCCGATCGGGGTTTGTTTATTTTGGCCTCGATTTTTTTGCTACATGTGCATCTTTGTAACACAAATCCCTCTCTTCTCGATAGTATTGCTCGCAGTTTGGAGTGGGAATTCAATTGGCTTTTGGCGTCGAAACGAGCCCTCGAATCAGGGTCTTCCGAAGCTGCTTGTCTCCTCTTTGAATTGGAGTGGATGAAGCGGTGGGGTGCTCTTTAGATGTACAATTTATTTCTGTCATTTTGTTTCAAAACATGCCTCAGAATTTCAATGTGTACACGTGAATGCATTGGTCTCTTGCATCCCAAGGCGATTGTGATTCCATGCACGGATATGTCTTCTAACCGGATGTCTTTATCCTTCTTTAAAGTTAATCTCATTTTAGACCCGAAAAATTGCTTCACGATGCCGCGTACCAAAACCTGTGGATTGACATCTGTGAGTCGCGGGGGGACCTTGTAGGCTTGAAGGCCGCACAAACTGCAATGGCGGAGTCGTTCGATCGTTCGACTGCCGGAGCGTCGCTTGAGGACCGCTTCCGGTAAAAACACTTGTCTATACTTGCTTGACTTGCTGATACTTGCCTTATGTTTGCCCTTGTGCAGGTATACGATCGTCCACCAATCAAACACAGGTTTTCAATTTTGCTGGGAAATGATTGGCTATCTTACGCCCTGTGTTCTCCCAACCTATCGGGAACCTCGTCCCTCGTATACCAACAAGCTAGTCTGGATTGGTCCAGTTGGGTTCTCGTGTTGCATGTCACGATTTTGTGGAATCAAAGAAATCGTTGAATATCGCAACCCAGTTTGTTATCGTGACCTCTCTCGAGGCACTTATGATGCCCAAATACCCGGTTAATTAACCTCACACTTTGAAATAAAGAACAACTTGCCTAGTGAAATCGCCCAAATTCCACTTGGTGTAATGTATGGCACCAGATTTTGTCGTCTTCGACGAACCTACTTTTTGGAATGTTGACATAAATTGCGTCGAACAGCATTGCTTCCACGTCCCCTCGGCTTCAAAAGATCTAAACTGTAGCCTCATCCTTCATTTGACGATTCTGTTGCATATCTCTAGCTCTTCTGAAAACGTTACTTAATTGCTCAACAGTAGGTGCGGTCATTTAAACGAGGTATTTTATCCATTGCATTTTGCCGAAAAATTTTATCTATTTTGTGACTGCGATACTCGTCCTTACAGATGTGCTATCAACAAAACTAACGGTCACTGGGGACTTCTTCAGGCGGATAGGAAGCTCAACGCCGGGGAAAACAATGATGGCATCGTGGAAGTCCTTCTGCAACTTCATCGTCTTGGTGCTGATAACGCCTTCTTTGAATTTGCCTCTGGTCACTTGAGTAAGTAATACGCTACTGCTGTTCCTTTTCACCCATCAGATACACTCCTACCGTTGCTGTTTTTTTACGTCAGGAAGTTTGTGGCAGTGTAGACCTTGTAAGTCGCCGAACTCGCCAGGCTCGATGCTTGTTTTCGTCAATTAGGTTTTGGGTTTGTAAGTGCAAACATCGCTTCTGCCTAGTCTAGGCTAGACACCGAGTCCTCGTCTACCGAATTCGATTGAATAAGATCTCGAGAACCGCTTTCTTGCTATGCATCACAGCTAATCCTATTTCTGTATTCCTTAAACAACATTTTGACCATTCGTTTTGTATTGGGATCAGTATCTATGCTTGTTCCGAATTACCGGCACCTTCGGCAGATTTATGCCATTTCACGTAAAAAGATCGTTGGTATTTGTTGTAGTATGTTACGCATAGCGAGAAGCTTTAAAATTTTGTCATTAATGTGGTGATTTCTCGGTCTCCATGTTTTTTTGTTCGCACGGGGTTGCTCTCATTTAGTCCAATTTAGGCAATGCCACGTTTTTTTACCATTTTTCATGGTCATTCTATGCTGACTGATTGTTCTAGAGATCGTCATGTCCCCAAATTTAATCCCTGTGGTATCTTCTCCCTCAAGTAGCTCACAATTTGGAACTCCAACCGGCTTTGCTAGAAGCCAGATACCAAGTGTCGTGGCGCACTGGTGTCTGGAGACTTCATACGTCACCCACCGTTCCCAGAGATTCCCGTCTACTTGATATTGATTTCAAGTGTCTTAAGGGTCCTAGGGTCTTGCCTTCACCGTCTCCTTTGGCGCTACAACTTCTGACCGCTCGAAAAACACTCCGTATGTTTGAGATGCTTGCTTTAACACGAAATACCCAAGTCAATATCAATTGCCAACTTGTGACCCTTGATATCTTAGATGAATCACCCGGTTTGGGAGAGGTTAGACGTGAACGACTCTCTCGGTTGGGTCAGTGGGCAGACGTGGAGCCGCGTTCTTCTCATCAGGTGGAAGACGACAAATTGCTTCACTTACTGCGTTGTGCTGTTTACCGGGAAGATTGGAAACTGGTGTCAGATATGATTGACGATCGTCGGTATGTATTACGTGTCACTTTTAATTTCCCTCAGGACCAATTTTTCGAATTAAACAGCCTCAAAAACGAGTAAACATTGATGATTTATTGATTTCAGGGCAGCTTCGATCCGTTTATTATCGAAGGATCCGTCGTACCTTCAATCATTTATTTCTGAAACGCACGCACTACGGGTCTGGAGCCAAGTATCCCGTCTTTTGTCCACCCAACCAAATTCCAGCGAAAGTAGGGTGGCCTCTTCGTTGCTTCTTCTGCAGGCTTCCATCGAGGAATTCGCAACTTTGGATGCAACTACTTCTTCCCCGTTCCTGGAAGCCTCCCTCTGTTTGTCGGAAGCACTTTCTGACTCTCATCAGGATCTGACTCCGTGGCTCCCTTTACTCAACGTCCACACACAACTGCAACTTGCTGACTTGCATGTTGAGTTTGGAGATGCACTGTTCGGCGAACGTCTGCTTAAATCGATTCAGCCGGTTGACGTTCCATGCCCCGAATTGCATCTCAGAAGGCATCTTTGTCTAGCATTGACTCGGTCGAAGTTGCAACGACTGGGCGGAGAAATTTCCCTATCAAGTGCTCGACTTATGAGTGTTTTAAAGGAAACCACGACGGTAGGTTGGCTCGTAATGTTATTCGTTTTTCTAGGCGCTGTCGGAACTTAAGCTTCAACGCGATCTCCCTGCTCGCCTACTTTTGGAATCGTACCTCTCGTGCACTGTTGTCCTCTGCAAGTGGCTTTCTGAATCAGGAACCATGAGTTGGGCAGACCTGATAGTTCAATTGCTGAAACCTGTTAGTCTGATATTTCTGAACACTAACTGCCTCATGTCGTGTCCACAGCGTACCATCTATAGCCTGTTTTAGGCCATCGATTTGGCCGATCGTTGTTGGCCTTCGTCGACAAAGCAATCACTGGTGACCCCGCCTCCCCCGTTGTACTCCTCAGCAGACGCATTGGCTGCACTTGCTGAGTTTGCCGACGCGCAGTATCAGATATTCGATGGTTACATCCGTTCACCTGAGTTTGCTGCTCGAAGCCGACTGCTAGTGGATGCTGAAGCCGATGCTGCATGTCTCACGGAGGTAGACAAGAAGAGGTCTGTCTGCTTGCGATCCCATTCGCTTTATTGGTGTACTTGCTAACGCTCATGTGATAAATCCAATTTCTGCTCACAAGTGGATTAAACTACCTACAATAATTACAGTGGGGTTAAGTACTTCGAATTTACTGTTTAAATTGGGGTTTCTGCATTTGATTAGCCAGCACTACCGCATGAATAATTCATCTTCCCTTTTCACCAATGCTTCATGAATCGCCGCTATCCGGACACTTTCGTTGTCCTTATTAACAGATTCTAATTACTTTTCACGTCAAATTAGTGGTTCATCCTCGTCTACATGTAAGAAAAATCTAATTTACACACATTTACACTCCCCCCATCTAGCCGGTTTCTCCGAATTCTCCAACGCCAATCGACTCTCGAAAGTGTGGAGTTAAGCAACCTTATTTCGGGTTTGCAGTCGTTTTTTTCGACAGCTATTCTCTCCTACTGCCGGTGCCTCGCTCAAAGTGACAAGTTTAATTTGAAGGTGATTTGCCGTAAATGCGTTTTCGAGTCTTCATGTTACTTTATGGCAAAATCAGGCGCTAGTTCTCACCTATTCCTTCACCAGACACCGTCTAGAAGGTCAAACACACGCGTTTCTATGTTAACTATGCGCACTGCATGCGCATGTTTCAGGTCTACCGTCTTGTCTCGCTCTGGCTGAGTGCGTCTGCTAAAATGGGACAAAACGGAGGCCTCACGTCGTGCGTTGGCAGCACGGAAGAGACTCTCTTCACGCCTGACTGGTTGGCTTCACTGGACGCGCACCTCGGTGGCATTCGTGTGGACAAATTTCTTCCCCTCTTTCCCCAACTTCTCGGTCGCCTCACAACACCGTCAGAGCAGAGCCCAGGCAGACCACAGTTGGCCTTCCACTCCATGTTGGCAAAGGTATGCGTTTCCGTGTTATTCAACCAGTCGACCCTTCTACTGTGGTTAAAGGTACAGCACCTTCAGTTTCTAGTGCACTAATTCTGAACACACAGAGGTTTCTGGTGTTGGTGATCTCAATAAACCGGCACGCTAGTGCTCCAAAAATTAGCGTGGTAGCATTGCGACCGACCACCACACCTGAGGCAGAGCTCCAACCTTCCTGAAACCGAGGTCTGTAGACTTTTAGTGTTATTGCACCTGCTTAATTTTGCAGCTGGTCAAGTCACTGTTGAACAAGCATCCATACCACACGGGTTTCCCGCTGCTATCTCTTGTCCATGCAGACCTGGACGATCCAACTGCCCCCTCGAGTGGTGCGACTCCCCGAGCGAAGCGCCAACGGATCGATGCGGTAATGTCTCGCCGTCGCCCCCCTCTCCTTTCCGCTTTACCTAGGTCACTAAGCTAAGGATGTTAAGGTGTTTCCGATACTTTAAGTGGGGGGGGATTTTGGTGAAGTCGTAAATTTAAACAAAATTGTACCAAAATCACCGTTAATTGCCCCATTTGAATTGATACATAAGTGCATATGTTAGCGTTTTCCACAACACAAGTGCTCGATCCTGCGCGTTCTGTAACCACTTTTCCGACTCGGTATGTCTGATCACATGTTGCATATGCAAAAAACAACCAATAAAATTCTGCGTAGGTTTGTTAAAGTCCTGTGTCACCTCTTTTTTTCCTTACGAATGCGGGGCTATAATTTGAACATCTCGTATTCCGCCAGCCCTAATTAGTAGTTCTTATCCACCCACCACAGTTATTTCGTTATTAACATTATTACCCATTGAAGACCCCCCTTTACTTTCGTCACGGGTATCATTTCACCCAGATTTTTAATTTTTAAAAGATTAGGCTGGTATTGTTTGGTCGCAGAAAACAAATTCAACGACCACTATCCATGATCGTTGCCTGATAATCGAATGGTCTCTCTAGCATACTTAATAGAACAATTAAACGTTAACTGCGTATTTAATCGTAAATCGGTCAGCGTATATGTGTTTTAAAATTGAAACCAATCATTGCTTTATTTGATGGCATACAACAGACATACCCTATGGTCTCTTTGTGGTACTCTTTGCACACCAACCCAGTGCGTCTTATGCGGCATTTCTTTTGCTTTTCAAAAGAACGATTCTGGCAGCGGCCGAGTACTCCTGGCTCGTCAGCTGTTTTCGGAGGTGTGCTGCGCCAACCAAGAGAGCGCTAGCGTCTTTTCTCAAATGCAAGCACTTGCAAAGGCCTACATCGAATGGGCCAATGTCGATGTGGAGAGTAAACGCACCACCAAAGGTTAGTCTTCTTTTTTTTGTGGTTCAAGTACCAACAGAATATATGTCGCTTTGTATAATGGTTTTTGTTTGATTTCTTGTGGAGTTTGTGTCCAATCTTCCACTTTGTTGCTTTTTGAATTGGTACTTGATTTGAAATGTTGCTTGGCTTAATTTTAAGGGGCATTTGCCTGTGTATTTCATAAAACTAATTGATTGCCTTCTTGAAATTAAACACGATACATTAAATCACAACTTCGTCGCTAATTTGTATGGAATCTTTTTAAGTATAATGCTTTATTTTAAACTTTCTTCAAGTCTAGATCCAGGTTCAATAGACCAGTCTATCAAACTTGTAATCGATACTCGATTAGAATAGAAATTTATGTAGTATCTGGACACTAAAGCGCTTTATCTACCAACAAAATATCTCGTTTTCAGTCACGTTTCATCCCTAAACTCTAGGTGATATTCCCTTGCCGTCGACTTGTTCTCTGTCGCGTCTTTCCGGGGAAGCCGATGACCAGCTCCACTTGATACCAGTTGTCACCTGTCCACCCCGTGTCGACCCCTCGGGGGCCTACCGTGACCTTGTCCGTTTAGTGGGCTTCGCTAAAACGTATCGATTGGCCGGGGGCCTAAATCTTCCGAAAATAATCACTTGCGTTTGTTCGGATGGGAAGAAGCGAAAGCAACTTGTCAAGGGACGTGATGATCCACGCCAAGACGCCATCATGCAGCAGGTATGTGCGTTCTTTAGCTGGCGGTGTCGTGATTTGCTTCCGGTGCCTTGTCACTCCCAACCTAAGGCAATCACTAGCTCCCATTCATTTGTTTTTACCCCGCCACCTGACTCTGAGCCATGAAAATTTCCTCATGTATTTAACAGCACTCCTGGCTTGCAGTATTCTCCACGGCTTTTGTGTTTATTTGTGCATAATCACTTTTTTGTATTTTTGACCAATCGACGCTTGGTGAACACGGTGTTGCCTAGGCTATCACGACCTGCTGATAAATTGCACTATAAACAGGCTTTAGTGTCACATAGATTCCCATTCCAATTGTCTACCTTGAAAATCTTCTGATTCCTTTTTGGATTCCCAATGGGGGCGCTATGCAAAGTGCGTAAATATGTCAGCCAATCCAAATCGAATACGGTTTTCTGCTGGTTCGATTAGGTAACTATGCTGTCTGACTTTGTTTCAGGTGTTTTCAGCAGCAAACCACCTGTTGGCCACTTCTACTGGTGTTTCCAAAGAAGGACGACCTGGGTCTTGCTCCACAGACATGCGCATACGGACTTACATGGTACGCGTCCCTCATTTTGAATTCCTGGAGCTGACTGCCCGCTCACAATTTCAGGTGGTAATGCACCTTTGGCCGGCCACACAGTAAACATCCGCCAACATGACGTAGAGGCAGTTTCATCACGTCCATTAAGTCTCGTGTATTTCATGTGCTGTTTAGCTCTCTTCAAGTACAGTCTTGTTGTTCTGGTTCTGCATCACTTTGGGGAGGGATTTGCTTCAAATACCGGTCTCACGTGACTTCTCCAGGTCAAGCGTAACGCTCGATTTGAGTACCAGCAACTATATACATTCCGCAGGTGGGCGAACACGCCTGCATTTCGGCCAATGATTAAATACGTGTGCTTTGCGCAGAACCTAATAGATAAAAGAACCCAATTATCAAATTTCACACTATTAAAACCAATGTCTGCTAGGCAATAGGCTTCATAATGTGTGCGTAGTATCGCAACGTGTTGTGCTTTGTGTGTTTTCACGTCAATTACCACCCACTTGAATGTTCTCCTCGTGTAGACAGCGATAGTGGAAACGATAAAAAAATGGAAAACACGCCAACTGCCCCGTGCTCGCTTGCTTGCCAAGTGTGTAACCTTACTGATGCATAATTCGCGCGTTAAACTTCACAATTGATTTTCGCAGAAACCAAGGCCCATCTGTAAGTCCGGTGCCTTGGGTCAATCCCTCTTTAACATAACTAAATCCTCCTCTTTAGAAGCATTCCGCAGTTGCTGTGTGGGACTCTTGGAACTTCCAAGTTTATTTAACGTAGATATTGCCTGCGGATTGCACAAGTTTCCCGTTTTAGGTGATTCCACTAGCTAGACGCAGTGGTTTAATCGAATGGTGCGAGGGCACTGTGCCTCTGGGTGAGTGGCTGGCCAGCGACACGTCCGGCGCCCACCAGCGCTACCGTCCTAACGACTTGGTCCCCTCCCAGGCCAAGCTCAAACTGGCCGACGCCCGCAGCAAGGGCTTGGAGCGGAGGCAAGCCGTCTTCGCGGAGATCTGCTCCAAGATTCAGTATGTGTCACCACGTTCGGTTTATGTATTAACTCAGAAACAGTTGGGAAACCAGAATTGCCACACTTGTACCAAATCACTTAGTTATTGTGATCGACTGTGTGTTTGTGCGTGCGCTTTCTGCTTGGCAAATTGGCCTTATCCTTGTTCCCTTCGGACCACGACACAGTGCTCTCTGATGCGGATGGGTATCTTAGACTCAAGCTGTGCGTCCACCCATCACACAACCCTGTTGCGCAACACGACAAAAAGCCAATTCCAGAAAAAAAAAATTTATGGCGTATTTTTAATAGTGCTGTAAATCAAGAGTGTCTTGTTTCTCCTTTCATTTAAGACCGGTTCTGGGTTACTTTTTCCTGGAGAATTTTCCCGATCCCCGAGACTGGTACATGGCGAAGCGTCGCTACACCAAATCGCTAGCGGCCTCGTCAATTTTGGGTTACCTTGTTGGCCTGGGCGACCGCCACCCCCACAATCTCCTTCTCCATCCAGTGACCGGAGACCTGGTGCACATCGATCTGGGTATCGCGTTTGATCAGGTTAGATTGCGTCAATAGAATTCGCTTGCAGTACGACGCGCTTATCAGCAAATGCGTGTTGCGTTTTTCGAGTTTTCGACCGAGTTGATTGCAATCTAGGTCCTGTGGAATGACATCAGGCGTCTTAAAAGACACTCGACTGTGGTTAGCCTTTCATCTTGGGCGTTTAAGTGGACGTTATTATTAAGGCCATATATTTAACTGACTCGCTAATGGCCTCCCTCAGTGTTCCTGATTACTCTCCATGTCCAGTTATTACTCAGCGCTCTACAAGTGAATTATTCAATCAAAATACAGAGCATGTCAGAAATCGGATTGTTTAGTTGTGGGTGCATGCCACATGCTGATGTGGCGGAAAAGGTAGGTTTCCTACACGTCACTTATGTTAATTCGGATGTGATAAACAAGAGTTGGCTTTGCGATCGCGGTGCACTGTTTATGCTCCATAGGACAAGCTCCCTATGAGTGAAGTGCAGCCATTTATTGCCATGCTTTATAGAACACAATTTGTGTGTTAAGTGGAACTGCGCACCGGGAATCCAAGTAATCAGTCGGAGTTCTTTTAGTACTTAAAACAAATCAACCAGTGACACGGCAAAAATTCCACGTATTACCAAAACAACGACAAAAATGGCTAAACACGATATTTTACTTGTTGTGAATCGTGTTTGTTCACATCCCTTAATTTGGTCGCTCCACCTCCGACACAGGGTTCTCTTTTTCGCAGGATGTTACCAGCCTTGCGGATCCTCAACGCCCCCCTCACTCGCCCGAATATTTATCTTGGATTATCTTCGCACCTAAGTCTCAATGTTAGCGCTTGTATGACTCACACATCCGAGGTATAAATACACACGCGCAAAACCCACACACGACACCGACGTGTCTGAGCTCTGAAGTAAACGGTTGTGTCCACGCCATCTCTAATCTTTTTCTTCATCGCGGGTATCAGGGTAACGTAATCGGGCCAGAGTTAATTCCGTGGCCCCGGCGTGGTTCAAGACCACATGGTGGGACCCACAACATACTCTTGTGATTGGTGGATTTGTCAAGTGGCCTTGCGAGCCCCTTCACCTGATGCACTTATGCTCGCTGTTAGGAAATTTACTGAAAATACCCATCAAGTACAATATCCGTCATCCTGGAGCCTTCTGGGGTAAACTTTTTGCTCTCTTCCACTTTCTTGTCTGAGATTTTGCCGTAAAAGCATCCCTCTTGATCTATGCAATCGGCGCACCTGTCGTTTAGCTCATTTATTATTCTGAGCCCCAAGATCATTCATATTTCAGGGGCGTCTTTTACCAACGCCAGAGGCTGTCCCGTTCCGTCTAACTCGTGACCTCGTGCATGCCCTGGGTCCGCTGGGTCTCGAGGCGGGGTTCACCAGTGCTGCGGAGTCCGCCCTGCATGCCTTTTCATCCGGATCGGAAGTAATCGTCACTCTGCTAGAAGTATGCTCTTCTTTGTCACTTTACCAAACCAGGGAGGGGAAGTTCGCAACGTACATCCTCTTCAGTGCGGCTGGTGGTCCTTTTGTGGGCGCACAGGCACTTCGATGGAACCTGATCTTCCGTACCAGGATGCTTGTCATGATTATGGAATCTTCAAGTTGAATTAATTAGACTAAGCTGATATGAACCCGGAGAGTTTGGTCCTTTTAGCATGAAACTAGTTGTGTCAGTGAAATACTGAACTGAATTCATTCAAGAAATCAATGCAATAAGTAAACGCCTTTTAAATTGTACATGGCTGCAGGAAAATCTCCTTCAGTAGTATTCGCCAAGGTTTGCTTCGACAAACTCATGTTAGGTGAGTAAAGCAAACGCCTCACCCGCTACCTTGCGTCCTGTGGTTTTTAAGGTGTTGCTTCACGATCCCCTCTACTCGTGGTCTCTCTCCCCCGCCCAACTCTGCGCCTTAGAAGCTAAGCGTGCAGAGGTCGCCGCCCACTCGACTTACCGCGGGGGCGCCGAAAACACCGCCACTGCAACTAACACCAGCATAGCAGCGGGCCTGGCCGCCAACTCCTGTTTGCCTGGGTCGAGGAGACCCAGGGGTAAGTAGCTTTAATCAAAAAGTAAACTTTCACACCTTAAAGTCGAAATAGACATGAACCGGAAGTCGCAAATCCTAGTCTTTTGTCAAAAGCAAGATGGCCGCTGTCACCCATTTACTCGAAATGTTATTAATATAATTACATAGTTATCATGGTCGCGACACCCAACTACTTGTCATACGAGTGATGTCAACGTACCGATCCGACATTTCTAATGTAGTTTCCGTTAATTTAGACTCCGTGAACCAGCTTGCCGAACGCGTTCTCCTCACCGTGCGTGACAAGTTGGCAGGCCGCGTCGGCGGAATAGGAGGCAGCGGATTGTCCACAGCTGCCGGTTCCGAGGGTCTTGGGACCCTCGAGGCAGCCGGTCAGGTCGACCTCCTCATACGCGCTGCCACGAACCCTGAAAATCTTGCCCGAATGTACTTCGGTTGGCAGCCCTACTTGTAAAATTCCGGCATTTTTTGTACATCTATTTTTAAAACCTTATGAATGCGTATACATTACTTTACAATACTTGTGCACTAGCCTTCATCAGTGCAATGATCCTTGTGCTACGTGCTAAAAGCTCCCTAGCGCATAGGTCAGGTGGGACAACTATGTGCGACCACAGTTTAGTCATAACACATCGTGACGAGCAGTGAGGTGCTTGTCTTCGCGTGAGTGTGAATCTTTGATAAAAGTGGTCAAGGCGGAAGTTCTGTGGGCTGCTGAAAAAAAATGTAATTTAAGTAACGGGTTTTTTTGCACTAAAACCGCAAAGTATCTATTGCGTTAAAAATATCGTATGGCAAAATGATCGGAATGCCGCAATGTCTAAACAAATGTTCGGAACTCGGCTTGTCCATAATATTACAGCGTGGCACAGATATTTCCAAATAATCAGATGTGTAACTGTCAAAACTGAGCAAATATTTAAGGGGTGGGTTAGGTGTTAAAGCGGTGGTTCTGACTGCATTAAAGTTTCAAGTGGCAGATAGCTCTGACGTTTTTCAGTTTCGAGCCGTAATAAAACTATTGGTCTAAGTGCCCCGGTAATTTGACCTCACAAACTATAGACTAATGAATGCGGGAATTTGCCTTGCATTTCATGTGAATTAATGGTAGACGTTCTTTTTTTACTGACTAAATACGTAGAATTGGCTGGTGTTGAAATTACTTGGTTAAATTTGGTGACTGAACAGACTGAATGAAAGCAAGGTATGGTAATGCGTTCACTTAAACCAAACAAACATTTACTACAAAGTCATGGGGATTTACATGGCAAGCCTCAATAAGTTCGAATAAAAAAGACAAGTAATCGGGTTAAGAAAATAAATATCAGGACAAAGCCACACATGGGCTACCGACCCCACCGTTGTGAGATCCCCGAGTATACACGTAGAAGTTTGGCGAAGTCTGAGGAGTTTATACATTTGTGACTCGGCCATTTCCTGCAAGTACAAATGATGCATTGTTAATTTTACATGCATAAATGAAGGTATGTGAATGAACACGGTCAGGTGACACCATTTAGCATGTTCATTTTCCACGTTAACCAATTTAAAGAAATAGAAAATGCAACACGATGCGATAGGTGGGCATGTGCATTGGGATTACGGACAAGAATCTTCAGGTTACAAGCGTACTTGAGAAAAAAAATTAATCTGAAGGAAAATAAAAAAATTACCACTTCATGAAAATGGATTGGAAAACAATTGAAGCAGAATAAAGCTAAGACGTACAATATTTCAGTCGTCCCACTTTGCCAAGGTAGAAGCCCAATCAGTGAAGGCGGACCGAATATGACGGTAAGCGATACCGGTGACACTGGAAAAATACCTTTTAAGTAAATTATTGCAAAAAACTGTACCGTGAAGTGTCTTTTCAACAGCACTAGTAGTAAGCGAGGCTTTTGAGGACGACGAAAGGGACTTTGCGGCAGATAACATTAACTGCTGGCCAGTATGAATATCCAAGAAATATATGTTGGAATTTCGGCCTTTAGAGCTTACTGCAAATTTATAATCTAACGAAATAACATTACCTGAGAGACTTTGTACTTCTTTAGAAGAATTGGGTTCTGAACAAAAAACATTGCTACAGGTCTGAAGGTACGAATGAGCAAGCCTTTTAACACACGATTTCGAAGCTAAGAATAAGTGACCGATTTTAACTCACCTGATTTTACAGTGACCGAAACCTCTTTGATTTGAAGATGAACACAGATCAATATTAACTGGCACAAAATTGGCACCGACAAATTGTCCTCATATATAACAAATGCAATGTGGTTCAAAGTTTCAAATGGTGATTCCAAGAATTCACAGGGAGCATCAGTAGAATTCATACCGCCATTCCAAAAGCGGCTAATCGTATATTTTATGTCGAATATTTCAGCATATAGCCATGCTGCAAATGCATAAAAAATCAAAGTGAAAGTGTGCAAAAAACGCCAAAACGCAACCTTCAAATGCATTTCGAACAGAGCGGCCTCATATGTATACAAAGTCGAACAAACAGTATCTGCATGAAAAATGATTCATTGTCGACTCTATGAAATTCTAATCAAAATCGAAAAATAAATACTTGGTGAGAAATTTTCTATGTCCAGATTTTTAGTTTAAACATATTCAAGAATTAATAACATTTTCATAGTCATAATAAACGATCAGAAAATGGGAGAAATAAGAAGATATTAAGCCATATTTCTGAAAAACCAAGAAATTTTGATTGTAGTAAAATGCAAATTACTGTTTACACTTGTTATGTACTTTTAACTATCAAAGACATGTCAATATTGAGAAACGTTTGCTAAATGTGTAACAGAAATAAAAACTGAGTTAAAGAATATACCCCAGATGGCTAGCTTAACTCATCTGACATTTTTCAAGATTTTTCAAGGGTAAAATGATAAGCTAAATTAGTCTGTCCATTTTTGATGTTATTCGCCGCGGATTGCCGTAAGATCCGGAGTTCCGCAACTTGTCCTTCAAGTCCGTGACATAATCGCCCCAGTATCCTTTGATGGAAATGCTGTCATCAACGTAAACTAATTAACCTTTATATATAATGCTGAATTGGAGGTTTCATCTTGTCTATTAGGTCCGAGACTTTGTAGTAGAATAACATCGATCACGCCTGAGTGAACCCTGGTTACTGACCTGACGATGACAATGACTCAGCTCCTTTTCATTGGTTACTGTATTAGATGCCTGTCATCGGTTCACTCATACACACACTAAGACACACTTGGCTGGCGTGACGCTAAAAAAAGGTCGATAAATGGTGACCCCGACGTGATCCCGACGTGATGGAACTATTTTATTTTTTGCGCCTTTAATTGGTGATCTCCGTCAAAATTTTCACTACCCTCTCATCAATTAACAGTGAGTGACCCTATTGCTGTACACCTCTATTTGGAAAACAGCATTTCAGTTAAATCTCTTCCGTGCTTTCCCAATCCTCGAGTTTGGTTCATGCGACGTGAGGCCCATTTTCGAAATCAGATGATTGCCTCCCAGTTCTCTAAATACTTTCAAGTTGTTGAATGGCTACCGAGGGATGTTGCTACAGATGTTACCGACTTGCTTGGAACAATGCCTTCTGAAAACCCAGAGATTATGGATACGTAAAATGTGGTGCAAACATCGGTGAATTCGAAATTTAGTCAGGCGTCAGAAGCAGAAATATCTCACGAATGGACGTTTAAGCGTGTCAAATGGATTGTGATTAAGGCAAACAGATTTAATAGTGAATTAAGTGTGGGGTTAGCGCTTTAAGTAATTGTTCGGGAATGCAGAAGACCTGCATGCATGCTCGAAATTTCGTGTTAATATGTATTAAAATCACAAATTAACCATCTAAATTTGTCAAAACTAAATATTTAGAAATAATGAAGCTGGAATGCACAAGTTGACAACATTTGAAATGGGACTTTTATATGGAAAATATTAACTAAATTCTCAAATATTTATTGGATTATTAAATATTTGTTTCAACTTGTGATTATTTTCTTGGTTTTGCAACTTCGGTTAGAGAATGCGAAACTATTCTCTGGTACTTGTTAAATCATGTGAAAATATAAATAATAGTTCGCTCATTTAAACTAAACGGTGGCAAATAATAGACGGGAATAGTCAATATCAACGTTGAATTTTTCGCATTCCTTTACGAAGTAACTTGCAAAATTTAAATTATATTCAATGGATTACTCGTAACATCACCTACATCATGTGTTTAAACTAATACTTAAATTGAATCACTCTTTCTTGTTTACTTGCCCCGTCGAAAATCGCTCAACAGTCCGATAAAGAATCGCAGCAAATAGCAAACATACGACTCTGTTTTAAGCCTTTTAAGATCCCGGTCCTCTGCGATGTACCACACTAAGTATTCGTTCATTCATTTTCGAACTCAAGCGGTGCCAAGTTTGTCGAGCAATTTACAGTTTTGCTCAGGCAGATAAACCGACACCTGATTTCAAAACAGTCAAAAGCTTGACAAGTATCCAAATGTTTAAAAGTGTGCAAATATATGGGTCTGACAATGACTACAAGCTATTTCTTGCAGAATGAAATGATAATATGGCCGAATTAAGTTGAAATTAAAAGCTTTGAGATACTCTTTAACTTGAGTCTGCCGTTATATATCATGGCTAGACATCTTTTTCAAATTCGCGACAATTTCAAAAATGCAGAGGCAAATGTATTTTTGAATATAAGAACCTTATGAGTTCCTCCAACCATCATTACTAACCAATACTTTTTGGTATTTTTCTGATGCTTCCTTTCAAATCTGATTTTTCCAAAAACACCCACTCGAAATTCGGCCATTGTACCAGGAAGGCAAACACAATCCCACCGTGATAGGCTATTCTTCTGCATATTTGTGCAATAATTTTATCGTAACTGTTATTTATTGTGGCGTTTTCTGTTAAAAGAAATACTTATGCGTTGTTGAACGGTCCGGATTGTCTCTTTACTTTTTTGAAGTGTCAATTTGTGCGGCCAGGGACGCGTCTTTAATGTCTTTTGGATTCTTTTTGCTAGCGCATTTATCCTTCAAGATGAAAGAAATCAAAGGTGCTTTATAATTCCAATTAGTTGGAAATTTAAGGCACAGTATTTTACAGATGCAAAAACAGGTTGGAAGCCATTCAACACATTTGAAAAAAATCGGTTTAGACAAAACTTTACAATAGCCACAATTCTTTTAGACAAAAAGCAGGCTTAAAAATGCCAGTGATAAGCTAGTCTTGTTTAGGCCTTGCCAAGACTGTAAAATTTCTTAGCCTGTAAATTAAATCTGTGATTTAAATTTTTAAAAAATGCCTTAGGACAGTCGCAATTAGACTGCTAATTGTTTTCTATATTAAATGGGCTAAGGCTGCTAGCATAAAAGTAGGGCAGGCACATGATATATTAAGATTTACGGAAGAACGTGGTGAAAAAACTATTAACTTAATGAATGAACAGACAAATTCTTAAAGAATACTATGGTTATTCCAGTGGATTGATTTGCACCAACGTGATTGAAAAGATTTTCTAATTTTCTACTTTACAGTAGCTTGTTTAAAGGCCAATCATGTTGCTCAGAGCAGCAGATTGTAATGAAATTGTAGCATTTATGACTGCAGAGAATATAACTATGCTGATCTGCTGACGAAGGAATGGTACTAAAATCCGGCCTTTCAGCATTATGAAAAAATTAAAAAGGCACTTAAATTTTGCCTGTAAAAGTTAAAACATTCGGACTGAGATATGCGACAAATTGACGAACTAAGCAGCCATTCTAATTTAATTGTCATGTTTTGCGTCCTCAGTTATGATTAAAAACTACATTACACCATGCCCTGCCTGAAAATAAATCAGTCGTACAGGACAAAAACATCAATTCGTCATTTGTAATGTACCTTCTGATTTTATCCTTTGCTACATGGAAATGAATTTAACACCTTTAGATCGTCAACAAAATTTCGCAAGGTTGAATATTATTATAAACGCTATGGCCCTTTATAGTATTTCGTTTTTCATAGTATATTTTTGAAGATGCTTTTGCTAACTTTCACTAGTGAGCATGTTGTATTCTTAAAATCGTAGACAAACTCAGTTCTTTAATGCAAATGTCAAGCACTTAAACATCTGAAAGAAGTCGTTACTGATATAATGTCTTTGAGGGTTTCCCCACCGTAACAGTTTTCCACTGGACACATGTCACTGAAATATTCAAAGTGCTGAATTTCATAACGCGAAATACAACCAAGACCTCAAGAGTGTAAGGATATTGTTGGGTGGGTGGGAGAAGTGAGTGGGCGTTAAAAAGACTCAATGTTGACAAGCATGCCAATATTGCAATTAGAGGAAATCTGATGTGCAATAATTTCTCTGGACAATAAATCAAGTGGTTTTAATAACAAATTACCGTTCTCCTATTGTCAAGTTTGCATTTAATTCCTTTCGGTAGTTAGTATATATTGGAGACGCTTTCATGGCATTTCCAATTTACTAATATAATGAGTAACAGATTTCATCGTTTTGATTTGCTGTAATTTTAGAGCAATTAACTGTAGCCATACCTACATCAGCTTAATCGGCACATCCTTGTACATGATCACATTCGATTAACAGCGTTTTTGAGTGCTAATCAATCTGAATAAATCCTGTCAAGGTGACGTGTAACTTGCTAGCATAAACTTACATATATCATGCCAGGTCGACATATGGAACACACGAGTCTGAATGCGAAGAAGAGGCTTCACTCACCATTCACAATCTAGAACCTTACTTCAGGGGCCGTCCATCCAAATCCACGCTGGTTTCATCGCTCATAATACACTGCTGCTCATAGTTGGAACCATTCGAAATAGAAGAAAGCAGCATGCTATTTTTATAACAGAGGTTTGCAGCAATAAATTAATTCATTTTTAATAAAAGAGAGGGTTGTTAAATCTTCAAAAGCAGTAACCAACCAGCGAGGAAAACGATGTTGTTGCTTTCTGTATTAAAGTCACTTAACTTAATTGCTTGCTAGCATTACCCTAAAACATCCAGTTAAATATTTTTTTTTCAAAGCGTAAGGTCAGCAGTAATTGAAAGCGGCAGCGGATATTACCACTTCTTGTGTCATGCCACCGAACATGCTTTTGTGTGCATGCGAACTTGAAAAGCGGCTGATGAAAAATAGAAACAAGTTATTGAAATCAATATTCCATTAGGCAATATTCATTTACCTACAATCGTTGGCAGTCAAATGCAGACTTAATTCACACTTAATCAGTTTCCTGCAGCCCACGGTAGGGTTTAAGAACCACACCTGGCTCGACGATAAATACTGACGAGTCCGGACCAAGAAAGAGATTTAATGCACTTAACATGGAGGTCAACCAATACATTAATGCAATATTAGCATGATTGTGCAAGGTAACAAGTCGTTAGTTTAAATTATAGGTCAATGCCATGAGCTAAAACGAAGCTGGATAAGTGAAGTACATTCACGTAAATCGATTGCATCGTGTTCGCTCACACTTGTCGTATACACTAGCTGATCCACAGGGCTTTTTGTTGAGATTTTTAAAAAGCCTTGTACATTAGGTCATTTTTTGTGTAAGCCTTAAAGAGATAGTGATAAGCCCTGACATAGATTTCCGATTAAATCAATTTGATGCTGGTATCTAATTAGAGGTAGCCCAATTAGTCGCCTACATAATTTAATTTGAGCAAATTGGACAACATTCTATACGAAAACTTGTTTTTCTCTCAACCTTAGGGAAGTGGTGACCTTTTGTTTTCATGTTCGGTGGTTTAATTCTAGGAGTGTGCTGACTAGTGACCCACAAACGGTACAACACCGACAAACAGTTAGCGTCTGTGGCAAATGTGCTTAGACCTTATTTTTTAAACTCTAAAAATTTTAACAATCACACAAAACGTATTGTTATGGATTTTTTAATTTAATGTTAAATTCGAAATGCAACCATTTTTTTCATGTACTCTTTAAAGGTCTCTCCAAAATGATTGGCTACTATTGCCTGCAAAGTCCTGTTAGCTGTCAAATCAGCCTGGCATTTTTTCAACCGGGATGCCTAGGCGCTTGGGCGGTCGCCTACTTTTTGGTTGTGGTCCTTGCCGGCCGAAATGGGTAAAATTAGTTGACAACATTTATACAGACAACCAATCAGTACGTTAAATTTCTCTGTAAATAATTTTTGTAAATGAAGGAAGGAATCGATAAACTGGTGTGCCATTGTGCAAGGAAACCGGATAAGCTGGATAGTATTGCAAAATATTTGCACAAGCGGTTACTTTCGGATCTACATCACCGAAATTATGCGTATGCTCTTTCGATCTTATATTTTCTGTAGGAACGTTAATATAACAATGGAAGCAATCAGTGCTCTTGTTAATACATGCTACCGACTCAAACTCAACTTGTTTGACTCAAGTTTTCTGAAAATGGTCCTGTTACTACTAGAACAAGATTTACCAGAACTTCAATTGCTTGGTACAAAATCGGTAAATGTTCCACCACTTTTACATTTTAACAGTTTTTGGGGTTTTCGCAAATTGAGGAGGATGCACCTAGTTACCATCGAGAGTATGACGATTTGGTAGACCATTTTGCCAGAATGGCCTATTCTAAACTTCCCAACGAGATTGAACGAAAAAAGTAAGCATTTGGTAGATCACTTTTTTTCTATTAGAGTTCGCGTCGCGGGAATCAAAGGACTTCAAGGTGTTGTAAGAAAAACAGCTAAAGGTCAGCTTAGAATCAATGCCCTCCAAAGCATGGAGAAGATTGTTCCTGCATTGCTCTTCAACATTCATGAAAGGTAATAATTTGTTAATCTTACTACCAGTTAATATTCTCTCCACTTGCACAATTGGCCAACTAATTTCGTTCATTGTAATGCTATAGGCCACCACAAAGCAATGAGACAGATGAATCTGAGCCTGGGTGTCAAGCAGTTTTTGTGTTTAAAGATGTTGCTTGTCGCGCCTCCTTCACAAACATTATTCCAGTCGTTTCCACAATGATTTCGTAAGTTTTCCAGGTTCTTCGAAAGTTATTTTACTTTTCTGTTTACCATATCCTAGCTTTGGTTTCTGAATTCATATTTGCTTCTCATTGACTCCCAAACTAATTTAGAACCATTCAACGGTCATCGAATGTTTAAAATAACTAGTGGTATGTGATTTAAGGTAGAATTTGTTTACCTGGGGAGTTCGCATGCTAATATTAACCGTTAATGTGTCGTACTTACGGCGCCTTCATTCTGTAATGCTTAATTGGCTGTCCACGTGTTTCATTTCAGCCACTTCGACCATCACAAACTCTGGACTCCCAGCGATTTTCCTCTTCTTGTTTTTGGCTACCTGTTAGATTCCATTAAGGTAATCAAATTTCATTGCCTGACGTGGTCGTTTAATTTAGCACATCTCAAGTTTGCAGGTCCTACTACTTTTGCACTGAAAACCATTCATGATTTTATTTAAAACTTAAATTTAAATTATTTTATTTTGCTTGCTTGTTCATCCGTGGGCATTCTTCTAATGCGTGCCCAGTTCTCCAAATCCAGAATTTTCATCCTCTTATTACTGCTTCCGACACATCCGACACAATTATTTATTTTCTCTCTTCCAGAATATGCAAGTTGCCCATAATCTTGTAAAGGAACTCATTAATTATCTCCGGAGAAACGACACAAGATTAACTACCCTTCAGCGAATTTCTGTTGTAATGGTATGTATTATTAACAGTATTTATTTGTTTTAGAGTAAAAATGCATTATTTCGAAACTACTAATGTCCGTGTTGTCATTAATTATCCAATAAGATTTTATGCACACATCCTGTTTGGCAGTTGCCCATAACGTGGTCCTATTCTTGTCTAAATCATTTGGGACTTTTTTTTCTTATGTTCTTTCACGTAGTCATATTTTCACCTAAATCATTTGGGAGTGCTTTCAACAATCAGGATTGTTCTTGTGTGTTATAGACAGGCCTGGTCAGGTGCCAAATGTCTGATTTTTTTATTTTTCTTGTCTAAAGAGGTGGCTGTGACACTGATGAGTGGATTTGCCTTAAATATAGTTAAAAAAAGGTAAAATTGGCTATCTATTGATGACATTTTCTTGTATTAAAATGTTTTCCCTAAAACCCACTCAATTTGTGTGCAAATTTGCTTGCTAAAGGGAGCAATGTGTTGAGCCAGTTTGGTTCAAATTTATTGCGCTGTTGTGCCGTTAAAATTCAGTGTCAATAAGGTACAATTTCGAGCGTTTGATGCTTTTTAAGGCAGCTTTTTGCTTTCTGACCAAAATCAACGCAAACGAGTTTTTGTTTAAAACCTCTTTGATTGTATTCTACCGATCTTGAGGAAAATTGACGAATCGGAAAAATCAATTAATCGAATCACATGATCACTTTGTAGGCAGTGTTGTCCTTCGGGACATCGTTATTTGGATAGTTTTAACAATGCAGGACGTCTTGATATTTTGCCTATGTCTGTGTGGTGGTAGTGCAAGGCCAGCTGTAACTTGTTAATCTGTGTTTTCCCAGAAATGCATCCAAGTGTACAATTTACGGGTTCATGTTGCAAAGGTCAACTGCGCTATTTCATGCTTCTCTTCAGTAATCCAAAGAGCGGTACTTTGGCAAATGTAAATTTTTTTTGAGAAAGATGTGTGTACTTTTGGCTACCAAAGAAGAAAATCACAGTCTAGATCTGATGTTTTTTGCACTATGCGTGTAAGCCTCTTACAGACGTTAGTTCGTCTTGAGAGAGCTTGCATTTCTTTTCGAATCAATTGCAATAGAACGGAATGATCTTATTACTGGGCACGATTTAAAGTGATATCATCCTCTTGGGAATTGAGCTGCTTTTTTTCGTGAGGTATCCTGTCCACAAAATCACATTATCTCCGCATTATTTGCTTCCTTAATAAAACAGAACACGACTTCAGTGCCGTTTATGTTTCGTAATCCTAGAGCTAGGTGATAAAAATTCTCCGATTTATGACAGCTAATTGGCCAATCTGATATCTGGTACTGACACTGTGGACTGTCTAACCGCGAAAATGGATGTTTTGGCCCTGTTTACTGAATTCCTTTATTGCCTCAGATTGTTATTGTGTGAAAATACTTCACCAACAGCTCCATTTTCGATGAATTAGTGAATTATGCCTACTTTTTTTCCACTTTCGACTGCATCAAAGTTTCTTTAGTTGTATTTTCGTTGTTTGGGATGAAAAAGCAAGAGTATCGCATTTCCGCTGTAATCTATAACTTATGCTGTGTGGTTTTTACTGTTCTGTAGGTCATAGATAAGACCATCATTACACTTGCCAAGGGTGCTATTGGACCGGACGTCTTTCACAACTTTAAAGCTCTTCTTCAGGTATTTTCATCTCTTTTTTGTAACTCAATCATTGGAGGGCACAGGCATGATACGGAATTCGCTCAGATGTAGAGAAGCTGGTGTGTGATGTTTCAATGAAAGTTGCGTCAGTCAGAATGCTTTACACCTGAGTCGCATTGCCGCGCTTGAAGCACGAGTGTATCAGTGGGTGCAGTGAAACTGTGTAGATGAGTAATTGCCTGCACGTCTCCACATGACACGCGTACTTGTGTCGCGGAAACGCCAATTCTTTGTAGAATCGTGACTGGGAGGGTCAACTGCGTGGGTGAATCGTCGTGCTTTCCAGCCTCTGCTCGAACCCTACTTTTGGTCAGGCAGCACCACCAAACACCGCTGCCTGTAAATTTGCATAACACGTGCAGTATACTAGGCGTGAGGCTTGCAGAGCAACCCCCGCAAAATTTATGCCTCTAAATGAAGTAAATTGCGTCTAGAGACAAAACAGCAGGTCTAGTGGTAGCGGCAGCCTCGGGGTGATCAATTTATTAGTTTTTATCATTTTTTTTTAAATTTTGTGTTAAATACGTTTTGTCATATTTTTTCTCAAAATCAAACCTAATCTTTTAATCACCCCGTTAGCTTAAGGGTGTCCTCTGTGTAGAAATGATTGTTAGGGAATGTCATAATTAATGCTAATTACACACAACAGATAATTTCAACTCTCTGGTGTCGTGCCCAGCAATTTGCTGCCACCGAACCCACTTATTGAGTCCACCACTCACTCGCCCCCACACTTAGTCGAGCCGCAGCAATAAATCAACTGGAGGATGGCTGGCTGGCTGGCGTTCTATAATTACACCACCGGACTGTCCACGTCTCTATGGAGACCTGACTGGAGTCGTTACAACTTGACTAGGATGTCTTGGGAATTCCGTTCCTTGCCCCCGGACTGTCAAGTTGTCAAAGCTTTCCATCTGTATCGAATTTGTTTCCTTCACTAAGTTTTCTATTTTATGCAAGACTAAAAATGCCCCACACAAAAACAGGCAAATCAAATAGTGGTGTATTTGGCATCGTTTAAATGAATACATGGGTTTCAAATTTGCAAATTGACTGATTTAAAACTGCGTGAATTACCGAGTTACAACAGGATAACAAGGGACATACTACTGATCCCGCTAAACTCGAAATGTTATTGGCAGAAGCAGTTGGCCGCACGCGAATTACGTTGGATGTGTTTACTTGGTAATCTATTTGAGCAGGACACGTTGCCTTTAGTAAACCGTCATGAATATGATGGTACTAGCGTGTCTAGGTGTGATTCTCGCTTCTCACCGAACTCAAACAGCGCCGTTTTTATGCTTCCACGTCCTCAAACTTGTAGATCCTAAGATCCAGCATCGAAAAGACTTCGAAGGGCGTAGGAGCTGACGAGCAGCGTTTCCACGATGCCATCATGCACACCATCGCCGAGTTCGCCAAAAACCTCCCAGACGCTCAGAAAATTGAGCTTCTGAAATTCATTCTCAACTTTGACCCTCTACCGAGGCAAGTGTAATCACTTTGATGGCACTGCTTTATCCCCTAGAGTAGTTTCACTGAATTTACTACAGACCTTCTCTTCTTCGCCATATTTTTTTGTAAGGTACCTGCGAAACTGGTGTAAAGCTATTTATTTTTCTTGGTTTTTACTACCTGAAATAAGTGTCCCTCGTCCATATTCATTCCTCGTTAGTGAAAATAATTGTCCCAATGACTGTCTAAAAACGACCTAATTGATTCTTGTGAAAGTCAAAAAATTCAGCGCGCTTCTCGTGGTCTGCAGATCGTTAATGCCCTGTCACTGACGCCCGAGTCAGATTAGGCAATTTTTGAAAAAAATGCGTAATTTCAGGCGGCCTAACCCGCTTCTCTCAGAGTAGTTATTTAGTGCATCCGTCATGAAATTAGTACGTGTTTGCATCGGAAGGCGTTGCCAGGATGTAAAAAGCCACAAAAGACATTTTAACGACTGCTCTTCGTGCCTTATTATCGAGTGTATTTTCAGCATGACTTGATGGATGCACAAGAAGTGTGCCTACCTCAAAATGGGTATAACAGTCCATCATACTTTGTCTCTAAGCGCACAGCCAGGGTATGGAAATTAATGGGCGTGTGGAACAGCTTATCTACATTTTGTCTGCGCTAATATCAGGCGTCCGTCGATGCAATGCCGTGGATACTCTACGACTGGACACAGTAATATTACGAGATATCGCCGGCTTCGCATTACCTTTTGGGACGATTTTCACACCAAATCGGTTTAATAACCCAACATTTTTGTCCTAATCTACTTGCAAAAGTTGCTACATCACGATGTGCGTTTTTGTTCCAACTCGCTAGTAAAAATTACGGTCGTGGCTTCAGCAGTGGAAGTGCGTTTTGCGCAAGAAATTCCGATTAAGTTTAATACTTTGGATCGCTAGGTTTCAGTTAATACTTGTTTAAGAAACTTGGGTTCCTGTGTTAAGATAAACACGTGGACAATATTTACTTGAGAACAACGCAACACTTCGGCCGCTTATGTTGTCCTAAATGTTGACATCAATTACTGATATATTTGTTCAAGCAATATGTTTAAATGAGGGACATGGTGAATTAGCAGATGGGCAAACAACGGAGAGGGTCAGTTCGGAAAAACAAGATAAATGGCACAGAAGATGTTTTCTTTATATTAAAAGAGATTTGTATATTCCACCGTCGTCTCCACACCCTTTTTGTTCTAATTCCTTCTCATTACGTCTGGTGGTGTTGATAGTTAAGTCGACGTTTTTTCTCGAATTTAGGGACTTAATACATCCCAAATGAGTTTGATTTTGCAGCAAAATCATGCTAAATTTTGCTAACTATGATGCGCCCTCTTTACTATTCGTTCATTTAAATACCTAAGGACCTGTTTCGTAAAGGTTCGTCTCAAGTTAAGCCAACCTGGGTATCCCATATCCTCATTTTCAGTGGTCGTTCGGACAGCAAGGATTACTCAAAGCCAATGGTCAAGGTGTTGGTGAAAACGATGCTGACGATGGCCATCCAATATCAAACAGTCGCCATCTCCAACGCCATCGACTTTGACTTCCTGCGTCTCCTACTGCACGGAGTTGCCCTCGACCCAGACGCCTCTATCCGTGTGTACGTTCAGAAAATCCTCCATGCTCTCATTGATCGACACAACAATGCACCGAAGCTGCTCGCCGTCAGGTCAGTGAAATCTCGATTCTTGTAATTTTTTTGCCCCTTGTGTGTGTGTGTGTGTGAATGCTTCGACGCAATTAAGAAATGTTTGTACAGTCACCGCTTCATTCAGTGTACGTCAAAACCCGAGTCTGCGCCTTTTTGGAAGGTAAATTGGCGCAGAAACTTGACATATGCGGAAATCGTTAATGTTTGCATTGCAATTAAGTAATTTTCGGTACATCCGGTGCCTTTGACTTGCACAAATGGTGAGCAATTGCTTGTTTATTCCAGTCATTCGATTTGCTCTGATTAAACAACGTCTCAAATTGTTGCTAAATCTACGTCTTAATCAGATTGCTGTTTGTCATTGAATGCAATCCTAGTGCTGTCGACACCAGTCTTTGTAAATACCGTCGCATTATCGCTTAGTTTGCTCCCAAATACCATCAACATTAAGTTATCCCACCGAAGTCAGGGTTATAATTTCTTGGTTTGGTGTTGTAAGTGGGTTCTCGTGGTAGAAATGTAACCACTCAAACTGTTTTTTTGCGTAGAATTTACCCTCCTGAAGAGGTCAAAAGCGTGTACACACTGGAAAAGCCTTCTCGACAGGACATTCTGTTCATGAAGAAGGTGAGTTAATGCTATTTTAAAAGACCAGTGTCCTTGACTCGATTAAACCTCAAATTTGTAAGATCATCCTTTCTACTTATTCGCACCTTCTTTACACCTTGTCAAAACGTCTAGCCGTTGAAACGCACCATTTCACTGCACAATTTTGTCTACGCCTTGTTGTTTTACACTTTTGCGAACTGTTCTGCGATTACTACTTACGTGATTAGCTCATACGTCGGTGTTGCACTTGTTGATCCCTGCATTTTACAGAGTTAGCGCATTATCTCAGTAAAGTGGATAGTTGCACGCGTTAAAAGACAATTTGGCTAGGCTTGAATTGGGTGCTTCTGAACATGCTGAACGTCGTAGACGTAGGGGAAATTAAGAATATGTTAAGTCAAGAGGGATTTTGAGGACAGGTGAAATATGCAAGCCAGAATGTCGACAATTAGGCGTATCTCCATATCGTCCTTTGGAGAGGTGACGCGTGGTGAATGCTGGATCCACAACCGTCACATTTCACGCTTGCCCACTTCCCTAATGCGGAACCCACTCGATAATACCACCAAACATAGAGTTATACCTCATTGCTTCCGCTTAGTAACTGAATTGCCTCAAATCCCTAAAAGAGCCACCTTACCAGCCTTAGGTAGCGTAGAAGTTGCACTCCTATCGGATTTCGAATCTGAGTTGCTTTGGATTACTAAATCAAAGTTTGCAAAAAAATCCCCCATGAGTAGGAATAAGTTTGTCTCGCGTTCGATTCGATGCCAGAGAGCATGTGTCCACCCACACAAACTAAATGGCGCGCTGGCATTTTTTTTTTAAACCGTAATCTATAAATATGATGACTACTACTGGATAGAATGTGACTGGACGTGACCCACTTGCTTTCCTCTTCTCACAGACGGGCTTCGTGTTGACGGAGAACATTTTCCACCAGATGTTGGACCCAAGCAACAAAGTTGACAACCTTGAACACTTGATGTGCACAATCGGCCTGATAGCACTGGAAATGGGCGCAGAAGAAGTATGTTGGTATTTTTTCTTATCGTCGTGTTCAATTAAAACAAAGACCACCCCCAACGTGAATGCGTACTGAAGGATTGAGCGTGTGGTCACCTCCAGAACACTCTACCTCAGTTTAGAAGCCAATCTCAGTAATTTTAAAGTTGAATTTCCTGTCAAAAATGTATTCATCTCACCGAAAACCTTTTCCTTCAAATAATTTTGTTACAGGTCATGCGGCATGCCTTAAACAACCACCACCAAATGGATTATTTCTTGCAGCAGCAAACAGAAAGGCGTTATTGACATGTCCGTTCCCGCCATCAGGGCAAAGGTCCAATGGCTATTGTGTGTGTGTATGTGCGCTTTCTTTCTCCTTCCAGTATAATTATTAATCTGGATCACTTAATTGCCACCTGGAATACATAATTGGCTATTCCTTAATGACTTTTAGAACGCCGCTGGGAGCTTTTAATGAATGACCGGTCATGTTGGGACCAAGCAGTTTGGTAATAAAAATGTTGCTCTTGCGCTTTTAACATCCTCGAAGTGAAATAAGAGTCGACTTTGCGGTTTGAGTAATGAACACGCAGGTTTATTGGCTCATATAGCCAGGGTGGTCAATCAGTTGTGCAAAATCGATCGCATTTGCGATCATCGCTCGCTTTCGCTTGGTTTGCTCGCAGGTCCTTTCGGAGTTGCTTCGACTGGTGCTGGCAGTCCAACAAAAGACGCTAGAGTCGACAGACCACCTTCCCTTGCCGCATCTCTGTGCGATCCACGCTGTTCTCGCCACGGTGATGTCCATAATTGTCCCAATATCACGTCTCAATGAATCCCTCCTCTCACACGTCCAGTCGGTACGTCCTTCTGCTATCCCTCATGGTCACATTCCTTGGCTAAACATTTTCGCCTTAGTGACCAAAGCCTTTGATGTGTGCCGCAGGCGCAGGAATCGTCTTCTGTCACTAGGCTGCTTGCCGTTAAACAAACCAACTACCAAAAGCTGCCGCTGCTGCTGCCTTGAGATGTGAAAAGAATCCTGCCAGCGTGAATTAAAATCAAATCTCTGACAAATTAGGGTTATTTTATGCAAAATGAGCAGAAACAAAACTTCATCGTAGGATTCAGCCTAACTTTCCTGCTGTTGGCAGCCAGTGCGACACGGGTTGCATTCCGTCACAAGTCTTGTGAACGTCAATCGTTGGGGTGTGCCACCACAACATCAGAATTTTCGGAGTCCCCATTGGGCGATAAGTCTGGTTTTTTTCAGAGACCACGTCAAATACCAACTAATTTGTTGTAAATCTTAGGCTGTTTTGCATGTAGATACGAATCGGCGTCACTCAGGGTTTTGCTTTCAATCTACGCAGCTCCACATCTGCATTGCGGCATTTTTAGTCGCCTTTGATTTGCGTTTCGTTGCATGGCAACCTTTGTGTCACCCCGCCCCCAATTATGATAATCTCATCTGCATTTTAATTCCACAAACGCGTACCCCTTCACCAACAGCCTCAAGTGCCGTGCTAGCCCCACCTTCCAACCCCCCCCCCTCCCTAGTTAACACAGTCCCTAAAATGCCCCGGAAGATTATACAGTAGGGGATAAAATGGATGCCCACCGTCTATTAGGGTTAAGTCGGCCAAGTGTCCGTATGTGGGTGAGTGAGCAGAGAACAGGTGTCTGATCGCAGTAACCAATGCAGTGGGGCTAAGTCATTGCCACCCTCAGGTCGATAAACAGGCTTCACTCATGCGCGATCGCTCACAATCCACTGACCTTCAACGCATTCTTACATGTTTCTCACATAAGCTTCGTTGGCCAAAGTTGCCACCTCAGGTTTCTAGTTAGCGATAAGAGAAGGTAACAGGCGGAAACTTGATGCTCCCGATTTCGTGAATAGCTTTTTTTAGAATCCGCGTAGCACTGACGATCGCATTGAGATGCGCCTTGTCTGGCAGTATCTCCAAAAGTCTGCAATTTTGAGGTCGTCCATAAGTATAGACTGGTTAATCGCCACCTACTTGTTCCGTTTTATGAATGGGAGCGTTCCCTTTAAATATCCGCACATTCAAACGAGGCAAATCACTCGTTGTTTGAATCTGCCATTCAAAAACGTGTAAAGCTCAAGGGTACACACCTGACTAGTTGCAACCGGTGGATATTTCCGACCAAAAATAACTCTGGTGGAGGTCGATTTTGACGGAAACCTGGTCCTCGAGGTAAATACTTCCGCATATCGAAATTGGACAGTCTACAAGCTGCTTTTTTTTCAAGATTTCTACCCTCTAACCATTTTCTATAGTTTTATACGATAATGCAGTACGATGCCTTCTTATATTCAAGAGCCTTAGGGTGCCTTCTAAGATCACACACAACAATTCAATTACTTCGTTCACATGGTGGATTGCAATGTGAAAACACTTAAAACCTATTTCATGTAATTTCTCTGCTAAACATCCTTCTAGTAGAATGTTTCGGCAGTTGAGTTGCGTGATTCTTGCACGTGACTCCTGCAGTTTGCTTGCAAACACCAATTTGGTTTGCAGTAACTGATAAGAGGGCTCTTCTTATTCACGAACCTTTCTTCATTCTGTAGCTCTGATGACCTTGATTTCCCTTTAAATCTTCTTTGTTTTCAAGGTTATCCAAACGCGAAAGGAGAAAGCGCCGTACCTCCTTCCAGAAGTTGCTTTCAACCGAAAAAATACTCAGGAAACGTAGGTTTCTTCTGCTATCTTCTTCATGCAAAATCTAGCGATTAATTTGCGTCTCATCTCATCTTCTTTGATCTTTGCGCCCTGTGATGCTTTTCAGCCTCCTACATTTATTTCGTCAACAATGATAACACTTGTGCCTGAGCATTTTACGTGTCACTTTGTAGACAAACGCGGTCTGTTTTGTAGTTTTTCTGAGCAAGCCTACAAAAATGAACCGTCTCGTCGTGCCTTTTGGGCCTCTAAAGAACTCACCAATCTGGGTCGTCCGATTTTCAGCCGGGCAATTCCATCAACTCCACTAATTGTTTTAATTATTCCTGTTTTGTGAGAATGTGCCTAATTTTCTCCATTCTTGGACGTAAAAACCAGCCACGTGATTATGTGCACCAAGAAGTGTGTGTGTGTGTGATGTTTCGGCATGATTTTTTAAATATGTTCTGCAACTCGAGCGTTTTCTCCTTCTTGAGAATCAGTTTGACGCGTTTTGGAGTCGCAGATGAGAAGAGCAGAATCTCTTCGACTTGGGCTCTTTATTGTCTGAAGCTATAGCAATAGCAAGATTGAAGTTGGATGCAAGTGTCAGTGGTTTAAGAAGGAAAGTATGCCAAAAAAATACGAATCATATGACCCCCTAGCAAATTACAATGACGGTTGTGGTAATACTTACATTAAACAACCACTCACGCATCACCTGAAATGTCAAAATGCATGGCCACGTCTTTGAACCTCCTTATTCCCTGAACGTGGAGTCAAATGGATGTGAAATGTTCTCAGCAATGAGACCTCCCATGGAGATTCATAGTGCCTAAATCATGTTATGCAGGTTCCACACTCACCATCCACTCATCTGACGCAGCTTGTCAGTCCCCTGCGAAAAGCTCACCTTGCAATCCACCACACTAATTGGTGTGTTCAGTGCACTAAGGCTAGCCCCGTGACTCGTGTGATGCGTAAAGTACAGCAAACGCTAACCTCGTGGCAACGCCGACAAATTTCTTAACCGCCTGTGGCTCTCATGAACTCAACGAACGAGCACCACTGTACTTTGGCTCACCATAGCTTCTTCCAGCTTCTTGAACACCCGCACCTTTGGCCCTGCAGCACACCTTTCTTATTTTTCCGATTGTAGGCGATTTGTGTCCTTTTAGTAACTACGGTTGTGGTGGCCCTATTGACACTGAACGTTAATTGGTTCTACCTTTGCTACACTTCCTTCTGTCGCCACTTTAGTTATCCCGCCCAACTGGTCATCCCCGAGGACATGCTCTTCATTCTTGCGACCGTCAAGTCAGCTATGATCCAAGTAGGATTCGACGCATCCACACTGGACATCCCCTATCCCGCATTCGATCCCCTGAAGGCCCTCCAGTCCCTGCGAGTGGTCATGATGGGCACGAGGATGAACGAGTACAACACGTCGGTGGCGGGCGGAGCGGTCAGTGGACCCTCGGATTACGGCTCTATGACTCGGTGCAACGGCTGGGGCGCGTATTCGGGCACCCTGGGCAAGGGCGGTCGTCCCGGTGATCCATTCGGCAACGTTGGATTGTGTAGGTCGTTTGTGTTGCCTGATCGGTGTTGGTTTCGGCGCAGCTTCGTGCTCCGCTAAATGTTAAAAAAGGCCCGATTGAGTTGGATGTTTTGTTTGACAATGCGCTACGGAGACGCTTCCGTGTATGGCTCCTGGGTTATGGCGGCTACTTCACAAACCTACTCGTGTAAACGAATCTGGCGGCCAAACAACTCTTGTTGATAATTTAGGCTCGGCGTTGCACTCTTCCGTTGACGAACCCACCACTTGTGATCGGTGCATCAACTTGCTAATAAACAGACCAAACTGTGGTTTAATTCATTAAAACCAAAGCGCAACTCGAAACGATCCCCATACCTGACCGCTGTACTTTCTGCGTATTCATAACCTAATGACTGTCTCATGCAGCTTTGCGACGGCATTCGCGGAAAACAGCGGCCGTTGCTGGTAGGTGTTCAAACAATTGGTTGTCCTGGTTGATGTGTTTGCATTAGTTTTCGCAGTTTTGTCAGGTTTGCTGTGAGTTTCGCCAAGATCCCCCAGACACGGTGTTTCTGCGTGTCTTCTTGAGTGCCTCCAGAACCCGTAGATTGCCCATTCCAGTTAACATTCTCCTCAACCTGGTGTAGCATTGTCATTGTTTAAAAGTTCCAATTTACAAAGTGGTAATATGTTTCGACACAGTTATCAGTAGTTTCAGTTTGTCTAAATTCAATGAAAATCCAACCTTATGAACCCCTTTATCACCTCCATTTACCAATTCTTTCACTTTGAATTACACTTCCCCCCTCTCTCTTCGATACCGTCGGAAACTACAGGCTTGTGGCTCTATTGACCCTTCCCTAGTCAATAATTTCGCCTTCATCTCTTCTGTTTTTCTTCGAAAACTCTTGATTCCACGGGTTCGATCGACGAACTTAATTCTTGCATCTTCCCCCCAACCCTGATGCACTCCAATTCGTCCTTAGAAGGCACGGGGATCATTACTTGAGCTGGAGTTTGGCAGCATAATTCCCCCTCTGTATTGCCTTCCTCAACTTTTATCGGAGGGCCACCTTTCTCTAAAGCACGCCAAATCATCTTCCTCCCTTCTTATTCTCAACCGTCTCCCTGTTTTTTCTCCTTGCCTCAAATAATTTATCAAAGTATTCGGATTTTTTTCATCCCTTGGAGCCGTTTTTGCGTGCGTGACTCCATAACTCCTACGAACTCCCCACTCCGCGCGAGCTTGCCCCCGCTTTCACCTCAGCTTCCCACTTGCACAGCGCCTTTTCAGTTTTTCTTTAGAAGCAGTTATGTGCTCTTAAGTAGTTTGTTTCACGCTGATGTTTTTAACCCTCCTTTTAGCCAAGACTAATGTTTGGTTTTGCCAGTTCGTTCCCTATTTGTGTGGTAGTTCTGACGTCCACTCCCCCTCACAAACGTCTCCTCTAATTCCACTGTCACGCACCTCCTTCTGCGTTAGTTCAATTCATTCGTGTTCTACCGTTCTAGTTGATTTTGAGCGTAAAGCCCACCCCGTAACTTACCCTTATGCAGAGATTGGGTCATCGAAGCACCAATCGGAGCCTCGTTTGGTGCCCGCCTATCGGAAGAGAGGTCCCTCGAATGTGTATGAGCGGATGGGCCTGAACAACATGAGGATGGCCATAAGCAAGCCGGCTTTGTTCTCCAAATGCCGCGCCGTTTGTCGCGGCAGTCCGTGGAGACGTCCTACAGGGAAGTTGACTAAATCCGATTTTCCCCCAAAAAATTAGTTTCCTTAATTACACACATTCTTTCTCACCGATCCCTCGAGGTGCCTTAGAAACACAAACCTCTCACATTCGTAAGCTAACTGTTTTTTTCTATTAGGATACGCCCCTGGAACAAGCTGTTGTAACACACCTTCCTGGTGCAGATTTCCGCATAGCCTTCAATAAGGACTTTTTGCTATCTCATCCCCTATTGACTTATTAATGCATCTTCTTAGTGCGTACTCCGCGTCCAAAGTTGTTTGATTTTATCGAAGGCTGTGCAGGTCGTCCACAAGAATTGCCTCATTTACCAATTCAGGATATTTCTGTCTTTGCGAGCTATTTACTCAAAGTTGAGTGTTCTGCTTACCTGTCCCAGATCAGAAGGCTGTGTGTTCAGACGACGCTGGTGTCACCGATTGTTGAGGACCCTAGCATGTTGTCTCAAACCACGCCGGGGCCACGGCGTTGGATCTGGCCCGATTACGCTACCCTGACGCTCACGAAGATGAAGAAGACCGCAGAGGCTGCGACACAACCTTGTAACCAAGTTGTGTGTTGTCATGCTCTACCTTTAACCACCCACACGACTGTGTGCGATTTTGTTGACTAATACAATCTGGCTGACGGTCACGCCGTGGAAAGTGGTTCAGTGAGTTGGAGAATGGGGTGACAACACGATTCACCATAGCTTCAGTGGTAGTCTTCCACCTGTCAGTGGAGTGCTCTTGCGACTACTCTGATGACATTTTGATGGATTTCGTGGGTTCCACGCTTCGTCACCACGCTATGCGTCCAACGCCGGTTGCTCTGGGGTTTTATTTGTCGCTGGATCCCCTCCTACTCTGAGACACTGCTAACTCGCTGTGAAATCGTCCTAATTCCCCTCTCTCCTTTTTTTATTTCCACAGATGGGTCTCGCAGCGCCGTGCCAATGGCCCCCGACAGCCAGTCGATTAGCAGCCTCTCGATGGTCGATAGCACCGTCTCCATGCCCAACACGGGCTCTGTAAGTCTCGCGCGCTCTCTCCCTTCCCCCTTTCTACACTGCTCCACTTCCCACCACCCCCTTATTCACCATTTTAGCAAGCTTCCGATCTTGACAGGGATGAATTCATCTCCTTCAAGTACGCACAGAAGATTCTAGGTATGTTTACGTTCTTCTTTACCTTCATACTTGTCTGTCTGTTTGTGTGTGTGTGTGGGTTGATCTTTTGTCTCTTGCTTAAGAGCCACTCATTGATGGCGTTTTGTGTTGCGAGGTGCTGCTGTCAGTTTAGAGTTGATTGCCGTAAGTCAAGATGGTGCAATTTCTCTCTCTCTCTCCTGAATCAACAATCTCCGAAGTGTTGTCTTCCTTCATGCGACCTAGTGCCTTATTTACACTCGTGGTGTCAGCAGTCGGCCACTCGGCTACTGCTTCTGCAGAACAGTCTTGAACACCTATCTGGTCGTCTTGAGTTCACGCTTAAGAAAACGGAATGTCTTCAACCCCTCTACCAAGCACCTTTTACACTTAGTTGAGTTCTCTACGATTAGTGTTAATCCGTTGTAACCGCTGTAAAAGTAGAGTGTGTATGAAAATTTGGATAATCACTTGAAAGTGTGATATCAGTGTTCGCTTATGCTGAGGTGACGAATTTCACGCCTAAAGGTGTCGCCATACTGCGGTCTAAGCCAAACGCTTATCGCGTCACGCGAACCCGGATGTTGTGTAAGTTTTGATGCGTTTTCGGTCCGATTACCCTCCATCAACTCGATGAGGTCTGTGCCAGAAGCTGGATTTTTTGCTAATTTGCTTATTCTGTGAATAAAAGCAGGTTTGTTTCAGTACCTTACGGTATACATCACCTTTCCTAATAGCTGAATCTCCTGAAGCTCGGAGGAAGCGAAAAACGGCTGAAAATCGGGCGTCTCCGAAATACGACAGGTCGTCTGGAAAGCCACCCATGGATTTCAATGAGCTTTGCGCTCTCCACAAGAAACGAGTATGTGATCCTTGTTATAAACAGACTACTAACAAATTATGAGTACATTGTTATTTACCTCTGTCGCTGGTTTACAGGCCCTGATACGCGAAAACACGTGCTACTGTAAAGTACGTCCGTCCGTCACAATTGGAGGTGGCTTTTGCACCAGACATAACTCTTCTTGTTTACATTCGTGTAATTTTATGTTACTGGGTGGCGGGTTTCACTTGGCTATCAACCGCACCTTTTTTTGTCGAATCCGCTATTTGAACTTTAACGTTGCACTCAAACGCTCTTAAACGTTAAAATGGCTAGCACACCATTTCAAATCCGCTGTCTCGATGTTGGCCTTGTTACGCTCTTTACGCTCTGTAAAATGTTCCGTAGATTTTTTGTATTTTTTTTTTGCGAAACTCACAAGGTGCGAGCTAATAATTCAGCACCGTTTATTTGAGTATTTGCATTCTGTAGATTGTGAGTTTGCCGCTGGCCCCAGACACCACCGCGACCGTGTGGTAGACGCGGGGTGTTGGTGAGGGCCAGCCCACGCAACACGCCTTTGAGCTTACCAAGAAGGGGCCTTGCACGTGGCACGATTTGACCCCCAACAGATTTGTGTGTGTGTGTGTGTGTGTGTGAAGAAAACACGCAAGACGTGCTAAGATAAATCTGCCTCTTAGCCACGGTTATTGGGTCACGTCGGTGTTTCTGTAATTCGGCGACGGTGTCTAGGGGTCAAATCTTGATAATTTCGTGTCTTTTCAAAGTTTATGCTCCAGTTTCGATGTCCCAGCACTGTCTAGCTTTTCATCGTCATTTTTGCTTTTTACCTCAAGTGAGTTAAAGCCGTTTCCTGTTCTTTTCCCGCATGTAACATGATCTCTTCTCGGTGGTGATTTGGTTTTGAGTAAGGTGGTGTATGGTTTAGCGCTAAGTATTCCGTTTGTGTGTGTGTGTGTGCATGCGCGTGTCATGTGCAATTTGGTGTCACATTTCTACGCACCAGCGGACCTGGTGATGCTTCCTAGGCATTCCACCTGAACTGGCTCACAATCGCAGGCAGCTGTGCGTGTGTGTGTGTGTGTGTGATTTTGTTGGAATCACCAAACCATGGCCTGCACCACAATCTGCGCATCCACTGGCTTCAACGGCTCCTTCGATTCAGTCTACTCACGAATGCATTGATTATTCGGATACCGTGTTTGTTCCCTTTTGTAATTGTGTAATTGCACTTCCACGCAGTGCTCACCCTTGAGCCTTGGCTTCGGGCTCGACGTGGGCCTGCTTGCCCCACACATTTCTTGCACTCACCACTTCGCTTGGCATTTCATCAGCACGATATCCCATTGTTATTTCGGATAATGCATCTCACACGTGGATGATGTTTTGGATCATGCACTAGCGTGGCCTTGAAATCGCCCTACTCATTGCATTCGAGTTGTAACCATCAAAACGGTTGAATTTGTGCCATGCTCTACTAACTCGTCCAGCGTTCTCGTGGTGTGACCCACGAAAGCTCTTTTTTTTCTGATCCCTTCGTTTAGCTCCAGTCGACATTTCAAACTCTGATCCGTTGCACACGTGTTCACTGATTCTCTCAGCTAAGTACTGCCACTAGGACCACTGTTTTGTGTTGTACTACACTCGTTTTTTTTGTGATTTGCGCGAACACTTGTTGACCGCTTGTGTGATCGTGTGCAGTTCATAGTGGTACGGGGTGAATGGGTGGGTGGGTGGGTGCTACTGTCGACTTTGTCACGCGGTGCCCACGCGCCCAGCACTGCCGCGTCCCGTTTATTGATTAATGAGTCCTGCACTTTTGCCAGCTTGTCAGGCGGGACTCCCGGTGTCGAGTTGTCCCCCCTAGTCCCAGTCAATGCTAAGAGGTTGGAGTTCAGGCGTGAAGCTAGCTGCTCTTGTCAACACTCCCGGCTATCACAATCATTTGATATCGTTATAAATGTTATGTGCACATCATTCCCAGGTTGCCTTGCAGTGGTCCATACAGATTGATGAGCCTCATCCAAGTAGAATCGGTAGGCATCATCGTTGACCAGGCCCGAATCTATTGGAGGTCTTATTTACTGAGATTTACCACGAACTCACACAATACCACCAGCCAAATTCTCATGTGCACGGGCACAACATCAAAGCAGTACTAACCGCGATGTGTGGAGAATGAGGTCAGTTGTTAGGGGTCAACTCTCCATCGCCAAACCGGTGAAACTGGTTGATGTTCTGATTTTTTTCCACTTCGCAAATGATCGGATTGCCGAGGCAGCGTGGAGGTCGTCCACGCAGACAAACCAATCTGTGGTTTGTGGTCTAACCAGCTTGGCCCTCTACGTAAAGACCTCTTCAGCCATGTGACTAGCATAGAGCGCATTGTTGGTGTCATCACCCGTTTTAGTAGCCAAACTGTGTGACATGTCACCAGCCTGTCATTGCTGAAGCAAGGTTTGAGAGATGAATCGCGTTGTTTTGCGCCTCCCAGTCACATGGCGTCGACGATGCGCAAGGATGTGCCCCTCTCGCACTTGGAGGCAAGGGGGAAGTGTGTGCGTGCGTGTGCGTGTGTGTGTCTGACTCATGCCTTTCTTTGTGCGAATGCGTCACTCGTTGCCGTTGCGTAGGCGGTGGCGAGAGTTCACCATGTGCTCGCACGCGCACGTGTGTGTGTGTGTGCTTAAACCAAAGCCGACTCCACGGGTAATTCTACTTCTCAATTGATTTGCCGAAATTCGCCCGCTTCAAATGCGTGGAATGCGCGTGCTTAGCTCTCTAGGTGCTGCGACTTCATAAACAATGCCTCCGTGGCACGTGGTTAGAAGTGCATCGGGATTGTGCGTCTCATTGGTTTATCGACAGTGTGTGTTCTAGCCTCCGTTGGCTTTTGACCTCTTGCATTTTCTCACACACTTGGCAGTGCTGTTTTCTCTCGTTGCCACTGTGTCCTGCCTTCGTGCAATCCAATCGCCAATTTTAAAACTGGTGCACTCGCCTCATCAATTGCATCAGTCACTTGATGCCTTTTCTGGTAATTCCTCGAAGATGCGTGCGCGTTAATTTGCAAGGCTACTAAACCACCGCTTTTATCACATCCCCCTCCTGCCTTCATCACTCACGCGCATCAAGTTGGTATGGCCCTCGTCGCACAACCCCCCTCCAAGCCAACATCGTAAACAAACGCCTTGGCTCTATAAGAAGCGCGTTTGTATTTTACATATCAGGCCTGTCTTTAGTAATCTGGCGCTGACTGATTATTAATGTATAGCATCGTGCGTAATGCGATTTTCGTTTTCACTCTTACGTCGGCCGGACTGTGGTTTAAATGTGAGCGTGTTCCAGGCCGTATACCGTATTCGCGGTATTCGTAAACACCGACGCGTTGTTGGTTTCTTTGCTGGCTGTGTGGTAGTGAAGTTATCCTCATCGCACTCGTTTCACTTAACCTTGCCATTTCATGTCATCCGTTCAGTCCAACCGGAAGTGATGGTATGCCTTCTTCTTCTCTTAGGCGCAGACTCAGCGATTCAATGTGGCTGGGGTTGTCAGTGACCTCTCGAGCGAGTTAAACCGTCAGAAACCGCAACCGAGGCGCGTGAGCATCAATGAGCGCGGCGGTGGAGGCCTCTCGTTTCTTCGGGGAGGCGGCGGACGATCGGAGAAGCCGGATGCCTCGGAAGCGGCAGCGCGTCGAGCGGCGGGCGGCGGTGGGGCGGAAGAGAATTCGGGCGGTGAAGGGGAGGTGGCTTCGGGGGCTGGGGGAGCCGAAGAGGAGACGGCGCAGACCAGCACTGGTGAGGCTGCGAGCCAGTCTGTGCCTCCCCCCACCCAGTCCACTTGGGACTCCAACTACATCTCCCTCTTTGTTTCGTGAAGCGAGGGCAAACTTCACCACTGCCGCAGAACCAGCTGTGATTGGATGGTCGAGTATTTTATCCATGATTATTACTTCACTTTGTCGTGTGAGCTAAATTTCTTTCTTTTTCCCATTGTGAATACTCTTTCCCACCCCCTTCACGTTTTACTTTGAAACCACGCTGACATTCAAGATAAAAACCATTTTGCATAAAGACGGAGTCTTTCTTCCTTGTTGGGTCTGGTCTTTAGTAAGTCAGCGGTTTTATTGCATTAGATTTGAACCACCCTAGAGATAAAACATGCCTAAAAACTGTGAGCTGCGAATCACACCCACGGAATGGCAGCATTGAATGCGTATCGAAAATTTTGTAAATTTTTAGTTTATGGTACACTTTATACAACACGTCAACAGTCGCGGCGCCTTTCACCTAATCAGCTGTGCCGCTGCGTTGTTTCGGTTAACTACGGGAAACCCAATTCGATCAGAAACTGGTTGGTGTGTTAGGGAGACGCTTTCCAGTGGTAAGTAGCCAAACGCCGTTATGGTCGACGTCCTGGCAAGGTCCACAGGAGGTGGAACTCTTTACCGTGTCTCCTCCTCTCTCGTCAGATAATCAACCGTGTGCTTTTTTGTTATTCTGAATGAGGTTGCGTTTTGTGGGCGAAATAAGTCTTGTAAACAATGGCTGTTTAACACAAGACGACTTAGGCTTTTGTGGTCCATTAAAGCGTCAAATGAATTTTTTGAGGACTCTGGCATGTGGTCTTGAACCACGCCAGGGCCACTGAGTAGAAAGTGGCCCGCTTACTCCACCCAGATACCTCAATCTAGCTTTTTTGTGAACACATTAGCGCACAAATAGCTGAATGGTCAAAATAGTTCAACAGATTAAGGGCGAAGTTCATACATCGAAGTGCGAGAGAGTACTCCCATGGCTGAAGTGGGAGGGATAGTATATCGCATACCACAAATTCATGCGCAGGTACTTCAGATGGAATAAATGTACAACTACTACGTCAAATTACGTCATCGTGACATGTACCTAAGCACCGTGGCTGGGGTATACTGCCTAGTCCCTCCTTTTTAACGCTCGGATACCCTCGGTTTGGTCTTCCTTTAACTGGAACATCGAACAAGGCGTTGCCATCGAAAGGGACTTAGCTTGAGTGACCTCAAAGGTAGCCCCTTTGGCAGAAATCGATCATGCTGTCAAGCGAGAATTCCGGAGAACTAGTGCCTTTACCCAAGCCGATTTCTATTGCTCTAGGAGCTCAGCGAGTCCATCCCCAGCCTGTGGTTCCAGTTTCAAGTGTCCTAACACACGGTGCATCCGCTTTTCTTCGTGGACGCACCCACGGGAAACGACCCAGCAAAGGCCCCCCGTTAATAATGCACAAGAGAGTAACGCATTACCCACTCTCAACGGATGTCACGAACGTTGGCAAAACTTGACACCCACCAAAAGGGAACAGCGTTAATTAGAAGGCACATAGCCAAAGAATGTATTTAGGACTGTTTACCAGAAATGGGGTTGCTTCATTGGGTGAGTTGCTATATGTGGAATGCGTGTGGATTACGTAGGCAAGACTAAACGTTAGATAAGAAGCGACATGATAGGAAGACAGCAAAAGATCCTATGAAGAACGCATTACAGTGGGAGAGCATAAAAGAAGCCGCTGAGCACAGTCTACATCGACTCAAACTGCTCGACTCGGCACATGGTGTTGCCTTTGCGAATGTTGCGCAGGGTCTTGTACTTGTCGTTGCCCTCGCGCACGTTGTACTCGTGATGGCGGTCAATGTCACGCATCTTCGCCTCGTCACGCACCGGCTTCAACTCCGACTTGAGGTTAGCCAACTTCGTCTGGAGGGACTCGTTCTTGGAGACCTCGGTCACGCGCGACTCCTCCAAGCGCTTAACATTCGGCACCACTTCAAACTCTTGGGCTGAAATAGAGAATACACTCAATGCAATTTCCCGATTAATTCTTCTTCAAAGTTGCACGAGTTGCCATGTGTGACTGTGTGCCGAGAGGTGGTGGACAAGAGGTGGACGCGGTGTTTGGTTCAGAATGTGCAAGTCATGCCACAACGGAATGACTACTGCCATTTACCGTTGGAAAAGGTAGGAACCACTGTGATATCTCACTCGCCAATCCTAATTGCAACTGGAATGAAGCCTGCACACACGCACGAGGGCTAGTGTGTTGCTACGCGACGAGAACGTGTGTGCTCGCATAATGATTGCCGAGTTAGGTAATCTACGCTCCAACGCACAAACACACACACACACACTTTTTGAATGCACAATGTGACCGGCGTTTATTGGCGAGGCGATGCCAATTGACCGGCCACAAGGTAGCATAGGCGACTTTAACCGGTACGCCGAGGTTTCTACCGTCAGCCACAAAAAGCGCACAATAAAAATCACCGAACAAGGCACAGAATGACGTCCACACTGACCTTCGCTTTCGTCATCTTGCGAAGCAGCTAAACAAAAAAAAGGAAACAGTGTGAGGTATGGGCACACCACAAGAGATGCCTCATCGCTAAAATTCAGTCTTTGTTCGCTCGTCCTAATTGTGCTTTACAGAGAACGACTAGTGAGAATGAAATGTTTAGCTACTGTCTAATTGCACGTGCTAGGTACCAAATGGAACTTTTTTGGTTTTTTTTGCAGATAAAGCATGCAGTGTATCACACACACACACGCCCCAATGGTGTGATGCACGTGTGGTGAGAGCAGCCTTGGGGATGCCAGTCAAGCACCGCCAACAAGAGGAAGTCGCCAAGTTAAACACTACTGTCAGACAACACACTAGAGCGAGTAAACACGAATTACTGACATCTCAGAGGCGCGCGCACTTACCATCCCCACGGGCGTTGACAGCGGACTTGGCTTTGGACACGCGCTCCTCACGCAGGTGACGCAGTTCGGCCTCGGTTTTGGCCTTCTCGGCCTCCTTGGCCGCCATTTCTGCCTTTTGTTCTTCAACCTGGCGTTGCACCCGATCACGCTCGGCAATGAGCTTGTTGCGCTCCTCCACCGAGGCCTCAGTCTCCTGCAGAAGGCAAAGAGGGTAGCGGGGCAACGGAGAGTGCAATTGCCGCACAGCAATTGTGATTCCCAACAGTTACAATAAGGCAACGTGCTCTCTTCGATCACGACTATCGGTAGGTGTACACACTGCTACGCATCGAAAAACAAGACGGCAACTTGTAATCCGATTTTAGTGCAACCACCGCAACCACACGCATGACCACGTAATATGACCCAGATCACAAGATGCGGTCTTTCGTCCTACCAAGATCTTTGGAAGGTACACGTGTGCCAACCAAGACAGATGAGCGGATTAATCAAATCGCATTACTTTAACAATACCGGAACCTTGTGCGGAGTGAATTTGAAAAAAAAGACGAAGCAACGACCAGTGCGGCGCCAAAATACCAGGTTTAATTATTTGCATATTTGTATGCTGATGGCAAACGTCGCTCAAAAACTCCACAAACAGAGCATAGAGACCTAAAAATATACATTACTTCACATAATGCATTAAAAATTTGCCAAGTTGGATTACCACACATCATTTTTATTTGATGTGAGTCGCACAGAGATGTGCGCAAAAAACCGATGGCTCGTTTGGATGTGCCTCTCAACAGTGTGACATTGAAAAGGCGCAGGAACCGAAATCTTAACCTCGCTATTAACTTGTTTACCACTCCAAGAGAGAAATTCACGAGTGGCATAGAAGCATAACAACCACACACGCACCTCCTTGAGCTTCTGATTCATTTGAGCCAAGATATCTTGGTTCTTTTGCAGGTTCTCGCGAGCGCCTCGTTCCTGATCGAGCAGCACCTCCAGTTCGTTGATTTTTTGCTGGTACTTGGCGACTTTAAGAGACATCGCCTCGAAGTCGGACTCCTTCTGCACCATTTGCGACCGAAGTTCTTGAAGCTTCTGCTCGTTTTCCATGCGCTGCAGACGCTCCTCCTTCAGACGTTGCCTTAATTAAAAACCAGCGCAAATTCAGAAACTGACTAAATAACAGTGCTACAAAAATGTCAGTCGGTTTCGTAGATAAAAATAACAACAGGTTATAAACGAAAAAATAGGAATTAGCTCATATTCCTCAGTCCAGTTTCCACTAAATACAGACATAAAAAAATCATGCTGTCCCGACATGAAACCTTAATTTGCTACGCCCTGCCAAAAGGAAGGGTAATGTGCGCATACCAACCTTTCAGCTTCCTTCATTTCGCGCTCCTCCTTAGCCTGAATCTTCATTTGCTGGACCTCGATAGAGTCCGACTTTCTTCTGCGCATGTAGAGCTCATGGTTGCCAGTGCACAGAGCTAGGATGCGTTTATTAATCTTGGACTTGCTGACCAAGAAGAAGAATTCCTGTTAAGTAGAAAGCAAGCGTTATTGCATTCACCAATTTGGCCACATTCAAAATTCAGAGGGGTAAAAGACCTTTGCAGACTTGTCAGCAGGCTTGATGATGAATTTCTTGTCGTGGAAAGAGAGATTCCTGATTTCAGACCAGGGGAATCCAATCTTCGGATCCAAACTTAAAGGGGTAGCGTAAAGAGGAGTCAATTAAGGAGCACAAAACGACGACGCAGTGGTGAAAACAAACTCACAGGTTGCCCGGCTCGTAAATACTCAAGCCAAGAGCATCAACACCGAGTACAAGGGGTGTGCCCTTCTTGTTCTTAATATCAAAGGTCTCCACACCGTACATTTCAAGGTCCTGTGCAAGCTGCAGATACTGAACCATTGCATCCTCACGAGACATGTCATGATGGTCCTTGTAGTAGGTTATGATACGCTCGTACCACTGTTCGTCAGTTTGATCGTACTGCTCTCTACAATTAATGATCATTAACCGTTACCAGCAACCCGAATCAAAGAAGCAACATGAATGCCTGGTGGTATTAAAAAGGATAGTGCTGGGGTGAATGTAAAAATGCTTCGTAAATACGGGCTTAGATGAAACTAAAATACACAGATGCTCATAAAAAATAGGCAGCAAAATCTAGGAAACAGTGAAGACTTTAAAACAGACACTTTAAAGAAGACTAGATATAAACCATGGTTGGCTGATTTTTGTGAAAAAGTACAATTACTACCTTCCGGGAATCAATCTCTCAACAGGTAAGGTTTTAGGGCACGTCTGTGGGCTGTATGGACCGTATTTGGCGACACAGGCGTACGAAGCGAGAAGGACGGCGGTGTCCGTTGGGCAATAGATTTTACCAGACATTATATCGTTTTTAACCTAACAGAAAAAACAATATAGTAAAAAAAAAAACGATTTCACGCATGATGATTACAACACAAGAACATACTTGCAGGTAGAAGTGAGTTATCGTGCATGTTTGAATAAGTTCTTCTTCCACGTTTTCAGGGTAAAACTTCACCATAAACTTGAACTCGTATTCTGAGCCAGGAGCAAATTCATTGTGGGAAATTTTTTTATCCAGTCTTAAAAACGTTGGGTTGTTGTCCTTGTCGATATACTGAATGCCGAAGTACCAAACTTCACGAAGGCCAATTGTCCGAACCACCTGATCGAAGAGGTCCTGCCCCAAGGCACTCTTAAGCATCTCGAATTCCAGCTGAGATTCAGCTGTAGTGACTTTGACCTTAATCTATTACAAACTGCGTAAAGTTGTGTAAAAGAAACCTACCGCCTTGTTCTTATTCCTTTTCAACATGTTGGTAATCTACAAGAGAGTTGCTTTTCATCAATAGGAGTGGATGGTCCTAATGCAATAACCCATTAGTGCAAACACAAGACAACTGACCTACGTGTTCATACTCATAAAAACATTCTCACAAGAACAAATAAGCATTATTGATTCAAGCCTAGCTAAACGCAGCATAGTAAAAATTAAGCCTGCGGTTGATGAAAAGCTTTGGCATTTAAGTGATTTAATAGGATTGACAAGGGACCAAGAATTAATGCCTAAAAAAATGACAAAAGCAAATCGCAACTATAGATTTTGTGGATGAGATTACATAGAAAAAATTATTTTTAATACTGTATTTAGCAATACTTATTTTGACTTGCGTTATGATAGAACGCCATGGTTTAGTTCATTTAGAAACTACGCGTACATTTTTTGATATCCACAAAAAGGCTCCGGGGGCTTTCTTCATAACTTAGCAAAATGTGGTAAATGTGGTCATTAAAGCCTAAACAGACCTGGAAAGTACAAATGACGCTAACCGATAAAGTTCATGAAAAAGTGAAATTAACTAATGAATATTTTAATGTGTCCGTTAACATCAGACATCGTCTCAGAGAAGTATACAAGTTCCTACGTGGCGAGTTTAATACAGAATAAACAAAGGGACAAAGTAAGGAATTAAGTGTAAACCATGGAAGAAAAACAGGAAAATAGTTTATGTATCAACAAACAAGAGCCACAATGATGGACATGGTAGGGATTGTAGAAGTATTAAACAATCTAAGGGTAATTTAATTTAGTATTACGCAAACGGAAAATGTGTATAAAACTCCACATTCTGCTAATTTGCAAGAATAATTACACGGCCTTTTTAAAAAAGGTTTTATTTTTAAGCCAAAAGCTTTACCAGAGTTAAAAGCGGGGTATAAAATTACTAAAATATATACACCTACATTCACAGAAAAATTAGAGCCTTATTTATGTTAATTTACATTACAAGACCTCTGCGAGCAAAAAACAGGATCCAAAAGTAACTCAATATAATCGGAGCACAACTAACAATCATAAAAAAGAAAAGGCAGGACTCACAGTACGAGCACGTAACCCAAGACGCAAAGTGCAAAAGTGGGCGGACTCGAAACCGGCTCTCTGCCAAATTAAATTCAATAGCAAATAGCTTAAACAAAACAACTAAGTAATTCAATGAATTCATTTAGAATGTCTTTTATAGCTTTTTGCTGCAGTTAACAACTTAAATATCTTTTACTTTGATAATTATACAGCTTGTTTTCGTGTGAGCATTTATTTTGTCTTAATTAGAAATCAGATATCAACTATACTGACTGATATTTCCAAGCCAGTTTTTGATAGAGCCACACCTTGGGCTCCTTTTCCAAGGCCAGTTTGTGCACTTTATTACAAAAAAGTACCAAGGAATCATGCTTTGAACTTTTAAATGAAAGGCTTTTTTAATATTTGGATCGTTGAAGAAACATAAGTTCGGCCTCCGTATAGTTTGGAGGCAAGAGTTATTTTGAGACATACAGTAAATGGTAGCAATAATTATCAATGCGTAAATGGCAGAAAAATCAATTTATATTTGCTCTAGATTAAGATTCATGTTTTCCTAAGTTCACAAGCTTTCATTTTTTCTTAAATCGATAAAATTGTTTCAAGTTGGCCATAACAAGGCCAGCACAGGGAGGTGTGAAATAGGTTAGACCTGCTTTATTAATGGTAAAGGTTCCTTAATGTGTTCGATGAAGCATAAAAACTGAAATTCGACTTATAATAATATTCTGCCTATCTTGATTTTTGCGATGCTGCATAATTAATTATTTGTTCATTACGTATCGTCAGTTTTCAAGTTTGCTTAACTTATCTTTAATAATAACTGAATACCTAAAAGGCCCAAGAAAGTGCACTAAGCAGCCAGGTTTACAAAATTTATAAATAAGGGTTGAATAAGACCATAATTTTTTATGTTTCTAATGTTTTCCAAATCGATGATTTGATTAATTAAAAAAAATTGTTAGATAATGCGCATTAAAATTCACATATGCTGTGCGATTTTAAAAAAACAAATGCTTATATAGTTATTAATGTAACGTTCCTAACAACAATAACTCTGAAAATGGTAACTGTGACTTTGTTCTTCAATGCCAGCCATGGTTGGATATCGGCTCTGACAATAAGTCAGCTTATTTATCCAGCGAGCATTTATGTTAGGCAGAGAATACAATTGCTTTAAAATATTTTTTCTTGTATGGGAAATTTAGTTTATCGATTATGAAATCAATACCCATGGGAAGTAAAACAATTATAATTCTCTCATTTGTTTGGTTGACACTTGTTTGTGTATAAAATTCACTTCTGCTTCGAGACCTTTATGAAGTATTTTGCCATCTATATCATATATGTATAAGCATTAATTAGTGTAATATTGCATCCGTTTTATTTTTAAAAACACAAAACTTTTATGACGACTATGGCCACAGGGTTGCGTTTAGAAATTGAGTATAACATTTACCCGAGTTGCTTTTTGCCTAATTGATGGGAATGTTATGTATTTGATACTCTTAAGTCGAAATGAAATTAAAGCTTGCAAAGTGTGTTTGCTGTATTCGACGATCGACGATTGTTTTTATGACGTTCAATTTGCCCAAGATCAATTAATGAATAATCTTCAATTTTGGCATTGTTGCATTTCTCTGCTGTGTTAATGTAAAAAGCTGCTTTATCGCAAATTTTCTTCGATATCGCAGTATAATAATTTGTCATATATTATTACAAATTCTCCTTTGGTTATCGATAATGGTCGAGTGCATCTCGTATATATTCATTTTATTGATTATATGAAACCTTTTTTGTATCTCTATTTGCTGGTTTGTTTTTGTGTTAAAGCAACGTTTTTGAAAAGCAAGCTGGTGATTCCATTTTGCTTAAAAAACAAAAAAAAATATTTAGCAGTTGACTAGTCCCATAAGAAGATGTGCGTTTAGTTGATCAAAGTGCTTTTATAGCATTAGTCAATTATTTTCCAAGAAATCATAAAATTGCAAATTTAACGTTTGAAAGCTTAACTTGGGCTTAAGAGGTAGGAACATCCGCCTCCGCATATAGGAAGAATTCACAGCCTCTGCCAAGGAAGGATTCCAGGTCACATGTGCCTTGAGTGCATAAAAGAGAACTATCGAAACCAAAGGTGAATAGGCATTTAAAAAGGAAGTGGCTGATGTGAAATCAGATGATGATATTTACAACACGAATGTTAATGTAACCGATATTTTTCGTCACTTCAAATTTCTAGTGGTAGCACACAAATCAATGCTAAATTCTTGTAAAAACGATTTCAATTTTAGGGCTTAAATGCTAAAATTGATAAGTACGTAGTTTTAATACCCCTAATTGCTAAAAATTTGACGAACTGGGAGGCAGTGCAAAATTGAATATCAATTTCCAGTAACTAATTGTGATGACGGTATATGGCCTGGCCACAATATACCACTTAAATAGCCCAGCCAACCTCCTGTCCCTATGTGCTGGGTTAGACGCGAATGTCATGAATGTTCTGAAGATTGGCGCCAAATGTTTTACAAAAATATTCACATATTCGCTTATATAAGTGAATAGGTTAACAAACTACTTAAAATTAACAATGATAAAGTAAATGATATTGCATGTTAAAGTAAAAAGGTTAGACACCGTTCAACGTATTTGAACCCCTAATGTCGTGCTGCACAATTAAGCAAAATGTGAATAAAATTGCTCTGTGGCCTTTTAATGGCTATATAATTAAATAAACTAATTTAAAAACGTGTTAAACAAGTTGATATTGTGAACTTAAGGATAAATGCAGAAAAGAAATTGAAATATCACTCGGTGTATACACGGAGAATGCATTTGCGTTTTAGAGTAGACAAAATACTAAAAACTAGGGTACTAGAGTAGATTACTGTTTTATTGGGATAAAATATAAAAAAATTTAAATAGCTTTCTTATTAAGAAAACATATTAGCACATTAATATTATGTAGTGAAATATTTATTTGTATAAGTCTCTTCACACGCGCTGTCTTTAAGCTCTTCTGGCGGGACCTTTTTTGGCTTGTAATAATGGGTCGCAGATCGATTAACACCACCAAAAGTGGGAAATATATGAATCCCACAGATCAAGCTCGTAAAGAGGCCCGTAAAAGGGAACTTAAAAAAAATAAAAAGCAGAGAATTGCTGTCCGCCATGCCGTCCTAAAATCGAAGGATGCCCTTCAGTTACTCGAAGAGGCATCCATGTATGATAAACAAGGTACCAGTTTTATCGACCTATTTAAAGAATTGTAAGAGTATGACCCAAGCGTGCAAGCGTCGCTAAATGAACGTGTTCTACAGGGGAAACGCAAGCGGCTTCTTGAAACGTTTGACAGTCTTCTCTCGTTATACGTGAGAATTTTTATATGACTTAATTTTGTAGAAAAAAGAAGATCCCGAATATGCTAAGGAATTACAAAGAGCTCGGAAGGATTATGATAAACGCAGGCATGATATGATGCTTTATTACGGTATGTCTTGCTAATTTACTTATTTTTCAGAACAAGTAAAGCTTGCTGAGCGAACTAAAGCAAGTGACATACCACTTCCCGATCTTCCGCCATCACAATTAATATTGCCACCGGGTGAAATTTCCCTACCAGTAGGGATATCCGTTCCATTCACAAAAGGGATATTAAAAAAACCTCTCAGGTTAGACATCGCATTTTTGCTTTTAGCTTCAAGCTGTGGCTATAATGCCAACGTTACCTTTGTGTGTGATAAATTTTATGCTTGCGTCAAGAAATAAGTTGTAGACTGATCTGAATAATGTACGCGTTGAGTGATAACACATTAGATTTTGTCGTGCCACCACGAATTCAAACTCTTTTTTCACGAAGCACAGGTTTTTAAGCGTCTCATATTGTCGTAATTACCCCTTACCTTTTTCAAGTCGTGACTATTAATAAAACACCCAAATCTAGTTAGATTACTGTTTTTTGATTGTAGGAAATGAAACTCCTGATTTTTTTCACATGATAATGATTTAGACATTTCATTTACTCTTATTTTTGTCAATTTATGTTTATTTGCCTTGGAGACACGTATGCTTCTAGAACATAAGCAGGGTTAGCTGATATCATTTCACAGCAATTTTGCCTGTACACAACTCAATCCTGTTGACTGCTTCATCGTAGGATTTGTGAAATAACTGTTCCTGCATAAATGTTTAGGGTATGTACAATGGTTTTGGATAATTTGTCATAAAATTTGATTGCAGTCGTTGATTACAGCTGAAAATTCCATATTATGCTGTGTATAATATAACGAGAGGACACGGTTAAATCTGTTTTGTGTTTTGGTTCTGGAAATTTCGCCGTTACATTATCTTAAAACCAACCATTAATTTGCTCAATAAGCTTTAGGAGCTTGGGTATGTTAGCGTTTTGCGCCGTGGCTTAACATTGGGCAGATTCCCGAATGTAGAAGTACATGCCGTCTCATCTGCATGTCTTTAATCAACTAACAAATAACTTGTATTAGTCGTTACGCCAACGTAGCTATTTTTGCAACGAACTGTATTTTAATGTAGGTCAAAGTATGTTAACAGCCTTCTTTCCCATTCAATTCATTTTGCTAGCTTGTCCGGTCCCCCACCAGGTCTCGTTACTTTTGGCCGTAAACCCCCCGGTCCACCGCCTCTTCCAGTTCCCGACTTGTCTGACAGTGAGTCCGAAGACGCCGATGGAGTTGGCGATCCAATGAAGCAGCGAAGAATTCGTTTTGCTGATATTGGGGTACGTTGCACAGAGTCGTCTGCGAAACGGCCACTTCCTTTAGCGCTATCCTCACTGTGGGTATCATAATTCAGAGCTTTTCCGTCGACTAGTCATTTCCCTGCACACGACTTATTTTGAGGCAAATTCTTTAGTTCTGCAGACATTCTGCCGATATAGTGAAAGCGCATTTGAATGGGCTCAGCGGCGAGGATATCCTTTTCTTTTTATTTTTTGCTTTAACTTCTTGCATAATTAGTTCGATTACTTTATTAGTGCCAAGTGAAATCGTGCAGTATTATAGATCTAGGCAGGTTTATTTAGGATGACAGTAGTTTTCTCATTCGTTGACGCAACCTCAGGGGTAAATCACATTTTTAGGCTGTTTTGTTTTGATGAAGCAAGCTGTTTCCTCTCAAAACGGGCCTTTGGCCGAAGGTTAGTTTTAATGGTCCCAACGGACACTGTGGTTTAAACATTTTTGAGCATATACAACCTCGCGTACTCTGGGTGACTGAAGATTCACGACCGGCGATCTCCAAATTTGTGAGGTTACTCGCCTTTCTGCATGAACCTAACGAGGTTTCAATGAAACCGACAAATTAATTAACATCTGCGTGAAGTTGTAGTATTTTCTACTGTCTTGCTTAAAGTCACCCCAGGGTGTCAAACGACTTTGTGGTGTTTTAATTGTGCCCACCTATTTGGTAAAACAATTTTGCTATTTTCTTTGTGTTTTACATCAAATTTTGCCTACACGTAACACTTACTACCAACGCTCACAGTTGCGCGATAAAATTATTTTGAGGAAATCTGGTCACTAGGATTCCTCTATTCTTTTTGCATATTTGCAAGTAATCGGCGTTTTCCTCCCAAAGAACGCACCGTAGAACTCTTAGTTCCTGTAACGCAGTTTTTATTCGTTCTATTCCGATCACGACTTTTTGTTCCTTGAATTTCTAAAGATACCACCTTGAAACACATGGACACTTTGATACTCGCTTTTGTTGTTTTCTTTTTTTTATAGCCTTTTGTGTCTCTTTGCTGATTTTCCCTCACTTATTCATGGCCTGTTTTCGCCTATCCTCATTTTGCCCATTGATTTCACCCACTGCTGAAAACTTTCGAGGTCACGTTTTGTAACTCCTACGTAGTCGTCCCGTATGTCTAACTAGCACCACCTCTGAATTATGGTATTGTTTGATGTTTTCCCAAAATCTCTTAATAATTTGTAGTATCGCTGTCACATGCCTACATTTTTAAATTGTATCCCTTCAGAATGAAGTCCAAGCACCTGGATTTGCGTCCGGTACGTCCCATTTTCCTAAACTATCCGACACTGTAAGTAGGTTATTTGTGTGTACTTTTATTTTGCGACACGGACATCAGCCAGTTCAACCTGTAGACCAGAACCACTTGTCGCCAAAACAGTGTTTTCATTCAAAATATCCAAATTGATGTCAAGTGATCCTGCAGTAGATGGTATGAAACGTTGTGTTGCCTTTGGCAATCCCAAAACGAAGAGTCTTTAAGGGTCTTTAAAGAACCCGTAAAGACGTTTTGGGGGGTAGAAAGGAGTGATGTGTGTGTGTGTGTGTGTAATGTATTGTTCTTTGTTAGGTGTTCCAACTTCACAAATACCCCTGCCTCCCGCTGGTGCTGGCCTGCCCGGATTCCCAGGGCTGATCCGTCCGGAGTATCCAGGAGCGCCTGGCAACCAAATTCGCATGGTCATGCACAACCGTAAGTGTCGACTCTACAGTAGTAAAGCAGTTTTCCAGTGCCACATCGACAAAGACCTCTGCAATCATTATAAAGCCATTTGCATTCTTCATTGAGCTTCAGTGTGCCCTGGTTGTCGCTTAATACGTATTTGCCAGCATAATGTTTCTTTTAGCCGGCGGAGCTGTACTCTCAGCACCACCAACTCTCAACCCCCACCCCGACGCTCCGACTGCTGACCACGGAGCCGGTGGAACGACAATCGAGGCGAAGCCTCAGTTGAAGAATCTAATCGGTGACGCCACTCGCTTCGTCCCCACTTCACTCAAAGTACGCCGCACAGTGAAGGACGCACAAGGTCGGCTAATTAAAATCGGCGGCGGGGTCAGTTCCACCGGTAACCGTCCTCGGGGTCCAATGACTGCTGCTCGTAAGCCATTCACTTTTGGATCTTTTTAGCGTATTCGTCCCAATACGTATTTGGTCCTCTTTTTATTATATATTTAATTACTGCATTTTTTCTATTCTGTTCGTTGATTTACCACTCGTCCTTCAAAATTGTGACATAAATTTCGCGATATGTCTTCCCGGTTCCCATTCTTGAGGTCTGACCTTCTACTTTGTTCCAATTACTTTCGCTGCAACTTGTTAGTTTTAATACTTCATCGTCTTCTTGTTTTCACAATTTATCCTTGCAGCTTATTATCGTTCCCCAAAATGACTGATTGTTTAATCATTTTTTTGTCTTTGCGTTATCCTGATAATTTCAAACCAATTAGTCTTATATGTGTTTAATATGCGACCTTCATACTATTTGTAGAACGAATAGGAAGTATTCCTGGCGGTGCCTTGGGCGTTTCCGGATCAGGGACGACTTCGAAAAATACCGCAACGAGCAAGGATGCTGCCTACGAGGAATTTATGCGAGAAATGGAGGGATTGTTGTAGTACACATGTGCATTGTTTGTTTCCTGTAAACATACATATTTTTAGCCATATGTCGCAATTTGTTTTACGGGTATTGTAATTAAGCAAGCCAGATGATAGTTTCATCGGCACAAGTATATTCCGGGAATTTACATATAGGATATACAGAAAATTGCAGTGCATTAGCTTGTCCCATGTTCGTCGAGCCAATAGAGATTGCATCAATCTTTCATTTCCATCTTCGCAAGTTTGGAGCATTACCACTTGAAGATTGCCTTTGTTCCTAGTTTGGTGTATTGAGCATCCGTAGTCTCATCTTACAGTATCCTGTAGAAAAATTATCTTTTTAGCTGCCCCATCGGATGTAACTTGAAATTGCAAGAGACACCTTTTGTGAATGCCTAGGACTCGTCGCCTCAACTACGACCTGTATGGTGTTCGTGGGCGCCGACACACGTTTGGCTAGTAGCTCGAAATCAGATGCGCTTTGTTGTTATTAGGGTCTAGTGCAACCAGGATGACATCAAAATTTAAACTAGTGGGTAATCAAAGTAATGGTGCTTAGCATCACCGTGGGAAACCTTAATGACATTTAAGTAGAGGTTCCAGTGAAATCGATGACAGAGAGTAGAAGGGCATTTAATGAAAGTTCTACTCCATCAAACGTCAAACTTTGTGTTTGAATTTGCGAAGGAAAATGTGTTCGATAGGGAAATTATGGACTAAGCATTTTGAGGTTCACATGAGTGTTTAATAAGCTGCTAGGTTAACACAATTATTGGATAAAACATGGAAACACTTGTACTTTGATCACAACAGCACCTTTTTGAACAGTTGTTCATTAAGCACAGCGACCATACTCAGAATCATGTTTAAAAAAATTGAAAACTAAGACGTTTAATGCTGAAATCAAAAAATCCTCATAATTAACTACATAATTAGAACTTGATTGTGATTTTGAAACAAAAATCATGCCTTCATTAATGCACAGATGAGCTGAACAGTATATTCTTGATTATATTCAATGAAATATAGTGTAATTTGCTTATATTAGCAATAAGTAGGACATGGCTATGTATTAATAATTTCTCCACGTGCATATTTTAACAAAGCTCTCAATGGTCCGGAATTATAATAAAATGCAAAAGTAATTTAGTAAAAACTAAACGTACATAACAGTCAAGTTAACGCAATGCATAAACAAAAATTCTTTATACAGCATGAATTTAATTATACTAAGGAAATTATCAACAATGATTCGGCCTTGGATATTTCTGCCTAATTCAAATTTCATTACCGTTTAACGAAAATGTGGTATTTGAGGTCGCGCGTTTGTTTTAAGCCAAATTGATAACATCTCTTAGGGTATGCAAATTATGAATTTTGGCCTTGTTATGTGATTAATGGTTTAGAACTTTCAGAACTTGATGTTTTAACGGTTTCTTGGTTAGTTTTTTTTCAACATAGTTTGGAACAGACAGAGGCACTAAACTTCTTTTGTTTTATGTAGCATTTCCTACCAGCGAAAGTTTTTGTCTCGTATTCGAACTCTGATTTTGTAATTAATATTATTGCTGCGAATTTCCCCTGTATGATGTTCTTATATTCTGGTTTATTTTCGAGGTATTTGCACATTGCTTCGATATATCAGCGGTTTAATTTCGTTTAAAACTTTTTTAAGCAAGCTAAATGCTAGTGCAAAGCATTTGATACTGTTTTCTTGCTGAAATCAAATTACTCCTGGACACTATTGACATAAATTTGTGCTCCCGCACGATTGCACTTCCTCAATATTGGAAGTGCATTTTGATTTTTGTGGTCTGGATATTTACTGCCATACATAATTCAAATGAGTTACTATTTCCATACCAAGTTATTTGCTACATTGCTGCATCAAACCTTCCTTAACTAACCAATGAATAATTAAGTCAGTCTTTGCCTTCTTAGTTACCGGAGCAGTAAAATACGTTATTACCTTGTTCTTAATGACTATTTTAAAATTAAAAGGGTTAGATTTGCATTTGGTAGGATAAATCGTGGGCTTTGTAGGCTTTTGTTGGTTTCCGCTGGACAAAATATCCCTGACGCACCTACAGTAACCTCGATGCATTAGAATAGCATCGTTTTAAGCCTTCCATTTGGGGCTGTTGGTTATCAGTAATAAACCATATCCTCATGCAAAACATAGTCACTTAAGTCGTTGATTAGTGGCACAACGTTATGCATGAGGCTAATTTTTTGCTATCCATTTTTTGCATCTCACGTGTGCAAAACGGTTCCTTAGACAGATGCATTTAGTTATGCATATTTGATGGCCTTCATTAAACCGAAAACTTCCCAAGGCCGTTGCTATAAAATATGAAACCCAAGTAATTAAAAGCCTATAGAACTTATAAATTATTGCTGCTCTGCGGCAAATGTTGATCCATTTTACAACTTGAAAAGCTGTTATGATTCTGCTAGTTTACTTAAACTTTTTTGTTTTGTGACAGGATTAATTTGCAACTTACAAAACAAAAGGGTGGTTATAGGCCAATGCGCATGAAACTTGAGGAAGAATTTCAAGGTCGTGGGAGGAAACAACATTTGTCTACCTCTTCCAAAATATTTGGCTTGGCACTGTTAAAAAGCTATAACTGAATTCAATGAAAACAAGACTTTAGAAAACACCGCTAATTTTTACCAATCCGCAAGAGGATATTTTGCAGATTACTTCACAGACTTTAAGGCCGCAAATTTAATTTCAAGTTTAACACGGAGACGAGTCTAAAATTACTTTTAATTGTCGGCTTGCAATAAAATTGCCTTTTGCTCCTTAAGTCAAATCTATACCGCATGTTTTTAAAATGGAGGTAGTTTGTCAATGTGACATGTCATATGCAATCTCAGTTATTCCGAGTTTGATTTTGTAAAATATTATGAATCCCCCATGTAACTTTTCAGTGTGTTAGGTGGTGAGAATTGTTTAAATGTTGGGAAAGACTGAGTGGTTCTGCAGCAGTAGTATTTGCTAAATGGCGAATAATCGTTTCGTATTTTTATGTAAAATAATGAAAGTCCTGTATCATTGCAAATTGCCACACTTGCGAACTCATTTTCTCTTTGATCAGTCGAATAGTAAAAGCAGTCATGGAAGAAGCTGGTCGCTGGCAATTAATAAATGCGACTCTCAACGGCGACGGGCATCGCTTGCGTTCTCTACTTTCGAAGAAACCCTCAATCGACCTTTTCCACGTGAGATGATTCATTTGTTCTCTCCTGGAAGTATTTGGAGTCAAACAGCTTCTTTAACAAATTCACATCTTGAATTGCTTTGGTATATACAAAACCCCTTAATGTCTTTCGCCTTTTTTGACTACCTAGCGAATGTGTTGATCGGCAATATAATCGCAAACACGCATGCATATTTGCCGATTAGCCCACGGTTTATATGATTTTACCGTCTCCTTATAATTTCTAATTCTTAGGCGTGCCAACTTTTTCACTTGGCGGCGGCATGTGGCAGTACAGAAAACCTTAAGACCCTCCTCGCATTTATCCCATCACTCAATGTAAACTGCAAAGACGAGGTAAGGCATGTGTTTGTGTGTGTATGTGTGTGTGCATTAAAGTTATAGCATAAACAATTCGTGAACGTAGATTGATACTCCTTAACCTGATTCGATTTGTGGTCTCTCCGAAAGCCACCGGTGGTTTGTGTGTTCTACAGTGACTCGCTGGTTAATCGGGGGCAAAATCAGTAAGGTTGATCTGCCAGCCACTTAACAGAATGATTAATGTAGTACCAGTCCGACCAGCATGACACCATGATACAAGTGTGTGCATATCGGTTCATTGCACCTGGTACAAGTATTTTGGCCTGTGAATATTAATGCAGCCATGGACTGTTTTGTGTAGATTTTAATGCTGCAATCATCGTTGCAGGAAATCAAATCAGAATGAGTGGGCCTGTAGGCTTCCTTAGTTGACAGGTATTTTAGATAAATGATTACGATGCGAGGTTGTAAAGCACCAATTTTTCATTCCCGCCTCCCAATTTGCACTTCTATCATACAATCGACCTCAATTTATGTTAATGGTAAAAACCGACGTCGCAACAAATATGAATATTTCCAGTGAAGCCCGTTGAGTTAAACGTAGTGCGAAATGGTAGATCATAGCCCAAGGCAAACGTCGCCGTCTTAAAAGCATTAAAAACACCGAATGTCGCATTGTTTTCGTGGACTCCCAGACCCAGCCTCCACTCCCCATTTCAGACCGGCTGTACGGCACTTCACAAGGCGGCATCGGCTGGTCATCGAGAGATCATTCATTTCCTGATTTACCACGGCGCCCAGGTTGACGTGCAGGAATATCTGGTGAGTCAACGCACAACGTTTGTGCACTTCTGACCATTCGGTTTGACCTAAACCGACAGCTTCAATCCACCAACAAACGCTCGCGCGGCTTCTCTGTTCATAGGTTTCACTTACGCCTTAGTTTTGAGGTAGGTATGCATGTAGTGCAGCGACGAAGCTCGTATTTTAGCTTAGAACTACCCAATTATTACCTTCTTGCACGTGTCGCGCTAACTAATTTTTCACATTGTATGTCTGTTTATCGGTAATTTCGTCAAAGAAAGCCACTTTTTTTCTACCCTCCTATTTGCCATGTCTAAAATCGCTTCAAAGACCCGCTCAAAATCCGGACTTTGATGTGACTGCAAAGCTTGAACACTTTCCAGACTACTGTGTTGGGGAGGGGGCGTTTTGCCAAAACAAAGTGGCTGGCCTTGAGTTGGCATAGATTACTACAGTAGTGCTGAAATATTGTAATCTCATAGTGAATCAAATAAGTAATACACAAATATCCATGAATCTGCCTTGCAAGATTAATGAAGTTTCCAAGTGACAGTATAAAGGTGATTCAAATATCGAGGGAATATCTCCAGATTGTTTGCGACCGTTACCATGGTTCATTATTCAGCCAGCATTCCTTATGCACACGAATAGCTTTTTCACTTGTTCAAATGCTGGTCATCCGATGTTTTGCGAGAATGCAGGACAGACTTTTACATGAACGCGTTTCTTTTTACCTCAGTGGTTTGGAAGGTTAACCAATGAAAAGACTTCGTCCAGTTTAATTTCCTTTACGGCGCGAATTGGGAAGAACCTGCTCCTAAGAATATGGTCATTGACAAAGAGCCCTGAGCTCGCAGTTGTACTTTAGAATCTCCCAGATTTTAAGAAATTGGTGCATGAATTTAAGGTAGTTCAGATGAATATTCGATTTCTGACTGTCGTAATGGTAAATCTCAATTCAAAATTATTTAATATCGATGCTAGCGGATGTCTTGCACAACTAAACTAGCGCATTTTGTCAAAACCTTTGCCTCGTGAAAACAATTTAGCCCTCGCAGAAAACTAGACTGGGTGTATTTAAGGAAATTACTGCTTAATTGTTTGTGTTCATTCCAGTCATCTTTTTTTAACTCAAAATGATAATCCAGTTTTTAGAATAACATAGATGGCCGAATTTATTTACTAACGTCAAAACTGACCGTGTACGATTGGGGCATACTGTTTTTGACAGTCTAGGCTGACTGCAAATTTACCGAGACATTTTGTACAGCACCAGGCAGGGGACGGTGCGTAAGGTCACCACACTGCAAGTGTTGTTATCTGCTCAACTACGCGACACGACGCTTACTGCCAGGGGTATCCATCACCCACACACGCTTCATGCTCGAATATTTTACCTACTGTGAGTCAACCGTGTGGTGGCTAAAGGCATTCAGTGGTGCCTCGATTGAATCGCGTCTCACCGCAATGCTGCAACGCAGCTGTGTATTCGCTGTGCGAGCAGTCCGACTTGGAATGACATCCAGACATAACAAGGCGAGGATTTGCAGTGCGACGTCACCGTTCGAAACACCGTCCCAAGCCTTGGTGTGTTCACATAGCTATCGCTCTCATGTAAGACAAAATTCTTCCTAATACTTTCTAGTTAAGTGTGTCATCTTTCTCTACAACAAGTTATTTGTTTGCCGGAATAACAGTCAAATCGTAGCAAGCAAATTTATACCAGTTTTGATTCAAGAACTCCAGCACAGATTTCTCAAACTGATCTACATTTTGAACACATTGCTGCGTCCTAGAAGACGGTAGCTAGGTGCCGATGGGTGCTGTAAACGAGGCCAAAGTGACCGTCAAAGCTCTACATCATTATTTACAACTTCAAGATGTTTTTAAAGTTTTATGCAGCTTAAAATCACCGTTAGTGTGAGGGCAGTTCCGAAATGAATCATTCCTCATTTATTTTGAAATTTACGAAGGAACCCTACCGAGCCTGGCCTCGACTACTGACCCCATGTAACCAATCACCTTTTTCCAATAAATTTTCCGCATAGGTGATTCACTTTGGATTAACCAGGCATTACATTGAATTTTCGTTCTACTTTACATGGGTGTTAATTAGCAGTTGCTTGGGTCCCCCTTGGAATTATTTTAATTTTCTTTTTTTCATAGTGGCTTAGGTATTTCAAGGCCTTTAAGGAAAGCATTTCAAGAACATTTCACTACAATTATCTGGTAAATCAAAATTTCACTTTTTCGCTTTTCCTGACGTACGAGCAATGGTGCTCTGGCCGAGTTTGTGGCTTAACATCGAAATTTACTTCACACACATTTTCGAGTTGTCCATTTATCCTTCTTTAGGGCACATTTTAATACCCAATTTGGTATGGTAAATGATGGGGCTTGACATCGTAACGGTAACAACATCGCGGCGATAATCGCGTTGCATTTACCTGGTAGGAAATGTGAGGTTTTATGGCCCCACCAGATGGGGCTGCTCGTTTGTTCACTCAGTTTCATGGGCCCTTGCATGTGGGAAATAACTGAATGAACTCTTTTGAGGCCCAGCGTGCGGCCTCGAACCACACTGGGGTCGGCGAATTGGCCTCAACCCGAGCTCGCTACATAGATACCCGGGAAGACTAAGAAGACCAGAGGTTGCGGAGGCTGTCGTTTGCTAGATGGCCCAACCTCGTTGCAGCGTTAACGTGTTTGTGGTTTCAACGTGAACTAAGACTGGGTCAATGGACGAGAATCAGCTCGATTCACTGCAACTCTATGAATATTGCAAAGGACCTCTTTTTAGAAACGAGATCACCTGAAGTTTGAATGCGGACTCGGCCCATGCTTCTCAACCTTGTCCCAAATCTAATCGTATTGGCAACGTCTTTTTTTTATTTAAATTAACTTTTGAAAGGCATATTTGCGATTTTTCCTAAAAGTACTATTTTTCCTATTAATTTACAACTACTCCAGTTCAAAGTAAAACAATTACTTCACTCTACGGTAATTTGCTTAGTCCGAGTAATTATCCCTAAAGAACTGGGTGTAACTTTAAAATTTCCTCTATTTCCGTTGGTCCAATCCCGTGACTATTTTACCGAAGGTTTCGAAACAGTGCGAATGCCCATTAGTAGATGGTCTTGGAAAATGTACAACGTCGGATTATATTAAACTAAAAAATAACCCTTCTCTGAGTGCACTTCTTCATCGACGTCGACTGAGTGCGCACACTTCCACAAATGTTTCTTTGCCAATTCTAAACCTGTTTGCTAGTGGTGATTGTCCTCCAACTTGCAAGCTGCTGATTTACTATGCTAATGCTTAAATTATTTAGGGATATCGTCAAATATTTTGTGGAACCCTTCGTTTAAAGTGCCCAGATTTATCATTTACACGAATGCTTTTCTTTGCAAACTTTTCATTCTTTTGGGATTGGTTCGTCTGGCTATAAAAACCTATTACAATTTGCTTGTATTACACCTGCACCCAGCAGACGCAATCTCTAAATGGGTTTAAATATTCCCAAGGAAGTAGTTTACGTGAATGGTATTCGACATTGCAAGAACTCACCGTGCTCACGTGAACACCCTTGCAGTGAATTCGTCTTTTAATTGCCAATCCAAATGGCTTCGTGAGCTGTTTTTAATTGTATGAGAGTTCGCTTTGCCTGTTTGTACAAGAAAATCTTTCTCGTCTGTCTGTTACAGCGCTATGTGATTCACCTGATCTCACGTTCCGCGTTATTCGGTTTCAAACGTTCGTTGTGGTTCAACTGCCACTAATGCTAGAGCGAGGGCCAAAACGCACTCAAAATTGTTCTGCACTGCATTCAAAATAGCAGAAATAGGCGGCATTGCACCGACTTTGACGAAATAAAATAGTTTCCGCATCTCACTCGCTGCTTCTTCGCAGCCATTGGTTATTTTATTACAAAGAGTTGCTTTCTGTAGGTCATGTCAAGGTCAAACTAAGTCCTAGTGTTAAAGGATTCAGCCAAAATTTCTCATATTACACAAAATAGTAATAAGTTATGATCACTCGAGTCAAACTTTCGCGTTTAAGAATAACGAATAGTTGATGTAGTTGGAATTCAAATACTCTTGGGTGTAGCATGTTTTCAAAAAAGACTTTAAAGAAAATACACTTCATCACACATGGTTGCCCGTGAAAATATGGTGCCTGCACAACGTCACTAATTTCTGTGCTGAAGAGGGTACAGTTGCACCCATTGTGCGTATAACTTTTTCGCTCATCGCTGCCTTTGTACAAAGAGCCCTCGGACGTGCAAAAAACAGCAAACCAAAACGTAGTGGACATCAAAGCCGGTGGCGCGCGATATCGCACATCATCGGCGGCACTTATACCTACGCCTGTGCGGCCAATTCAGCGCAAGCATTTTAAGCGCAAGAAATCCAAAATTGGTGTCCACGTTGTGCGATGTTTCTTTTTCTGAAAATTGAAAAAAAGCTGAATCTAAACATGATCAACTCTAATGTCGTGTGATCTGCGCAATTAATGCATCCTCTCTAGCGCCCTTTGGAGCTTGCTAGGGAATTAGAATCTTACTCTACTAAATATCCAACTGATTTGCGACTGATATTGTTTGTGTGCTGATGTTAAATATCATTTTGAAATTAGACAAACTCTTGCCTCATGTAACTCGAACGATGTCTTGTAAAATCCACTTTGCAGGACATCTATAACTAGGTGGTTTCGGCGTAAATTATATGAAACGCATTTGTCCCGTGGTCGAAAGTCAATGGCTATGGTGATTCGCAAATTACTCAGTTTCCTCAAGACAGCTGATTTGATGGCAGCTTTTTATCTTATCGAGGTGACCTCACTGATGGGACAAACGAATGACATTTCTGTAGTGAAAACCAGAATTTGTCATGCCTTTAATTATAATCAATTTGGTTAACACTTGCAACTTCGGGAATTTCAACTCCTAGATCGACATGCCCGCCAATTATATTGCTTGAATGTTTTTTATACAGTAGGGTTAATTGGTTTTAGTATTCCCACGAATGACTAATAGGGGCTATTTCGACCACTGTATCTGTAAATGTTTATCGATAAAGACCGCATGTAATCTCTGCGCCTCTGCAGGATTCATATTATTACGAATTGGTACAAGCAGATTAATTCAATTTATTACATTCTTGTACACTTCCTTATGTCCCGAAAATTGAATTAATTTCTAGTCAAATGAGGTGTGTTGAAACAAAACCATTTCAGCAAGGACTACACGATTCAAATTGTACGTAGGTGTTCGGGTGTGCTGTAAAATAGAGCCGAGACCGTCCAGCTGTTGGTAAATGGCAAAATATCTTCCCACATTGCATGCTCCTTGATTACACGACGGGCACCAAACAATTCATCTCTATCCGTGTACACTGCACAAGCCTCTGACAAAACAGTTGTTGAACGGTCACTAAATTAACCCATTGACTTGGCCAGGCATTTTAAAAGGCTTGTGTGGTGGGTAACACTATAAATACCAGTTCAAGAATGATTTTCTAGTGCTTTTGCACATTGTGCAACTTTGGAGTTTTGGAAAAAAAGTGTGAAGTGAAATGTGTTACGGTAAAACCCTGCACAATGAAACTGAATTATAGACAAAAAAACTTCACCTTCGTATTTATTGGATTTCAGTGATTCCACATAAGTCAATTTTACTGCATTTTGTCGCAGATTCGAGTCATTTTAGAAGAACGTTATCATGCGTCAAGTTTGCATAAGGCGAACATAATGTTAGTTAAATTTGCTACTCGGCACAGCAACAGTTAAAACACAACTTTAAATGTTCTGCGTTTTTTTGTAGTACGCAATTTTGGCTGTTTCGTTCGAATATTAGTAATGTCCTACCTAAAAAGCTCTTATCCAAGTCCTAGTGTTTGTATCGCGATAATTTCGAATATCTGAGTTTCAAGGAGTAGATGTTTACCTTTGATGCTGCAAATAACCTATCGAATTGCTCCATTAGGTGTACCAAGCAAGTTATAGAGACTAATTGCAATGGGTTATTTGGCGGGAAATGTTTGTATACACCTGACCTTCTATTTGATCTTTCACAGTACGGATCGACTTTGTAAGACATTTGAGTTGACATTTGAGGCATAGTCTCTTAAACACTCCTTCCTAAATTACGGTTTCGCGTTGGCTGAGATTGTGGGTGAATCCAGTAGCGCCAAAGACGCGGGGCGTTAAATATTCTCACGGCGGATTAACAGCGATAGGGTTGACTTTGTGACCATCAAAACCCTCGATTTTAGAGACTGTGCTGCCGGGGAGAAAGAAAAACATGCTGTCTCCAGTTCTAAAGTATTTGCATGCGATGTGGGGACAAAATAATTGTAGAACACTCCGTGATTTCTCGAACTGAACGATTTCGGGTTAGTGGGTATTTGATGTTGATTGTTATCTTCTTTTAGCATGGAAATTCGCCCCTTCACGAGGCAGCTTCAAAGGGCTTTTCTCGCTCTGTGGAGGCACTGTGTCTTTCTAGAGCTTCACCAAATCTCCAAAATAAGGTTGGTAGAGCCATGTTTCACAGACGCCACTTAATGATCCTAGGATTTATGCATGTCGTTGTCCTTTTTATATCATTTCGCGAAAGTTTTTAAATTTGGAGGCTCAAACCTTAACGGTTTCTCCAGCTCTGCGTTTTCAGTGCCCCATTTTCCATGTTTGACTCAATTTTTGACAGCAATGAACGATATTGCCACTTTTGCAAGTCCGCTCCATTAAGCCAGGCAAAGTTTATGGTTCTTTTTGAATTTGTTCGTGTTAACTGGTCGCTTTCAACCCATGCCACAACGGCCCACGTTTTTGTATTCTGAAACCCAACAGAGTGTCAAGCGACGCCTTCCAGGATATCTGACCTAGATGCCAGAAGAACAAGCAAAATAATCGAGATGTTAGTTCGAATATGTCAGTCAAAAGTTATCATTTAAGCAATCTGATTTGGCCCCATGAGAACACCTATATTATTTTTTGGTTTCGAGAGTTGTAGGCTGTAAAGACATTGCAGTTCTGTTTTCTTGATTTAAGGCACAATTAATGCTTTCGTTAGCATCAATTTCCTGTGTATTTTCCACCTTTGCTTGTCTTGATTAAATTGAGGTTAGACTTCCTCCAGGAAATCTGATTTATCTGTTTGTTGAGGTGTCTGAGAGAACATGCGCTACGGTAACACAAGTATCTTTGCCCTACAATTTAACACATTCTTTCAGCCTATTTACCTGTTGTTTCTTCAACGCACCGAATGTGATGGTACCCTACTTAAGTTAATTCTCGGTATTTGAACACACCTTGCACATACGTAGAGATATTTCTACGAAACAAATCTCTTGTCCTTAAATCCTGACCTAGTGCTATTACCCGAACACAACAAAAGTAACATGTCTTTAGCTAAAATTGACCTTTCTGAGAATTTGACCTGACCGACTTGATGAATTATCATTTCTGCATAATCATCACGAGCTGAAATATGAAATAATTCACTAGCAGAGGGCTTCCTTTGTGCAAGGGAGTGCCGAATTGTACAGGTTAAGAAGACCAGACTTGCGTTGCGTCACTTTGTGTTCAAAGCCAACTGTGGTTATAAGTCACAGACTTACCCGGGCAATGTGTACACAGAGCTGCATGATCAGGCATGTCCACATAAGCGATAGTGTTGCTGAGATAGAACAGGCGCTTGGATTGCTAGCAGGTAAATCACCAAGATGTCTGGACATGCGACTGCAACAATGACGGGTGTGAATCATCCCGATTCACTCTAAACCTCACGTAGACTTGTAAATCTGTGAAAAATTATGACGACTTTAAAATATGGCAAAGTCTTATCAATCCCCTAGAGACCTCACCACTTTTATTAGTTTATTTGCATTCTGGGATTCGCAAATTTGATTGTGTGGTTCGTTAAATTTTGTGTTTGTGCGGGCACTTCGGATACTTCTTGAGAAATCACAATGCGATCGCAATCAGGCCTGAATTTTGTTCTACATTTCGTTGAAGACGCCGGCACATTCGCCCTGCAAAATTTGGTGGTCCTTCAAACCTTGATGTTAATGGGAGTTTCGTTGCAACTGCGCTAATCTAATTGGCTCATTAAAGCAAAATTTCATAGGAAATTAATGTTGCACAATTTTTTTCTCACATCGCCTATTGGTGCATTGGCGCTTAGCGTAGGATTTCACTGTGCAAGTCGAAATGAATTTCGTTGTTAATTTTTGACGCGATTAAAATCACTAACCATATAATCTTTTGCCTGGGAGTGGACATTTGCCATTTAATGCAACACTAACAGCGCGCTTTTGTGTTTGTATAGTATGGTTCGACACCGCTGCACATTGCTGCACAGAATGGTCACAAACAGTGCACTCGCATTCTGATCTTTACCGGTGCTGATATCGGAGCTCCTAATAAGGTAAGCGAACTTACTACACGGGGAAAAAGAGCACTTTTCTAGTAACCTGTGTATTTTCCCTCCTTCACAATTCGGCCTTGAATGCTCACTGTCAGAGTTGCTTTACCTTGGAATCGTTTAATTGGACTACCCCCATTAGTGCAGTAGCTGGAGAGGGCAGTGAAATTTGGAATTTGAAAACTATTGTCGATGGAGAAAATGCACTATTAGCTTTTTGATAGTTAGCGGAAAAGTTACTTGAGGTGAACACGGGCATTGACGATTTCTCGAACTAAATGGATAAATACACTTTGTTATAATCGAAATTCGGTCAACTTATTGAACAAGACATGACTCAACTGAGTAACTGTGACAACACGGGCCTAGTGAGACAGAGAGCTAGAGACACTTGATGCTTTGTTTTTGTATTTGCGAAGACGGCGTAAAATAGTTTCCATTTTTTTTCTGAAAATTTGATAAATTGTGCTGTTTATGCAGTTTAATAGTCTGCTTCACAATGCTCAAGAGATGATGGCTATCTGTTGAAGGCTGTGCCTTTTACTGATGCAATTATTGACTGGAGTAACCTACGAGGTGTCTACTAGTTACAGGAATTGTGAGTGGCGGTCTTTTGGGCAAAACGTGGTTCCTGTTCACCCAAAACCGTGACTTTGCACTAGAGAAGGACCGTTGTCACAAAAAATAGTATGTATTTCGTCTACCATAATCAAAATCTATGCACAGTACTTTTCACAGTTGAGAAAGGCGAATGAAAGAAATGTTATTTGTGAGATGATTCATCCATTCCTTTAAAATCAATGAATCAGGACATTTGAGTTTTTCCACAATTTCGCTACGTTAAAAGTGCAGCTTGAGGGGTGGCTAGAGTGCACGAAAGTTGAGTAAGGTTTAAACAATTAAACACGGGTTCATCAAGTGTGCGTAGTTATACCACACTTCTGTCCTTATGTGCAGTTTTTTTTTTCTAGCTCTAGGAGTTTTTAATCACCACGTGCAAACACGATATATTAGCAAAAAAACTAATGTTAATTGAACTTTGTCAAAATTCTACTGAACGATGCAGAATTGTTCACGCAGCAGCTGTGTGCACCTGCGGATGTTTTCACCTCATAGCTTTGAAGAATAACGCTAACAGAACACTTTCTTTTTTGAAAATTAATAGTTCAATTCTTCTAAATGCATGTCAGTAAGTAGAAAAGGCCGCATTGCTCCACTATTTCTCAGTACCAGATGAAATGTGCGGCAAAGTTTTTCAATTGTGAACCAATGGATTTCTCGCTAAAGTGCTATGTTAAATCGCCGATTCCGTCAAACGAATTTCACAACGAAAACGCATGCCCTGTATTTTGAATCAATCGGACTTCAATTAGTGAATGAATAACCTATTATATGGAAGATTTTGCACCCAAGATCTCTTGTACACTTTGTAGTCTTCGTGTTGTAATTAGTAACTCGGTTTGGTTATATTAATTGAGGGCACTAACTTGAAAGGTTTAGACATATCGGTTTTGGGCAATGATTGTGCCACTCTTGTTTTAGTTTGTGACGTGCATTTTGGTTCTAATATTATGCATTTTGGGGCTGCTTAAACTTTTTTTTATACATAGCCGTAAAACAAACCACCCAATCACCAACATCCATTCTCCAAGTTGCAGTGTCACTACCAGAAATCGAATCCAGCCTCTATCTGTGTGTCAGGATAGAAATTATGTTTGATATATAAAGGAAGTTGCAAAAGAATCTTGGGTGAAGGTAGAATGAGCTTACAGCATTTTGTAAAACCCTAACCATCAGTGATTGGCTGCTGAATTTGTCTAGCGACTAGTCAATGGGTGGTAGTTAACTAAGCCAAATAACATCTTACTTGACCCAGTTGTACTGCGTCCTAATCCAAACATAATGAGTCTTATTTTAACTGAACCAAATCACCTTTAGTTTGTCTTACTGACTTCAAGAATGTTTAATTCGACACCATGAAAACCAGTGCAATCACAAGGCTAATTTTACTTAACCAAAATTCCTTTTCCGTGATTCTGATGCCGTTTTAGAACGGTGACACCTGCCTGCACATTGCGACTCGTTACGGGAGAGCAGGCGTTGTCCGAATACTCCTTACCGCCAAGGCCAACGTAATGGCCACTAATAGGAACCTCGACACCGTTCTTCATGTTGCCGCGGAGCTGAAACGCACCAAAATTGCTCGAAGTCTGATTGAGGCGATTTCCAACGGCGCCACACCAGTCTCAAGCACCTTGTCCATTCCTGGAGGCATCTTGCGGAAAAGAAATTCGCTACCGGCATGTGTACCCCCCTCACCGGCCCAGTCCGCCTTGTGGATTCGCAACGCTCAAGGGGAAAAGCCTGTTGATGTGGCAAGGAGGAAAGGCAACAACGACCTCGTCACCTTCTTTGTCACTCGGATGAATGAGATAGGACAGTCCGCTCATTACGAAAACCATGCTGTTAAATCACTACCTTATACCGACAGCAATCGTCCAAGGGCTGAAACGCCCAAGCTCCACATGTCCAGTGATCTGATTTACCTCCCCATGCACAAAGGTGCTGGATTCAAACTTTCCTCTAAGGTACGTTCACATTCCGAAAAATAATCGTTGCGTCGTCAAACAATCGTGAAGCTGTTGATTAGCTTTTGATTCAGAGTACTCGAAACAGCGATCCTACCTTACAAAAGCACTATGTGGCTGCTGGCCAATCCTGGCATAGATTCGTTTTGTTTATTTAAATAATTGAATCTGTGGTATTTGTGGGTCAAAATGGCGGCCCTTCACACCTTGATTTACCGAATTTAATAAATACACGCATGGTATAACTAAAATGCTCTTTTAGTGGCTTACATTATGCATTTTTGCTATAGATTAATGCGGATAGTTAAACACAAACCGCACGTTTTCTCCTGAATGCACCGTGAAAACCTTTGCTTAGGATTCCAACAACGCAAATGACAGACAACAATTGTCTGCACTTCACGCGTAGTTTTCTTGCATCGAAATTCAACCTCAATACAACTACTGTGTGCTGTAAATGCCCACGGAAATCAGATTTACACGAGTTTTTTATAGTATCTGAATTAATAAACAAATTTGAATTGTGCTTCAAAGCCGGAAAGCGAACAACCCTTCCATGGATTAGTCAAATACTATCAACTGTTGACCAATCAAATGAAAAAAAGACGTTCAGGCACTTTTATTGCCCTGATAAGAGACCAGGATACTCCGGATCTAACATGAAATTACGACTTCAGTGTAAAAAGATATATTTTCTACTAAGCAGACCGCTTTTGGAGTTGTTCTTACCATAGGAATTTATTCTACGCTCTGAATACTCACGCAGTGATTTACCACCAAGGGCTTATCAAAAGCCTTGTCGCATCAATGTTATTTCCTCATCCCATCATGGACCCCAAACATTGCTAGCCACTACAGTCAACGCAGGGTCCCTATTCGATATACCCACGCATCATGTTTATTAAGTAAATCAGCTTATCCACCTCGTCATGTTGTTTTCACCACCACCTTAATTTTTTGGTAATTACAAAAATTGCCAAGGCCCGAACAGCTTTTACACGTGGTCACAATGACCGAAATAAGTACAAATGTGCATAAAGTTTGGTGTCTTTATGTTATTTGATCATCTGGACAGACGTTTGTTTTGACACGTCTTGCTATTAGTGAATTGAGTAGTGTGCCTATGTGTAAATTACTTGACGGGCTACCACGCATAGTGGCATTTGTGTTGATCCTATTACGTAGGCGACGCGGTTCCCATTCATTCATTCTCATTCAATTTGACAGTTAAGTGCTTAACACAACCAAATAAAGTGTGATTGATGTCTTTTAGACCCAAAAAATACAAAATAAACAAACAAATTCTTCGTCAGGTGATTCTAACTCGACTGGAATGTGGACCGCGAAGAGCGAAAATGAACTCAAACCGTCAAATGCAATTCAGAATGTAAGTTACGATTGATTGTCTTATCAGTTTTTACCAATGTTTTGAGTGTGTCAGCATCTATTTGTTTCAGCAATTAAAATTTGTGGATTCAAAAAACCCGATCGGCTTATAACTTTGCTCTTCAAATCACAAGGTTCTGCTTGCTGCCATCAAATTCATTAGCATGCAAGTGTTAGCCTGAATTCACAACCCATGCACACCGTTGCAGTTATGATAAAGTTGTAGAGGCTTACAACACATCGGGAAGTCGGTGATTAAATCGCGATGCCCGTGACAGTCTCAGGTTGCGTTTGAATTGTATTCAGGAAGGAGTTTGATAAGGGTACTAACGTGCTTCTAGTTCCCTCTTTCTTTCTAGTTTATTTGGATTGGCCCATTCGGCGTGCATTTTGCTACCCTAGAGTTTTCTAAAACTAGTTCAAAACCTAACCAAGTATATTTTTACCCAGCTTAGACTCACTGAGTAGACACGACCTAATTGAAATCGTAGTTAGTTTCGGCTGTCTCATTACGGCGCGGTGGAAGATTACTGAAATGAGTTTACTGAACTTTGCATTATTCCTGAGTTTTTAGTGGTGACAAAAATTGCTGTTCTAAGGACACTTAAAAACACTGATATCCGTAGGAATTATTTACGACAAATACTTATGTCTACAGTAGCAAACCACCTGAACTCGTAATTTGCTGATCCAATATCTGTATTAATTCATTAGAGCTTAGGTTATTTTCTTAGGGCATTCAAATTTTGCCATCCTTGAAAAATGATGTGCTGAGCTATAAAGTTACAGAGGGGCTTCCCAAATACACCTTGTTCTGAAGGCATTTTCTTTGAGGCAAGAATACAGAAACCGCATCTAGAGTAGAGGGTGTAAAATGTAAATGCACCCAAATTTTAGATAGGCATGTTTTGGACTACATTTTTGTGATGTCTCAGTCAAACCTACCGAAGAATCGATTGCATAGTTCAAGTCACTTGTGAATGAGTAAATGTATTTTTGAAAATTGAATCAAACCTTAGGTTAGCAAAGAGGAAAACTCTTGGACACCTTGCAGTAACTTAGGCAAATATGATTAATTAATGCTAATGACATCGATGGCTTTGTTTGTCGGCATAGTTCGGCTAGTCAAAATCAAGTGCGCCTAAGCGTCTTGAGCTGTGGTGATAATGAGTTCGTGTTGGGAAAGCAATTATTATGCAACATTCAAATTATGTGGTTTTTGGTCTTTTAATTGATTGAATTCGAGTCAACTGGATTTAATGGATCTTAAACCGTCAAATGTAACTCAGATTGTAAGTTACGATTAATTGTCTTATCTGTTTTTATCAATGCTTCTAATGTGTCAACATCTTCTTGCTTAAACAATTAAGATTTGCGGATTCAATAAACCCGATCGGCTCATAACTTTGCTGCCTAAATCACAAGGTTCTGCTTGCGAGTTCGTGGACTAACGTTCATTTAGCTTAAAAGTACTTTTCGAAAATGCTCAGAAACACATTTGCTTAAAGTTAATTAAAAACTTCCTCATTTGACTGGTATCTTAATACGCGCCTGTGCTCAAAATTTCACGAAATGTGTGGACATACAATAGTAATGTTGATTGTGTGTTCAAGAGCTCTAATTTTGCGGATGATAGAAAATTATCTTAGGATCCAAATGTTCAAAAAAAATCCGTCTTATAAACGTGCCTATATGATGCAGACAATCTAGGTCTGCGGACCTTTCTTCTGGCTACGTATTTAAATGTCCTAACTGACACACTGTGGTGGAGGGTTTCGAGTGATTCCTTGACGTTTTTTGAAACACTCTTAACTGGGTTTGGGAAAGAGAGAATCTGTACAATGAAAATCCCACGTTGCCGGTGCACCAGATCCCAGCACTGTTCTGCAGCGTCGCAAATAGGTGTGACATTTCCTGGACTACTTGACGTTTAGTGCATTTGATCGAATCTATGCGAATTATTGTGTCTCCTTTGACAGATTTTTCAACGTAGATATACTTGGGACGATGGCGCTCCTATTTCATTTTTCATGAACAAGTCATTTAGACAAAATCTATTCTGGCTCCAAACACCCTTAAAAGGTCGAATGCACAGTTGAGTGTCACAGAAGCTCGGTTCTTTCAAAATGCTGCTGGAAGGAATATAAAGTGAAATTAAATCTACCGCTTCCGTTGCTACATAAACGTTTAATGTGTGTTTAAATAAACTGCATTCATGTTTCTCTTTCAGTCTACAAATGCTAAGACCAGACAACTTTTGTGTTAGTGTTTCTGAAGCTCCGCAGGACAGCGGTTAAACGAAGTTATGATTATTATTATTATGATATAATGCATGTCGTTTTGGAATCAAAAAGTCCTAAGCGAATATTTCGCAAAAGGTTTTATTTTAATTGGACGCGAGTTTGGATACTTAAATACAATTTTCGCAAATTGACGACCAATTAGAAACAGTCTGAAAGACCCTGATTCTGGGTGTGGTTTTAGGTTTGAGAAATATCTCTCTAAAGTTCTGCAGGTAATTAATAAACTCTACGAATTGTTTCTTGGGTTTAAATTTAGTAAAAGCAATGATGACGTTTTATTTTTGTCCAGCCACAAGTTGGCACGTGCCGACAACGGGAGATTAGTTTAAGGTCCGATCTCTCCGACCAAATGACCCAGTCATTCACCACTCTATCCACTTCTGAGGGACCTGCTTTTTCTACCGGGATCTTGAAAACGAAAATGCGTTCCCTTAGGGGCCCCCTTTGTGGTGGCCTCTTCAAAAGAGAAAATGTAAGTGCAAGGGCATTGTAACATTTTGGACAAAGAAACGGAAGAAGCTTTAAAGCAAGGCAACTCAACCTACTGCTGTGAACTTCAGCTTGAGTTTTCAAAATATTTTCACTTCCTTTACAAACAAGTTAATAAAATTGACTTCACATCGAAATTTATATCTTATCAGTTCACATTACAAAACTGTCATGTAACCGTTTCGCACATGAACTAATGCCATAGCAATTTTGTAACAGATAACTTAAACACCGTGACTGATGCGTTAAGGATTTACAAGAATTCCAAATTTTGACACACCGGTTAGTTGTCGAATGTTCGTCGTACCAGCAAGGTAGATTTGTAGACTGTAGAAGACTGGGTTTTCGCCTGGACTAACATATTTTTCTGCTCTTGAAAATTTCAACACGAAGAAGAAACACATCAATCATTCCTAGTGCCTCCTAAATCAAATTTACAAGTGTGTTTCCTTGCACCACACTGACATCTTTGATTGATCACTAATTTAGATTTCCCTGAACAGAGACATGCTTTTTATGAGATTCCTTATCGCCCTTAAAATTTTCTCCAAATTGTGGTAATTCTGTTCTCCATCAAGTTTGCACCTCATCTGATATAGGTTAAAAGCAGTCTCCCGTTACTTACTGCCTTCACAAAGACAGCAGTTCCGCTCGACGGGGTACAAAGCCAGACACAAGGATTCGCTAAGGTACCAAAAAAGAATGGAATATCTCCCACGAAACTAATCCCTTCCGTTTCCTTTTCCGGGGCCCTTAATGGATCTCATTCATCACTAACAGGAAAAAGTATTTTACAGGAAGTAAGAAGGTGCTGCTATTTTTTATAAAGTGACTAAAATAAATCGAATTTTTTTAATGTTTGTAACCCCACAATCCGTATGAGGTGTGATCCGTTGGTGTTTGGATGTTTGGCGTCTTAGAATCACATAGCGCCTACTCTTATGCACGTTGATACCAATGCTCAATTTATTCATTATTACTGAAAACATTTTATTGCAAATAAACAAGTAGTCATGAAAGTGACATGGGATAATCAGAAATAACTCAGTGGTGGGCCGTTTCCGAGTGTTCATTTAATGAAGAAACTGCGTATTCGACTCTTTTGTGGAGTCTTGTCTACAACATGAGTCAGACATGACCGGGCAATCGAAAATGACTTGGATCGATTGCACATTTTACGAATGTTGGCGTCAGACATCAGTAAACCTAGTGTACATTAAGTGAAGGCAACATTGAACACAGCAAGAGTAAGTGCTCGAAATACCGACAACTGTCTATAGCACATTTAGAAGTTCTACGCAGAACAGTGTTGAGCACAAGTTTTCGCAAGAATTAGATGGTTTTGTACAAGATTCCAATATCTTTGTGGCAAGTTGCTTAACAGTAACAGGTTGCTCAGGAGTATCATATCAAGTAAATAAGGAGACAGTCAAAATGACCCAGAACGCTCAATCCATTTAAATGGAAAGTGTCCATTAAGCCAGGTGCACGCAACAGAACTGCGATTGGAGGCGCGCTGCCTTGCTGGAATCACATCTCACGAGTGTGGCTAATGTGACACCCTTGGAAGAATATCACTGGTTAGCATAACCACCGAATTTACACATGTCACAGATCTTTCAAGGAAAAACTGCCTAAAATCAAACCTCGAGTTAATATTCGATTCCAAGCTGATGTTAACATCCTTCTAGAGAATTGAATGAGGATTTTAACTTGACCTGACTCAGTCAATCAACTTGAATGTTGCTTCAACAACTCAAATAATCCCCTTCTTTAGTGTTTTTATTAGTTTCTACTAATTCTAAGGCATGATTTTCTTTTGAAACAGCAAGACATGACTGCACACGTTAAAATGAGAAATTCAGTACAATAGAATGTGTTCACATTGCCACCGATATCGACTAACCAACTGGTGGTTTAGAACGTCTATTGACTACCCAATTACTTCGATCCTGCACTTTAAGTCTTTTTGCATTAAACATACTGTGTTGCATTGAGATATTCCCAGGTTTCATGGGTAATTCTTTAAAAATAATTTCGCTGAGAACATTATTCTGGTGCATACTCATCGAATGTCGTTCGTATTTATCTAAATAGTCAAAGTACTACACAGAAAACTCAGTGAAAGCATAAATCGTCTAATTTAGCCTTTTCTGACATCAACATGCGATATTCTCCCGCCTGGTTTCGTAAATGCTTTGCGAATCACATTTGTGGATAGTCTAATAGTTAATATTTTTAGGCTCCTCATCATGTTTTGGATGAACTGCAGCCCATTTCTCTCAATTCGTAGGCATATCTTTTGTAAATCACTGAAATAAGTACGTTAGAATCGTCATCTGTTCTTGAGATTATGGTTTGCGTCTTCGAAATTTCAACGAATCCTTCTGGTTTTCAATGACAGAAAACATTTCCTACATATGCCTGTTATATTCATGCATTTTTCTACTTTGTAGCAGGCAACCTTTTCACTGGATGATTCCTTCCACAAGAGCCTTGTAAGTGATCGACTCCGTCAAAATCCCCTTCCTCAGGACAGTGACAGCACCTCGGCCGACGTCAGCAGTATCCACCTGCCCGTGGATCCATTCACGAGCGCCAACAACATCAATGGTAACAATGCTGCGAGACCGGCTATTCACCATTATGCTCGTGCGGGGCACGCCGTCTCTGTTCAGCGTAGTCAGCCACTCCCTCTTTTAGGGCAAAATTCTGCCCCAAGACGGCTGGGCGTCCGGTTTGACTTGGACGGTGAGAAGGCCGAGCAAACCACCTCCTCGCCTAGGCATCACCTGGCAACGCAACTCTACCGTGACTTGGCTGGCAATCTCAAAAAGGTGAACTCCACTTGCTTTCTCATATTAAAAGGGTTTTAATCAAGTGCTTGCATAACATATTTGCACACACCTTAAACCTGTAAATAAGTTAGCACACAACTGATCAAATGGACATGGGTTTCAAGTGTTTTGTACAGCTTCTAGCCGCCACAAACACTTTTTTTTACACACCTTTTTGCACAAAAAATATTCTAGCATTTGTCAATACGCAAACGACTACTCTCTCGTCATCGGACAGCTAAAAGAGACTAGTCTTAAATACAGGGTGTCCGAGAAATTTGTCACATATCCACGCGTGGAGGGACAAAGACCATTCCCTTCACAGAAAGAAATCACACAGTGTGAAGTCAGGTAAGCGTGGGAATCATTTCAGTTGCACGACACCTCCATCAGTAGCCTGTCCGATCTATCTTTTTGGCGATTTCTAATTGAGATTCGTCCTCCCTGTGAGTTTCCAGTGTAGCAGAATATATATTGGGTCTGTTCGTTTGCCTTAATCTTGTCAAAGAGCCGTTTCCGAGACATCTTTAGGTAGTCGGTGTTTGGCGAAAACTGGGCGATCCTCACTGTTCTTTCTGATAGTGAATCCTTTTCAAGTTAGGTTGTAACGTGAGGATTCTCTTCTCCCTAAATTCAGGCAATTCGGTTGTTCACTGCCATGCGTCGTCGTATTCTGCATGTCTTCATAGAAAATTGTACGCTTTTGTATGCCAATCGGCTTTGTGGGGGTGGGGAGGGTTAGTCGCAGGCGCTCTCTTCCGACATGCTAAAATTTTACCTAGGGATCGGGGTTACCAGGCCTTCTGTTTGCGCAAATTTCCTCGGGCGATGACCAAGCGCCCTCCGACACACACAACTTTCCTCTTGAAAGTTACTATGCTATGTCCAAATGTGCTTCATGTTCATGAAATCCCCGATCAAATGCGCTTTGAACATTCACGGTTGACTGAGTTTGGACGTACTTCAATACACAAACTACCCTTTTCTGATGCTTCAAACGGTGTTTCTAACCCCGAAATTTTCAAAACATGAATTTAATCCTAAACACAGGACTGGATTATACGACAGTTTGAACAAAATTTGTTTTTCACATTATGAGGTAATGAAATGTTGTTGAACTGTGTGATCATCTTGTGCATTTTTTCTGAGTCACTGCCAGATTTTATTTATTGGTCTCAAAACCGTACAAACACGGGGAATGTCTCTGACTGACTATTACAAAACGGATTTCACTAGCTATCACATTTATCGTGTTTAACATGGACATTAATAGCGTGAGCTTTCAAAGAAAGTTGGTCAGAAACAAGGGCTTGAATTCCTGCCATACATTTTTGCAAAGTTAGCAAAATCTAAGACTAAATGAGTAGCAAATAGAAAATGAGTATAATAGAGTAACAACTATGATCTACTTGATGCCTCTAAGATTTGGCTTGCGCAAATGCTAGGAAGTCGCCAATCCTTTTCATTCTCCAGGTTTCCAGTCAAATCAATTTTTCCTCCTAATATAACAAAACCCGAATTGATTAACTGTTGAATTTATTGTTTCCGTTTGATCTACTTCGTTCAAGCTATTTTATTAACAACATTTCTGACTTCCCGACGATTCTACGAAAATGGAATCACAACACCTGCCCTAGTTCCTTTGCTTAGCCTTCGGGCTCATCATCCTCCAGACTTCCGCGTAATCTGTTCTCGATGCTTTTTTTGTCTTCACGGTGTCAGAGATTTCTTTACAAAAGTTGCTTCAGGCTGGATTAACGGCTCTTAACAATAGGGAGATCAAATGGATTTCGTGGTTGCTTTTGCTCTGACCAATCTTTAACCAGCGAATTCATTTAATTATTCAAAAAAAATTACCCATTTTTCAAACCAAAAACATGTATCTCTTAGGGCCATCTGGACATATCACTATGCATTACTGGCGATGAAGCCAAATGTCAAATCTCTTCAACGATGTCATCTAATCGCTTGGCTTTATTAAACTCAATCGTTGGGTAACTTGTGTAAGGAACATCTGTGATTTGGCGCAGATAATCTCTTCTCATCGCCTTCGGGATTTGACCACCCCTCAGCTTAATCTAACTGATATCCTCATTGCAATTTCATTACTTAATTGACTTATAAGTAGGGTTAATCTTCAAATTCTTCTCATGTAAAATTGCTTTTATCTGTTGTTTTAACCTCTATTCTGCTTAAAGCGTCTCACCTATTAGTAAATCACACAGAACTACCAAAAGTCTTTTGCGGTCTCTCGATAGAGTTATTGTTTTTGTGTAGACGACCCCGATGTGGGACTTGGACCCACGTCGTTGCCACAAGTTTTTTTGTGGCCTCTGACAAGATACGCAAATACCCCCAAGAGTGCAAGAAGGCTGACTAACACCTGTTATGCGATTGTATATCTTCTAAATGCCACAGGCATGATCATTAGGTGGTCAGTGTGAGTCGAGTGTAAACACAGAGCTGCCCCTGAAAACTGTCGAGTTCCGTGCACCTGGTACATAGTACCAATTTTTCCCCTTGATAAACCTAATCAAGTTTTCTTACATTGTGTTACTTTTCCGGGCACCAATGGCAGAATATGTGTCCTGTCTAATGGATAATCCACCTATGAAACACGGTCGAAATTCCCGTTTCTGTTATTTTTGACTATGTCAACATGTCCAGCAGTTGGATGGCGTTGAGGATGGGTTAGGTTGGCTGTGTGCAAAATGTTCTGAATTTCTTGTTTTAACTTAGGCGAAGAATTTTAACCTTTGTGAAAGCTCAAAGTATGTTTGCGTAAATACGGTTGGTGAAAAAAGGTGTTTGTCTCTCATAGCGTTCTTGTCAAATTGTCGGCATGTCTTCAGTGTAATTCGTGAAAACATGTTGTCTGGAGCAGTTTAACAGGGTTATCTCCTTTTTCTTGTCGGAATTACCATTTTATTCCTCTAAAAGTAGTTTCTAAGCTGCGCGTTAGCTTTAGTTGAATTTGTGTAGGCTTGGAAAATTGAAACATCGCAGTAAAAATTCGTCTTTTTGGAGAGCATTTCTGGGAATTGCCAGACTCTGGATAAAAACCAGCATCCATGAACGCACTCCTTAAGACCCCATACCGCCTTAAATTAAGGCCATGCGAATCTAGATACCGAACATTAGAATTTCGAGGCCTAATTCTCCTGACCTGTGGCCCTCACCAATAGCCGTGTGAAAGCCTCCAATCAAAACCTCCCATTGAGGTGTCTCAGCTTTTCCCGCATGCAGTAAATTTCTTTGCAAATGCGATTTTTCTAGAGTCCTTGTCAGATTGCATTGGGGGATGACAATCCTAAGCTGTGTTGGCCTCTAGTAGTAATTTATTACATAACGGCACCACAAAGTGCCTATGAGGTTGCAAAATGAATGGAATTTCTCTTACCAGTGATCTGAAGCAAGCATGACGATCAACCGATGAGGGTGCCCGCTTGTGCAGTTTGATTGTTGCAAGTGTGGTACTTTAACCCACTGATTTCTGCGATTGGTGGTGTAAAATTGCTCAATGGCTATACAGAAACCTTAGATCCGATGCCAAGTATTCGCGAGACAATCGCAATTGAAGCAATTGCCTTTCTGAAATTTGTTTGCAGCGCTGCCTCGGTTGTCAAGTCATTTCAATAACGCATTAAGTTGCATTCCGAATCCTTTTACAAGTCAGTAACTTCGAACCGGCGTAACATTTTATCTGGTCAATTAGAAAATTAGTACTATGGTAGGCAGACAACGACATAGGCTCAAGCTTAACGCTCATGATAGTTAAACTTGATTGGCTAGCTGGATCGCTACGTTCAGGCCTTCAATGTGACTATAGAAGGCACAGATAGTAAATTAATCTGGTCTATTATCATCTAGCGACGATTTCTACCTAGAGTTCTGTGTGTAAGATGTCCACTGAATTCAAGTCAAGACGCTTCGGTCAACGTATTTGCAGTACATTGCACATCGACTTCCCTCCATGTTCTATTTTGTACAGAAAACATTGCTACCTCCTAACAGCCAGGCTCTTTGGAGGTTGGTCAGAAAATTTTCATTTCTATGTTGGACATCACTAAGCCCATGAAATCGACCATGCTGCCACAGCTTCAGTCACAAAACTGCACAAGTTAATTTCATAAAGTGTTATGCAACGTTGTAGGGCCCCGTGAGTTCTCCATCCGCCTGCAACTGTGTACAGCGTCAGGCAGAATATTTGGCAGGCAAGGTGTCCCATTTTGTGCCCTGTTCTGTTCATGCCTACCTCGATTTTCGGGCTTCCGAGGCAAATCCGTTACCCCCGGTGAGTTAGTCTTACGCGGCGCAGCCAATTCATTTCCTTTTTTATTTGTGTTTAAGATGGAAGCTCAGAATGTAAATATTTCTGATCGTAGAGATTAATATGTTGTGTCTTTTCGCAACTCAACTCCACGTCTAATTGCCTCTTTTACACGGTCCATTTGTAGACGCAAACAACTTTATTTTAGTAACTTATTAGTAATAATAATACATTGTCGTTTTGGAAGTCTGGATCATGTAATATTTTGTGTGCATAGGATAATGTTGACTTTTGTTTGAACATTCCTTGTAGAACCAACCGGTAGCAAGGAAGCACTCAGAAAGAGTCAATCCCCCATCCAAGGTGCTTACGCGTTCCCGTTCAGATGAGTCCCTGTCTGTCAATGCGAAGAAAGCTGGTGCTAAGCCCGCCGCCCCCAATGACTCGGTTCCAGTTCAGGTCGAGAAAAAACCCAACAACACACCACTTTCCGACGTTTGCATGGGAAGTCCCAGCACTAGACCGATCTCCGTAAACTACGAGGTAGAGTAAACGCCCACGTATTCTATTGTCTCTAATCCATCTGTAACAACTTGTCGCAGCCCTAATTCATTCGCATTTCCCTCATTAAACACGACCCATATAACGAGAACGTGCATCAATACAACGAGTTGAATGGTCAGGTGGATGGTACGGGTGGCGTGGAGGAGGCAGACGGTCTCACGTGATCAATAGGGGCGGCGTGAAAATGAGGTCAAAAGGGTGAGGAATGAACGTGAATCAGTACCATTCACTAACGCCGCCTGTAGTCCTTTGCTGAGCAATCTAATGTATTTTATTTGGGTTCATGTACCTTAGTAAAACAGATGGTTATGTTTGTATAATACCAGGGTGGCCAAATCTTCTGAATAGAATAGTCTCCACTTTTTTTCATTATCAGGATGCTTCAGGATGGTTCCGAGGTGAAAAATTAAATCAAGCGCCATTGCAACACACGAAAGCCAAAGACGAATCTGATCTTCCACAGAAGGTATCAAAGTAAGTTGCACTTCATTTGACCATGCTGGCCAGAGTCACTGGGTCGAAGCGCTCCAATTTCTTTACAAGTAATTTTTTTACTGACAATCATCTAACAGTTGAATTCCCTCAATGCAACATAACGCAACGGCAAAACTCTTTAATTTTATGCTCTAGTTGTTTTTTTTCCGGTACAGACCGCAAAAGTCCGACACACGTGAAAAGGACTTTTGTTTCACCACGCCCTAAACACATGCATGAGAGTTATTTTGAAAGTTTCCTCTTCGCTTTCACCTAACTCGTTCTTCTTCCGTGTGGATGTTTGAGGTAATAGTCAGTTTCCTCCATGTGAGTACAAACCATTCTACGGCACAGTTGGGAAGGCAAGTTTCAATTTCGGCGTTTGACTCGCCTCCCGAAGCACAACGGTAATGCGGATGCCTCAAACGAGGATCTTTGGAAATCAAAATTTATAGGACGTTTGGTGGAGTCGGTGTTCAAGAGGCGTTTTTTGAACTGAAAATTCTCAACACCTTGGTTTTTTTCTTTTGTCTTGTAGTCTAGATTAGAATGTGTCTGTATGCTTTACTTCTTGGGTGTGACCGAGGCCTGCATCGTGTGACTCAGTTTGTTGTTACCTTCGGCATCTTTTTACCTTGCATTAACAAGAATTTACGCTGTATCCACTCACAACGGCAGCCTTCGTTTTAGTGTCAGGAATAAATCAACTCTTTGCATTCATGAATTTACAGACTTCAAGTTCCTCAAGAAGGGCGAATATTGCATCAGCACTTTTGCACACCTGCGGTTCATACCCCATCACAGTTAACGTCACCCATCTTTGTTGCCTGTGCCCGAAATCAAACCCCATAATCCGATCGATATTTACTTTCTATAATTACGTCAAGGTGAAGAAATGGTGCTCATCAATTACATAATCTTCAGATGGTTTCAATTGACCGAATGCTCCCCATTTTAAAAATGTTCACTCGGTCCTGTAGCATCACTTGTAAAGTCTTTATCGTGTAAATTAATCGTATTTGGAAAGACGATGCACGTCATTTAGAACACTGCGTCCCCTAAGCCTGTTTGTGGGGCTTAATTTCAGTTGTAGTACTTTAACCCGGGAAAGTATTTGACATTTTTGTTAGCTTCACGTTTTCGACCACTTAATACGCCCATATTCTGTGCATTGAGTGGCAAACATTTTAAGAACCACGTTGGACTGCGACTTGTTGTTATTTTCAAGTTGCCTTATCCTTGCCTTGCCTTCACTGTATTATTCAATGTCACAGCAACATTTTAGGGATTAACTAAAAAGCTTTGCCTTTACTTGGAAGTTACGGCTTAAACAGAGAAAATAACCACTAGCTTTTTAGAGCCTCTCATTATTTTCTTTTAACTCTGCAGAATATTGTACGAAACAGTAGAAACCTGCTTACGCCTCCTACACTTTTAAAATTGTTTTTCTACGAACTTATCCTCATTAACATTACCCTACTTTTTTGTGTAGATCGAAGAGCTACAGTGAACAGCTGACTGTTGCAGAAGCAACTCCAAGTGCAGCCCTTACCAATGGTTGCAGCACAACCACAATGGGACGCCAAACAGTGGCGAGTCCACTCTACATGTCCTGTCACAACATTGACGGAAAGATGGGACTTTCTGTGGGGTGCGGCCCTCAAGCCATACTCTCTGCTCCATAGGCAAATGGCGCACTTTGACCTTGGCTACAAGTACCCAACTCCATCAAGATTCTTATTTCAGACATTTTTGTGTAGATTGTTTCTGCTCTTTAATGTAGCTTTTTTCTTAATAAGGAAAAACGTTCATCATCGTCTTCAAAATGACTAATAAATACACGTATTCGAATTTCTCCTATCCAAAGCGATATTAATGAAGTACCGTGTGTGTGAGCAAAAACAACGTGCCAGAGGAATCATTGTTCTCCAAGACAATGTGTTAGTCGAAGTTGAAATTGGTGACTGTTGTGTGGGTGGCATTGAATGGAACCTCTGAGGCTTAGACTGATTTTAACGACTGACAATATCCCAATCAACTTAATTTCAAATGACATGTGATCTACATATATATGTTTGCTGCAAACCAACCAATAAGGAGGATGCCTTCAAAGATTGTGCCACACAAAAGATTCCCCGCTCTACCAGTCAACGAACCGCCGACCTAGTCAGATGCTATTATCAAGGCCATAAAACCACAAAGAATCCCTCAACGATATCTTCTGTTTCCTGGCCCTAGCCACAGAAGCCTTAGTAGCAAGTCAACATCGATTTTGGGCCAACACGGAAATCCGGATGCCATCATCACCGATGATGGATTCCACCACACATCACGGTAATTTCACGAACTACGCACGCCTATTCTTTCCTCATCCTACAACCAGTAATGAAGACGAAATTTTTTCAGAAATGTTTTCCGACATTTTTAAGTGGGCATTGCTTAAATCCAGAGGCGAGAATGCGAAATCATCCGAGATCTTACACACGTTTTGATGGAACACCTCACAATACCAAATAGGGCTCTTCGAAATCAGCAACCACCGATTTTGGAGCTCGTGGGTTGCATGTTGCGAATGCAAATTCCGCCTTGGCCCCAATATAATGGATGAGGCTAAGGCTTCCACGGGCGGGATTCCCGAGCATAACGTGGCACATAGATTCAAAGGACGGAAATGTCATGTTTGATTCAAAGGTAAATTACGAAGTGTATTCAAGACAATAACAACACCTCCTCCGGGATCTTGGCTTGGAGACACCAAGCCAATACAAAATCGTCTCGCATGACTTGCTCTTTAACACAATTTAGCTGCCGACGCCGACAGTGGAAGTCTCACTAGAATGGTAGGACACTGGCTGGATCAACGGAATCGGCCTTCATCACAATAACGGAAAACACGTAGACGCGGATGAACTGAAAAGTGAAGTATTAATTTCTTTAATAATGAACTTCATGGAAATGAGGTTTTTAGCTATTTCAAATTTAGATATTATTCATAGTCACACTATTTCCGCATTCACATTAATGAATTTTACCAGTTTAATCCCTCCAAATATTTCGGGTTAAGGACACCGATAACAACTAAAACCCATTACGACATATAACCCAGCCCTTTGGCAGACAGTAAAGGCTTCCTCCAAGAGGATACGGAGGGGTTATGTTATGAAAGTGGATCTGCATAATGGCCAGATGGGAGGTTGCAGCCAATGGATGTCTTGTATATGATGTAACCTATTTTTGATAAAATTTAAGTGTGAAACTAAGGCTTGTACTAGTATGAAATATGTTTAACTAATTTGCTTTTTATTGCTTCAACAGTTTAATCAGATATTGATAAGTAGCGTTAGCACACCAGTCAGGCAAGTTAAAGAATCGTACAAGATGAAAAACCATGAACTAAGGAAATCCTATTATTAAATTAACAATTCAATTTTGGTTTCGCGCACTACTGAAGACTTCTTGAAGAAGAGAATTCGAGCTTAGACTGATAACGAGGAATCAGATACAAAACCTCACAAAACTCATTTGGGAAGTTAATAAATTAAAGAAAATTTATAACTCAATGAATGTTTAGCTACTCGACGACTTCATAAAATTTTAAACAAAAATCGCTATCATCTTGTTTAAAGGGGTGCACAATTGTCTAATAGTAGAGTGCATTGCTTCGAAGGATAAACGTGCGAAGATAATGATAAAATTCTAGATAGGCATTGGGTTTCTATGCATCCATGTTACATAGCCTTTGTCAATAGCTCGTTTCCCTTTAATCACTAAATTATGCAGTTTAAAATCTGTTTGGATGTAAACGTGCAGCCATAGACTTGACTCAGGAATCTATGCTTGGTCTAAACACCATAAAGGTACCTGGGATATTAAAACATGGTAACTGTGAGATTTTTTGTACACACTTCGTGTTGTAATAAAAAAAAATGAGCAGTTTTTTATTATAAAACTCACAATCTACGGCTCAAGGCAACGAATCCAAGTGAATACATTTGGAATGACTGAGTAGGACCAGAGATTTGTAAAGACGAAGACAAGGAGCACAGCAGGGTGCTAATAAATTAACTTAAAATCTTCTTTTAAAGCAAAAAGAAAACTCGAACTATACATGGGGCTTGAAAATTTGGTACTATAAAACAAATTTTCAAACTGTGTGTTAAATAAACATGAAAATTACGGCAAAATAGGTGTCTTTGTAATTGCTATTCAGAAAATAAATCTTTACAATTGACCAGCAGCCTGAGCCTATGAATCTCAAAGAATAAGGCGGCCAAAATTTAAAACTAAAAAATTTTAATATTGTCATGATTGATGTGGTTGAGTTTCGCGCGGTTCTTGAGTTTTTTGTTCAAGGTAAATTCGAGTTCTTGCCAGTATCGTTCTACATCTTTTTCTTCTCTGGTAATTGAGTAACTTAACGCTGACAATGTTTATCTATTTTTGATTCCTCTTTATGTAATATTCCTTTTCATTCTACTCCTAAGTTTTTCAGTCGCCTTAGGTGTGTGAAAGGATTCAGTCCAACTTCAGTCATTTTAAATAACTTTTCGTGGCTTTTAGAGCTTTCCTTATACATTTGTTTGATTTATTAGACTTCATACGCATTGTGACTGCATTGTCTTTCTCTCCCAGTGATTTGGTTCTTCAGATTTATCCCTCAAACGAGTTTTGAACATAACGTCCTTTTCTCGTAACGTGGAATAGATCACGGATATGGGCAACATTATCCGTTTTCTTACCAGTCGATCAGAGGAGATAAAGGATGACTTCGACATTTTCGTGGATTTTGAAAGTGCGTTTTCCGCCCCCAGTTTGTCCCTTTATTTTTTGCATTTTGACTAATCATTTCCCAAAGTAGATTGCCAGCCATCTAACGAAGAGTATGACTTGTGGTTGGAGATCAACGCGAAGCTTGCTCATGCAGAAGATGTTTTGTTGCTCGTACGCAACTATCCAGGTGCTGCACCGCAAATACGAACCGCTATTGAGCGGTGCTCAGACGAGGCCGCCCAAGAGGCGGCTTGGCGGGCCTTGGTACCTCTGGTTCATCAGCTGCGCATCTGCTACGACTTTGGTGTCTATTTGGGTACGTTCTTATATGTGCTAGTCGAAAGACAGACCATTGCGTTGGTGAAATTCCCTGCAGTCACCTAGTCTAGGGAATTTCAATGTCCAGATTTAGTAAGATTCGTGGTATTGATTAGCAGTTGCGTTGATCGGGATTGTATCCGTCTTCCAAGTTCGGTGCTGATAAATGTAACTTTACGCATCATGCACATCTTATTTTAGCGTGACTACTCGTCCGAATGTTCCCCCGCCTTCAGTGTAGAAAGTGGTGGAATTAGATTTGTTCTACTTTATTTGAATTTCATGGCTCGGGGCTTACATCTGCTCTTCGACTTTGTAATTTTTGGATTTGGTTTACTTTAATGTCCCTTTCTTCACACAAGCTCTCAAGATTACACTGCCTCAACGTTCACTATCGTACTTGTTATGCTATGCCACGTCGTTGTCAATGTCTCAAATTGAATTTTTAATAAAGGTTTCGTAGATATCATGGAAAGCACTAGTGCGATGTCTTGATTTTGTGTTCAAAAGTCATATTAAACTATGGATGTGCATCGATACGAGGCACAGGGATCTGTCTCCTTCGCAATTATGTTCTGATTGATTATTTCTATCTTGGAAAAGCTGTTAATCTGTTCGTTTTTCCTTCTAGCTGAGACCGTTCCCCGCCTGTTGTATGCCTTATGTTCAGATGAACTCACCGTCTGGGAACATTTGGAATCACAACAAGCCCTTTTCAAACAATTCGCTGAAATTCTTGACTTTATAATGCAATTCGACAACATAAAGGTGCGTCTTCCCGCCTTACACCATTTTTCAATTACGTTTTTCCGCTGTAGCCAAATTTCCCCTACTTCTTATTTAACGGTATATTATTACAGACAGTCATTCGTTTTTCTAAGTAGGGCTATGGTTGTTTTTTTTTTATTCTCTACGCTTTTCCCAGTTAGTGGAATACTTATTGACTTGCTGCAATATTGGCTATGCGCATTACCTTAATCCAAATTTGATAATTATTAATGTTGCGAAAGCCGATGTCCATGTTCATAAAGTGGTCATAGAACTGTATATATAACATTGCGTTTTCTCCCATAAAGTTCGACCTTCAAGCTCTTATTTTCTAAAGGCACTACTACTTTGCTGTTCTTCCACTTCGGTGAACTGACCTTTCAAGATCCGTGTTATTAGACCAACTAGATGGGATTATTTTACTAGACAGGCCTGTTTTACTTTGCATTAAGGTAATTAAGTTTACTGTTTACGTAACTGAACGACAGATTGTTGTAGTTTCCTCGGTTCTCGGCTGATCAAACAAGCCTTGGCTCCTGTTATTGGTCATTTTGGTCACGGTTCATTACTTTTTCTAATACACAAAACATCGACGCCAACTTCTTTCGTAATTTTCCATCTTAAGTTGAGTTTCTTTTTTTCAAAATTTTTGTATACTGAGTGAAAGCTCTTCAAACTGCCCATGTTTGTCAAGTGTGATAATTGTCGAAATCCTAGTATCCCAAGCGCTTTAACAGAAACAGCAAATTGGAATGTTGAAAGCTAACTCGTTACATCTCCATTACGACACACAGGAAACAGCCCTGTGGGTGATTACTGCCTCCGATATTTTTGCCTGTGAACCGTGCTGTTTTAGTCAGTGTGCCTTCTGTGTCTATTTAATCGCTCTTGTAATTTCCCTTTCTCGTCAGCTGCCTATGCCCGTCATTGAAGACTACTTGCCAATTTTGTGTCATGCTACAGGTAGCTGATGTACCAATTCGGTGCCCTCATTACACCGTTTCAGCCAAGTTTTTTTTAACTTGTGTGTGCATGATGTTCACCGGTTTGTGGTGGATCTCAATGGTTTGTTTATTTTACATTTCAACTACCATAACCGTCGCTATCCGCCCTTCCTGTATCGGGTAAAGAGTAGTCATTCTATCACGACGTTCACACTCATTGTTTCTTGCTGTTATAACTGAGTTTTGGAATGGGTAAGATGCCTTGCATCCCTAAACCCGTAAATTATTGCTGGGATTTTTTGGGCTGGTTCCACTCTTTTTTGCGACACTCACGGCACACTTTGTTCCCTAATAGCTCTCATTAATGTTTTCGCTTGAACAAACCATCTATTTGATAGTGAGCATCCGTTATATTATCAACCTCAAATCCACTAGCCAAAAATTCATTTGCACCTTTCTTGCAACGTTCCTCGTTGACTATCCGCCTCGAGACACTAGCAGGCCACTTAATACGCTAGATTAGACACAAGTCAGCACGATTGCGCTACCCCTCTCGGCGATGCGAATCCCGCGTTTGGAATAAATTAAGATGAGGGAATGACTCGCATGGCGCATTAGAGAATGCGAAAAAAACTGGGACTGAGGTGACTTCGTGGTTCTGGTGTTTAGCGCGTGCCTTTTGAGAGGCAAAAGCGTCTCTACCCACTTATGTGTACTCGAAGAAGACTGGTTTGTGTTGTAAACAGACGTCTACTCAGGCAAGAGACATGCGTTTGTCAGTTGTTTGTTATACCATGTCCTATTTCTGTGTTCTTGTCTTGGTCTCTTGTTTAACCACTTTCATATTCACATTAAACAATGCGTCAAACCCACTGCTGATGACCATCTCAAGGAAATAAGCCGTCTTGTGACGTTTAGTTTGTACGTTGAAATAAAGCATTGTTTCACTATCAGTGCATCCGTTTTTCTAACTAGCACCGTAGCACAACTCGCAACTTTTTTTCGAAACAAATTTATCCACGTGAATACATCGCTTATCAAATGTGATAGTGCCTTGGATAATATTCTCTGATTTTACTCCCAATTTTTCCCACACACCTCTGCCGGTTCACATCACTTTCAGATCTCCTTATTTCATTAGTTAAATCCTTTACGAATTCGCATTGTTGAATTAGCAAATCGGTGCTAAAACGTACTCTGGCGCATTTACACGCCTTAGAATGTAAACCGGAAATGCACACGCAAATCAACCAGAGATCTGACGGTGTACGCTGTGAACTTAGGTAGCACTCTCATGGATCAAAATCTGACTCTAAATTCACCGAGTGCCACTTATTGCTCGGTGCTATAACCTACTTTTAACCAACATACCATTGATGTGACTCTTGTGTCCTACAATGAAAAACTTAAGATCCTTGCTCTACCCGTGCCTTTGTGTCGTCAAAAAAATTCGCTACACGCACGTGACACCTAAGGTGACGGGACTTATTTGCTGTGGTACGTGGCCGCAAGTTGCGCCTTGTGTCCATACTTGGTTTTTTAAGCGTAGGGAGTGTCTTGCCGTTGTTAATGTTCCGGGTAAGAGGGTGGGATTGACCACAACAAACCACGTCCGCGCCGTGGTAGGATTTCCTGCTGGCAAAACGGTAATGGCAATAAATTTCGTCTTTACTTGGTGGAGGTCTTGTCAGAGTGACGTTTCACAACTGCAGGATGAGGATTTCGTTGTCATCATCTCTAAAGTAGAAGTGGCCCTGTGTAAATCATCTCTTCTGTACGGCTACAGCCATTAGTCTAACTCGCCACATTTACACGCTGTTTATTTTAATCCCTCCTTTTACGATTATTGTAGATGACCAAACCTTCCATCCAAAATGACTTCAGCTTTTACCGTAGACTGCGACAACGACGGAGACCTGTGACCGATCCCTCACAGCAGGTACACCTCTATTTCTTGACTCATTACTAGCCACATAATTGTGTCCCTCAAACACACTCATTCTTATCTATTTATAATTGTCAAATTTAGCAGCTCAACTGTTAGTAAAACGATCGCTTTTGTTTTACAAGCCACTAGTAGCGGTTCCGTCTGTGCTGAAAATTAAGGAATAATAGTGTGGGTAGTCAAATCTAGGATGCCGGATTTATGTGTGTTCTGAATTGTAAATCATCAAGGTGGTCAGAGCAGTGTAACTATGCCGATAATATTCCCTTTCAACAATCTCATCCATCGTTTATTAGTTAATCCGGTGACTGGCGCACAGTAGAAACAGTTGTCACGGCAGATATATTCTAAGCATAAAAAACCTCCACCAACGTTGAATGGGTTGTGTTCTCCTGCTGCTGCTTCTCGTGACTAATTAGGATAATTATGTTAGCGTGTGTGTGTGTGCACACACTTGGCAAGAACTTTTAGACGACCAAGATTTCCGACTGAAGAGTGCTCGGAGTCTGCTTAATTAGACCCTACTTTCCTCCCCCCCCTCTTCCCCCTAGAATGTCCCCTACTGTGTAGATAACACTGAGGCCTTCTTGAGGCAAGAAATGGAGGAGCTCAGCGACGAGTGTTGCAGCAAGATGTCCCTCTTCTACGCAGAGGCCACTCCCATGCTCAAACTCATCAGCCGATACGCCACGCAGTGTCATGTGGTGGTACGTTTTGCGTCTGCACTACTTCGATTTTCGTGCATGTAACCAGAAATGTCTGTTTCAACTAATATGCCTTGTATACGTGCGTAAAGTGGTGTGTATTTTCATGTACATTTTTTTTTGATGCGGATTCTGCAACAAATGGATGTGTCATTAGCGCTCGAGTGGCCTTTTATGTTCGATTTTGGCCTTACGCAGGTGGTCCCGTACGGGATCCTAATTTCGAAGTAATTTTATTTCCCTGTGGATTCACTTTACCGTGGTGAAAAGGGTGGCCACCTTTCTCCTCATTTCCCTGCTGTTGCCTTTTAGGTATTTAACGAAAATTTTGAGACCTCAGCAGTTTGCCTTCCTATTTCTGGCGTAGTCTTGGCTGTAAGGTGTCTGCCAGCACTGTCTGTTGTCATCCGATCTCACTCCTGCAATTAACTTCGAAACCACCCATCTGTTTATTTTTGCCAAGGCACGTGGTGACCTGAGGTCGTTAATACGTCAAATTGACTCACCCCCATATAAGTGAACCTCATTTCCGTGCGTTGTTTACGTGTTTTCGATCAGCGTGGTCTTGAGTGGCCGTCTGTGCCGGGACAATAGTAAAATTTCGGAACGTTTGAACTTTTTGATTTTCTTGGGACTGATTTAGGCTTCAGCTTCATTGTACTAAATCCGACTTTGTTTTAAAATTACCTTGCTGTTTGGCCTTTGCAACGCCTAATTTGAACAGTAGAAAAAGAAGAAGGAGAAGGAGGAAGAGCTTAGTGTGACGAAAGACAATTCTCTTGTTCCCTATCATAGCCTGGAACAACTGTTAACATCACCAGGATCTCTGTGTAGCCAATTTTACTCACTTTGAAATAAGGCTCTAATTTCCCTTTTTCGTAGATTCTGCAGTTGGTTTCCGGTCTAACGCATGCGCATCATCCTTCTTCATTTAAATGTCACCGTGGCGCCATTATTTTTGCGAACGCTCTGTTATGCCTACAGTTTAGTTTTCATTGAAATATACTCCATGAAGGTTCTTAGACTTGTTACATCGCACTCGAAAATTCCTGTGCTCTAGGAGGCCAACCCACGCATAAACGCATCTTGCATTCCCTGATTGTCACTCACAGGGCAGACAAACACGTCTGTTCTGTCCGACTGTGTGCGTGAAGTTGAGGAATGACATAACTTTTCTGTCGGGATGGTATTTTGTCGTTTTCTTCGAGAGGGCTTAACATTTACAGTTGAGTGAGCACAACTAGACCCCTTCGCTTTACCCCATTTGCGCCTTTCAGTGTCCTTATTTAGTCCGGTGCATTTCTAACGTGGCCTGGTTTGCAGTTGGTTGAACACCTTTATGCCTCTCGTCGTGGTTTCCTGTTCTTTTTGTTGGCTCTGGTAGGACTCCCCCACCCCTCACATTTGAGAACAGCAGTTGGGTGACTAATGCGTAGCGTGCATGCCTGTGTTCAGTTTTTGATTTCGGCGTTGTCCATTACCCAAACTGGCACATTAAGCGCACGCTTCAACTTTGACTTAAAACAGCGTTGTTTTCCTGAATTTCTCCATCCAATGTACTAGTGGTCTTGTGTTAAATGACTTCATCCACTATTACGCACCAAACAGAAATCTTTATGAACTCAGTCGACTATAGTTCGAAGTGGCTGGAAGAAGTCAATGCCACACTTCAGCATGGTGTAGTTGTATAGAGCGATTTCACGAAGTCCGAATGCTCTGTGACGTAAATATTGGCTGTTCATGTTTCCGTGGACATCTTCGAGCCCAACTAGGCCAGTTCTTTCTATGTTAAACAGGTTTGGGTTTCGGTTTTCTCGTATTGCTTGTGCGTAACCTACAATACTCTCAACTTGTGTTGTCTAAAATGATCTGCTTTTCACGTGACATCGCAATAGATCCGAAATATTGCCGTTCTTGGCAATGTGGGGAAGAACTCGTACGTGATGGTGAGTTGGCTCTGTGCTGGTTTTTTTTGCGCTAGTTCAATTTGTCCCTCCCCATCGTTACATATTTAAATTCAAATTACCAAGTTCAAAAGTGCTCTGTGGGGATCGAACTCCGTTGTCTTTTTTTCCATTTCACCACTAGCTATTTCTATGTCATAAGCACCTGAGGTGGTTATAAAGTTCTAACAAAATGATTTGGCATCAGGATCCAAAATGTCAATTCAGCACTACGGTGCCAGTAGAGCGGGCGTGCGTATGTGTTCGGTTAGTAGATTTACGGGGAAGTTTACGACTGACGAAATCCTGTCACTCGTGTGGCCGGATGTATGTGGCTATTAGTGACTTCTCGTGAATACGAATGTGTCACGAGAAGCGCGCAATCGTCTCTTATCCTCAGCTGACAGCAGGCTAATGCTTGTAGACCAGATCCAAAAGGCTTTATTCCGGATCACCCACTCTGGTGTTACCGCTACTTGTCCCGACGCTGCTCTGATGAACTCGGTCGCGACATGCATTGTGAGTTGAAAACCACAACCTTTTCGCCGTTTGCCTACCATCCAAGTCGTGCCTGTAAACTACGTTTAAAACACCAAGTTGACGTAAATTTGCCGTTTCGCCTTGTCTGTTTGCTTGATTGCCTGTTCATTTTTTAGGACTTGTAGTTCGCGTATTTTGGCTTACTCGTCATCCCCAATGTGTTGGTGCCTGCGTGGTTTTGTGGCGAAACGATTTGGCGCTTCTGCGTCGATGGTTTTTTCTTAGAATAAAATTCGCTGCATAACGAATACATGTGAGAAAAAGTCATAAAAAAGCATGATTTTTATGACCGAGCTATTAAACCTTTTGAAGGGTTTTATGTTCACTCCCGCATTCACTGACTGTTTCTCTAATCACAAAATTGGTTTATAATCCAGTTTACGAGTTAAATCTGTGATTCCTCGCCTGGTTAGCACGGGATTTGTAGTCCTCCTGCAGATACGAAAACGGTCGAAACAACCGATTGCATATCGTTCTGTGTGTGTGTGCGTGTGGGCAGCAGTGTTTACTTCTTTTGGGTGCAAATGGTCAAAACTGTTGTCTTTTTCCTCCCGTGTGTGTGCGTGTGTCTTTCTTCTCCACTGTCCCTCTACCCAGTTGTGCATTTTCGACGCCGTGTCTCAACGTTCCTCAATACTTACAAAATGCACACTGTGTGCTCTGATTAGATTAAAGCAATGCCTATTCCTTTATCCCAAATTCGAATCTGTAGTGGCTGTCATGTTGGCATAAGTAAACTGGATATTTCCCCGCAAACTTGGGTATATCAGTCGGTTTCCAGCTGGGACACGCCGCTTTCCGTAGAGCAGATTAATCTTATTGCATTGCCTTCTTCTAAGCATAGCTGTGTAGTTGTTTTCATGGAGTGTAACCCAAATGTTATGCTTGGACTTGTTGATTCAGGTACCTACCTGTTTTTTGCCTCGTTCTCTCTGTGGATTTTTGGTACGGATTTGGTGATCTTTTGGCTTAAAGTGCAAACGTGGGCCTCCAGCCACAGTTAGCTCTTATTTGACCTGTTGTACTTTTATCTCTCTTTTTCTTAAATATATGCGTCGTGGTAACAAGGCCACCAGAACAAATTTACTGTTTACGGAAAACACTTCTATCTTCGACGTATTAACCTTCCCGTAGTTATTGTTGGTCAGTTTTTTTTCTCTGAAACTGTGAATATCTAATGTCGCTGCTCAGATTTTAAATATTCTCTGTAACGCTGCATTTTGCATACAGGATGTTTTCCTTTATATTAAATCGCCTGCAATTTCTTCCTCATAATTTTTTTTCGAGTAGAACTGATACTTATTTGCACTTTACGGACCCAAAGTGTAGGTAATATTTGACCATGTTCTGTTGCGTAAAAGTGATTGGTTCTGCTACTAAAACGTTGTCAAGACGTCCATTTAACTGTATCCAATGAACTGGCCAGTCTTCACGCAAAACGCCCGTCACTTTCCAACAAGTCTCATTTTCAAAAACAGCGGTAACCATCTTGACCTCTTCACCCAATCAATGTCGTTACTGCATTAGCAAAGGCGAATTGCGGAATATGTTACAAGCACCTATTCAACGGCCAGTTTCCCTGCAATGTCACCTGCTTTTATACCCTTAGCCTACTGCTCGAACTAGGTCACTTACACCATCGTAGTACGGACTGCATCCGCTAAAAATTGTACAGTTTATGGAACGTCGCTTTGCTGTTTCTTCGAGGCTTCTATCTGACATACCATCGTAGTTACGCTTCACCCATCGTAGTTACGCTTTTTCGCTGGTCTCTTGAACTTTAGTTTTTTATCTAGGCGTAACATTGTGTCCATTCAGGGGTCTCGACATTAAACTCCCAGACAATTATTATGCTATCCCAACCGCTAAACACGACCTAGACGGCGGTGACGGTACATCACCTTTACGTGGGTCCAATTATCCATGACTGCTCGTCACCATGCTGTTACATGCAGTATGCATTTTGTGATGAAGTCTGAAGTTTTGTCCCCGTTCTATCCACAGTATGTGGCTCTTTGAATACCTTTTCTTTACGTTTACCACTACATGTACCGTTCCTTTTGCTGAAGTAATTTCCAATTGTGCATTTAGGCCTAAGTGGTGTCTCTCTCGCACACCCTCTTTCTGCCCCTGTCTTTGTGGTAATTAATCGACAAATGCCACCAATCAGTGCTCTCACATTAAATATTTTCGGTCCAGACATACCATCACGGCTCCTAGATTCTTTCGTAAGAAGTTAATTCGGCACTTGCCCGTGGAATCGGCTTCCCATTTTGGGGTTAAGCATGCACAAATAAAGGTCGTGCAGCCTTTTCCCCGAGTTGGTTCTGGCTAGAGTGACTAAACACCCTTACGTGATATTTCTTGACGTCCGTTGCATTTGGGCGCTCGCTCGAATCCCACCGCCGGTATCCCGAGTCGAGTTTGCTGGTCTACAGCGCTGTACCCTTGACCGCGACGAGATAAGCCTTGGTGACCTAGCTATTCATTGCAGACATTCAATAATTGCAATTTTATCCCAAGAATCACATTCTGGCACACTTTATACTTTAAGCATTTAGGGTGATTGTTACTTTGACTACGTTCTTCCACATTCGGTTTTTATGAAGTACAATGTAATTCACATTGCTCAAGTTACCGTTCCAGCTTATGTAAGTTTTGCAAATATCCTTATCTGTTTTAATGTTAATCTCCAATTGGTTTATCGCTCATCAACGGTTCCGTTCAAATCCCCCTACACACACAAGTGTTGAAGCTCATGTTCAAGTCATCGCTTTGACATTTGTCAGCCGATGTCCTATTCACCTCAAACCACCGCCTCTTTGAAACTGCCTAAGACGGGAATTTATGTGACCCAAGGCGTTTCCAAGCCATCCTGTGTACCAGAACAAGCCTGATACCTTTTTGCTAACTTGCCGTTGGGGTTATCTCATGGCTCTAGCTCTGCCGCGTCTTTTTGCTATGCTGGACGTTGAATTAAAATCTGCCATTGTGCTGGCGCGACTTGAAAATGCCTTTGCCTTCTCTAGGATGTAACAATTCCCATGGACGTGACCTCAGAGTGCTTGGCTGCGATGGCGCACATATGTCGCGGTTTGCTGGTGAAACCGGGCATGCGGAGTCGTGTGACCCGCGACGACACCCTCATGCTTCTCTTGCGGGTCATGACCGGCGTCATCATTCTCTACGACCATATTGACCCATATGGCGTTTTCCGGAAGACGTCTAAACTCGACGTGAGTTCTCCCCATTTCGTCTGCCTTGAATCGATTTACGGTTCTACTATTCTGGTGTTGCCTTGAACTATTTTAGCTCTACGAAGCAGTAGTATAATTTGTGATTTTACCACGTGACCACGGTCGGTCTGACTGCCGTACTGTGCAAACATTCTAGACAAATAAATTAACATCCTCGCCGATTGTAAATGTGTTTACCAAATTCGCAGTCAGTTTTTTTATGCCAAAATTTTGACAATTTAGGGAGAATAGTAATTGTGAGGACCGCCCCTCGTCAATAAACTCCGTTCACAAGGCAGGATTCCTTATCCTTACTAGCACAATATTGAACCATTTCTTTGTTCATTTTAAAACTGTCATTAACTCAAATGAACAGATGTGCTCGATAAACGAAACAAGCTAAAAAAACCGGTATTGTCCATTTCTGAAGTTCATTTCCATCACTGTTTGCTACCCATGCCTGGACTGCGTTCACCGACAACCTCATCGGTTCTTTATTTTTACAAAAAAAACACCTCATAGTCAACTGGATTCTCGAGATGTTTTGTTCAAAATCTTTGAAAAAAATGTGTGCACGCAGACTACGATGAGAAGCGTTGACTCTGGTCGGCCGCCTGGTCGTTTTGCCGTTCATGACAGGATCATTTTGCTTCCCTTTTTATGTGAAATTGGACTCCATTCACTCGAACCATCAGCAAATAACTTAAATGATTCCATGTGCCCCGACTTCACCTAACTGACATCTGCTCATGTCAATCAAAAAAAAAGAAGCCAAGTTAAATGTGTAGCGTCACAAGCCGCGGCGTCAGTTGCGTTTGGATGCGGCTTGAACTCTGGTCACGCAGTATTTTTTTCGTAGAGGTCCATCGACTCGCGTAATTTTGCCATTGTAGACTATGCGGTTGCGGTTTGCCATCCTAGTTACTTGAGCATAAATTGAATTTAAACTTACCCTTCTCCCTGTCGCATTTGCATCAGGGAAGTAACGAGAGCATTGTATTCTGATGACTTACGGAATGCACTATGCATTAGTTTGTCTAATTACGTTGGCGCTCGATTGCATTTGACTAGTTTGGTCTTTATTTTTGAACGTTTGACGTAAAAGCAAGACCGTCGTTAACGTACGACGCAGTATTTCACTGTCCTCACATTGACATCGCCACTGTCGTGCAACCACTACACCCACGCCGTGCCCATTGACGCAGTGGCGACTGTCTCGCCGCTCTGGCTCTCTCTGCAGCCATGCGCCTCACGCGTGCTTTGTCTACCTTGGTGTCGGTCGGTGACTTTTCATGTTTACCTTATCCGTACCCCCTCAATGCCAGATATTTTACACCATTCTATCGAGGCTTAGTAGTCTTCGGTTACCACCCAGATGTGCCGCTTCTCGGCTACGATGATTGACCAAATCGCTGTCGACTGTCAGGCCCTTGCCTTTCCGGAAATGTGTAAAATTTGCCAACCCACTGGTTCCAGTAGCGATGAAATTGTAGTAGTAAGCGACTTGGCTGTTGGAAAAGCTGTTCACCTCTCTACCTCATTTATTTACAAACCTATATTAGTCTTTAAATGATGCCTTCATCACAATAGAAAATCTTCAGACAAACTTAACCATGCTGTATATGCACTGATGTCATCATCTAGTTTAAGTTTCTTCTTGAGGTTGTCCTTTGATACGATCACCAGCCACAACCACCGCTTGCTGGATTCTGTTCTACATAGTTGACATTGCAAAGTTCAGAGCACGTTGTAAATTTGAACAGTTTCGAAATGGATGCAAACTGTTATGATTACTTTTGACTAGGGCCAATCACCCATTTAAAACGCAGACAACAATGAGGTGTGTACGTGAGGTCGTGTCACTCTAAAATGCTGGGTGGTAATCCGGGGGGAGAATGTTTGAAAAGCACAGTACGGTGTCCTATTAGTCCTAGCCGCACTGTCTGCGTTCGACACCCCAGTTAAACAAATATTCACGTATTCGCTGAGGTTCTCACGAGGTGACGGGTGTAATGCGTCGTTTGTCAGCAAATCAAGTGTGTGAAAATAACAACTCAATTCACTTTCGTTGCCACTTTTGTGACCTTGGGCTTTGGTGTTTCCGAATACACACGCCTCTCTGATTCCCCGATCTGGCCGCATTATCTGTAAACACGCCACCTCGTAGTTTCCGTGGCTAGACCTAAATGCAACACCCCACGCCCATCAATGATATTGATTTTTTGGAAAGCCAGAATTCTCTTTTTTTCGATATTTGCTGCTACACGTTTGTTTTGATCTCACAGTGTCCCCTGCTCAGTAATTGATGCAACAGCCAACATGAGTTCTTCAAATACTTGCTTAATGACAGTGGTTTGTTGGCCGTCAAGTCTTAAATTGAAGAACTTTAATGCACTTTCTGGTCGGTGTTCTTATAGTTTGTAGCAAATCTTTTTCGTGCGCACGTGACATGTTGGTAATGAAATCTGAGACGCATGCGTCACCGTGTTTCGCAGTTCCTTGTCCTCTGGGTCAAAGGTGCGGTAATTCATATTTATCCCAAAAACGATTTTGTTCACATTCACATGATTCATCTAGCAACTAAAAGTTTCCATAATGTGTGCTTTTAATCGCTTCCGAGGTGCCTAATTTTATAAAAACGCACTTTGTTGCTGCAGTCGCCGTAAAGTTGTTCAAAAATGTTTACTCTATCACTGTATATGCACTTTTACATTATGCATTTCTTGCGCTATAGACGCAAACGTGATCCGTCAACTTTTGGGGCCACACTGACAGCCTACAAAAAATCAAGTCGCGCAAGCGTGCTGCAGTAAATAATGCGCCCCACATGCGATTAAAGTCAAAAACCTATATGTAGAAGTCGGGAAGTGTGCGTTAAGGGATGTCTATTTACAGTGGGGCAATATTTCTGATTAAATGTCTTGTTTATCCTGCCCTTCGATTCCTCGTCTTGTCGGCACTGTTAAAAATTGCGTCTTAAACAACTTTAGTATGCAGTGTCTAGTAAAAAGTGGGCTTTTTGGACACATTGTGAGCCCCTGTTTCCTGTTTGTTTACTTATGGTGATCCTTTGGAAGTCTTTTCTGACTTGAATTAGTGTCTAAGGCTTACTCTCATGACCGACATTGTTATCATGTGACAGACGATATTCAGGTTGAGCTAGTTTGACGGCAACACTCCTTCACATTTCTCAGTTTTATGTTTACAGGGGTTCGCAGAAATTATAGGTAGTTTGTGGCGTCAACCGTTCACTAAAACTTGCGTGGATTTTTCGTCATGCTCAGCAATTCACAGGGGCCATTCACTTTCAATCACGCACGCGCACACACACACACATGCAGAATGTAAACTACCGTAAAGTTTTATTGTGCGAACCGCGAGATATGCCTTCTCTCCTGACCGAATGTAAACCGCCTTAGTTTTTTTTTCAGCCTTTCGCTGAATTATCCCTTAACAGCAGGCGAGTTAATTAGACGTGTCCGTTCACGGTTGCACTTATCCTTCTTTGTGGTGTTGTTTACTACAGTCATGGCAGCATCCCAGAGCGATTGACTGGGCGGTTTAGGATGTTTTCTGCTTGCATGGATGACTCACTGTCACTGGGACCAAGTTGGTTCGACTTCGTCTATCATGGGTGTCGTTTTGGGGCCTGGCTCCGTGTGTGTGCTGCCCACTGCGACCCATTTCAAGTCTCTAGGTAGAACTTACGCCGACGATTCTGGCAGTCCAGTGTGACGCTGGAACGAAATTGGGGCGTGTTCATGACCACCCCAGTGGAAATTTGCCTTGGCCTTGGTTTTACGTCGGTCCACTTATAGGATAGGCTAATTACCACGTTGCAGAATTTATACACTCGAAGTTGGGGCGTGACACACTCTAATGCTGTATGGCTAGCTGGAGGATTTCCATGTACCTTGAAGCTGAACTTCAGGTTATCCTCAAATTCCACTTTCCGTCCTGTTTTCTTTTTGTTTTTTGTTCGTTTCACTTGGATCGAAGTGGTTCCTTGAGTTGTGTTTCTTCTGTGGCAAAAAGTACGAGACCCTCGGGTCTAAAATCCTCTTAAGCCAGTTGGCCTATTGAGTTAACTTCAATGTGTTCACCACAGTCGAGTATCGTTTTTTTTTATTTTTCGAACGACCACACACCCTGTTCAGATAGTGGCTTAGCGTGTATGTACTCAAATACAGTTGATCGCAGATCTGTTGTAGATTTCGCCATCCAATGTTGCAGGCGCTTTCCAGTGCACTTGCTTCTCTCTCACCTCCGACATCATCCAACCCCATTTTTTGTTCGTCTTTGTGTTGTCGCGTCCTGCCCTGGGAAAACCGTTGTGTAATGATAAAATAACTGTGGGGTGTTCACTGCCAACGCTTCGCGCTTGCCTCATTGTAGACCGAATTGGCGAGGAAGGTGCCATTGCCATCACGCATAACGTGGTTTGCATGTCTATGAGTTGCCTGCGCTTTCCTAAACCGGTTGGAATTCACGCTATCGTGCTGCCTCGTTTCAATTACTGTTACGTGTTCGTTTGGTGTGTATGCGATCATCCACTCCCGAGTCCCACTGATGCAGATTTTTCCCGCCGTTCACAGTGCGATCCCACACCAGCCGGAGCAGCAACGCAGGTTGTCCTGTTTGTGTGAAATCGTCTGTATAAAAATGCGCTAGCACCAAACATTCGGTGTTGCCACCTTCCTCATTCATTTATCATTGATCCTTTCTTGTGTGCCGATTATTCTCAAAGTTGCATTGATTTATTGTTCAGAGCTTTGTCTATGCCCTAGGGCGTAAACACAACATGATATAAGTAGCAAGAATGAGCTAATTTTCTTCTATAACCAACGGTGGACAATATTCCGTCATTTCTCCACAGTTTGCACTTACTTGTCAAGGTCGGCGTGCCTGTCATTCCAATTCATCCACTCTCATCGTTTCTTCACCCAAATAAACGTAATCCACGCCCAAAATTCATCTCTTTCCCATAACGGTCCATCCATTAGAAATTGAACTTTAGTAACAGTACGGCTGTGTGTGTTCATTACTTCGTTTGATTAATCTCAACATTTAGTTCACTATGCGGGTTCTATAAACAATTCTGTGTCATGGCTCTCATTGTTTTCAAACCTCTCGGTTAACGAGGATATTTGCGAGTCGGCCGCCCTTTCTCAGTCCCGCTTTATGTGCCCTGAGATTGCTTCCTGGTTTCAGTATGCATAGGCCGGCAGTAGGTTATCAATGTTTAATACATTTCCCTCACAACCGTAACACAAAATGTCGCCATTTTATGTTTTCTGTGCGTCTAAATGAGTCGCCATTACTCGACGGCTCAATTTTGCATTTGGTCTACTGGGCTAGCGAATCAGTGCCGTTGAAGTTTGGTAAATAGAGGGAGAATCGTTTTAATCCATCCCGTTCACGTTCGTCTGTTTTGTTACCTCGATGGGATTCATAGTTGGGGCAAATTGCACGCCCCCTCTTGAAACGGGTAGCTCTGCACGCACATAGGCCAGTCTAGAGCAGTCAGTTGTCTTTGTTTACCTTCTTTTCTTTTGTTTCAGGTAAAAAGTTGTGTTCGTTTGCTGAAGGAGCAAAATCCGAAAAATGTCCAGTGTTTGCTCAACGCCATCAAGTATGTTCCTCACTTCTATCGCTGCCGGAAGGTAGCTGCAGATTTTGGACCTGACTTTCGGGCTTTCAGTTGAGCAGTAATCCGAACTGTTTTACAACATGTGGTTAAACTATGCCATTACGAACCCCATATTTGACGGTACTTGCGCCTCACAGTGGATAATACGACCCAACCCAATTTTATAATCACCTTGTATTCTGCCTCATTCCGTGGAGAATTAAGTCAGGGTAGAATTCGTGGCAATATGTACAAAAATGGGGCTGATCTATTCCGCCAATATTGGCGTATTCCCTGGAATAGTTTATGTTAGACCTCCTGGCAACTCATTACGAGTCGAAACAGCTGTCAATGTCAGGATGTCTTTGTGACTCATGCGTACTTAATCACCCCGTACTGCCACGTTGAAAGGGTGCTCGTCTGGCACCCGGAGCTCACAGTTATTCAGCCCAAGTCTGATTGGTTAGTGCCTCGCCTCGTGGTCTCAAGTTAGTGTCCCCATGCCTTGCGTCCCTTTAACTTGCCTCTGATTCGACTAATCAGCGAAGTCATTCGTGGGTGTGTGAGTGAGGGAGATGCTCGTGTCTGCCACTTTCTTCTTTCGGCGTTGGTGTGAAGACGTACCGAAGTACCGCGTGTACACGCGAAATTTTCAATGGTGTTGCTAGGCTTATTTCAGTAATATTTTGGTGCCAAATTGGTTAACCTTTAGTGGAAATTTTTTGGTTCCTATCTGAGCACGTCTCTTTCATATCAACCCAAAGTCTGTATTTCGCCGATGAGAACCGGTGTGAGTATGCGTCGTTGTTGTAAGAAATGAAAAATAAGCAACGCTCGTGAATACACTACGCCCTCTCTCAACAGACGCTGAGACTCCATTTTTAGGAAATAATTCATTTTTTTCGACTTGTTACCTTCAATGAGTTCATGAATACTACCCTCAGTGACGTCTTATAACTTGTCGCGTTTTTCTCGATATTTCTAGCAAGATTTCGCTCACTTAAAAATCAGACTCATGTACAAGAAAGCATCCGAGGAAGTGCGTGTAAAGCATACCTAATGGGCGTGATCCTATCTCGTGCGCCCTCAGTTTTGGCCACTTAAAATAGTATTTTAGCCGTACTATTTGCGTCATGCCTCCTTAATTAGCGCCACAAGGTCTGTTTTGCTGGTTTAACATTCAGCCTGCGAAACTGTCGTTTTGTTTTCAAGGCTGTGGTGTTTTCGGTCCGTGAGAGTGTGTTCGTGTTATGCGTCCTCGCTGCATTCCCGTTTATTCGATAATATCCTTGAGGACTTTCAATTTACCGATATGGCTTAGTCAAAAAATGTGTGATCCGCTGAGCAGACACTCCGCACTTTCGTGTGCTTTGTATTCTCTCTACTTTTGGATATTTTGTGAGATTTTATTCGTCTATCTCCTGTCGTACAGTGTCCCTTTATTTGACTTGCAATTCTCAAAAAGGTAGCCTTCGTGCTAATCCAAAAAAATGCACAGGGTTCCTTTACATTGTGCTTCTTGACACATATAAAATTGCTTAAATTGGGCCTTACGTCTGTAGGTCCTCGTCCAAGCGGAACTCTCGCTTGAACATTACTCGCTCTACGTCTGTTAAACACTAGCATTCAACACATCCGCCTGTTAGCATAAACCCAGGTTTCGTGTTGCCTTGTACAAAGGCAATCTTAAGAACCAAACAGTCCATAAGGCACCCTTAAATGACGGATGTGCGTAGGTTAAATGCCTTAATGAACATACAATTAAGGGTAATTAATGACCAGCTCGTAAGGAGTTCCTTTTTGACAGGCGCGATGGTAGCAGTCTTGGCTCCTCTCCCCGCGCCATAATGGTGTCTTTGTGTGTTTCACCTCAACAGCAAATTCGTTAAAAGGGGAGATTTTCTTCCGTTTATGTTAGGTGTTTTCTTTAAGAATAACCTGTCTGCTACCTTCTGCTATTCAAAACATGTTGATGGCCCACTGCTACGGTCAGCGGCACCGGTACCAAACGTCACCTGCAAATTACGCAACTGCCCTATTTGCCTCTCCTTTTCCAGGTACTCAACTCTACACTTTACTGACGAGACAACTCCACGTGTAATCAAACAGCTCCTCGCCAGCACCGCATAGCCACTTCCTCCTGACTGATTGTGTGTTTCCGTGTTTCCCCCTCCAGCTCCATTCGCCCCATCCTGTTTTACACAAAGCACCTCTCCTCCCCCCTCCCACACACACACACACACGCACGCACCTACATTTGTACAGGCCACGCTCACCCCACCACCCACTTCAGTGCTCTCTTTAAACAGGTTGTTATACCAGTCGTTGCACCCCGTTGTACCTCCGAGTCCCCATAAATCACTTCTGCTTACATGACCCATACTATCTATATGGCAACCGTCTTAAGTTTCCTACGAGTGCTGTTGTTTTTAACACAACAATGGTTGCCTACAGAAGGTCGATGTTGCGTTGTTCCCCTGTCGTCACGTCAGGTTGTCATTCAGCTCGTTTGTTCTATGTGGTGAGAAAAAAAGACCAATTTGGTAGGCACGCGTAGATTCTAATCGTGTGTACTACGGTGTTTATGATAGAATTTTCCATGCAAAAATTGTGCATCGTAGTAGATTTGCCTGAATTACTTTCGCTCTGCGCTGCACGTTTAGTTCTGACTACTTGTTGTGTCAGTTTTGTATCAGTGTGTGGTGTGGTTTATCCCCGAGTAAGTGACTTTAGTTGTGGTCGACTTTCTCAACTTCTTTAACCCCATTTTTTCTACGTGCATTGGTCTAGCACCTTGATGGGGGTTTTCTGTCAAATTGGCCCCTTTAAGCCGGAATTTTGCAATCCAATAGTCGCGTTCGACAACTGTTTTCCTTAGCATGTTTTAGGTAAATTATTCTGATGCTTGTGAAATGGCGTGGTTTTGATCAAAACTTCAAATGGTAGTCTTTTTAATTTCATTCCGGAAACGCTGACATAATTGTCTAGGAATTGGAAAGGTGATATGAGCGTTGATATTAGCTTGTGTATTTCTCCTGAGAAATGCCAAAAATGGCGAACTTGCTGGAGGTTCTGTCTTCGTAACCGGCTAGGTTCGGTGGGAGTATGAGCGTTGGTTTAGTAACAGTTTTTCGGCTGACACGCAGCGGCAGCTAATTGTTGCGCCTGATGCTACTTCCTGTTTTCTCGGTAGAAATGGTTTTCATTCCACGGGTTTCTGGAACTAAATGGTTGAGAGTGGCGCCTTTGGAGCGAAATTTGCAGCGACGCAGGCAGTGAGCTTGGTCCTGTTTGGCTGGAAGACGACACTCACCCGCTGTTCATTTCCGCCTCCTACCCCACCTGTGATTCCCATGCTGCCGTGTCCCCAATCCGGTGGTTGTCTACTTTTTAATTGGTTTTCCCCGTACACATTAGTCACCCAATAAAAGTCATTGTCTTACCGACTGGTGGGTTTCTGACTGCCCAGTTTTCAGCCATCGCCGCTGCTGCTACACAATCTCAAGACATCCCTCAAATTCTTTACGCCAGCAGCCGTTTTATCCTCTTAACTGGAGGCTAAAAAGATTGTGTGGTATGGGTATGAACTAGCTGGCGGCCTGAGAGACCTCTTCGATTTCGCATGCACGTTGATAGTTCATTCTCAACAAACACCACAACTAAAAATAAGGAATAGGCGCAACTCGTAGAATTCGTGATGTTTTAAAATCTTACTCGAATCCTCAGATACAGCAGGTGACACTTGTCTTCGTGACGATACGAAGCGAATGAATTCGACTTCGGCTTTAGTCGTAGTCAAGGCAGCTTCTCAAGAAATAATCTGAAATGTTCTTCTAAAGCCTTTTTCTAAGAGATATCTTATTCAACGTGGCTGAGAATCGATGCTTTTTTTCGGTTTCAGTCTTACTCAATCACCATATTTCTCTGTTGTTAATTGAAGGAAGTGGTTTTATGCCTCGTCAAGTAGTAAAATGGTGCTAGTTGTCATGGTGGTGTTGTAGGTGATTCAGCGTACGCAGCATGCTTCCAGAGGTTTGGCATCAAAGGTGCACTGCGGGCCTGCTATCTGTCACCAGGGGGACGGAAAATATCTGGACTGTGACCGATTCATATTTTTATTTGACACGCTGACTTGCTGATTCGCTGATTGAGTGTCAGAAGTTCATGCGCCCCATGCTTGCTTAATCACAATATAAGGAAATCTTTTCTCTATCATGTCTTCATTGGTACTGCTTGCTTTTGCTAACACCTCAATAAACGGCAGTAGCAAAAAGTGTATTACGTCTCACCATGGCAACGGCTTACCACACGTTGCCATGGTTATTCGGCGAAATCAAGTAACATTTGTCTATCATAAAAACTAAACAAGCTAGTATCCTGGAGCTTTAAAAACGTCTAATAATGATGCGAATTCACCCGGCTACCCGGCAAAATTATGCGTTATTTATAACCATAGAACCAGGTAAAAAGGCGGCGGTGATAGGGTAACTAGACCAGCGCGCAAACGTGTATTCCTTCGCTGCGTTTGGCCTGTCTTTGTTGCGTGGGCGTTCTCATGGCGGACATGTGAACAATAAAGACTGGTTGCGTGCGGAAACCAATGAAAATTATGTGGAGTCACAGGTGCCAATCACTTTCCGCCATGCCTGTTCGAGCTGGTCACGCCCTCGCTGACAGACCGCCGGGACTACTTGCCAAAACTACACGGTCCGGATTTCTGCAAAGGACTCTGTGAAAGACAACGGGGGAGGGATCTGCCATCTAGCGAGAAGTCGGAATGATTTAGCACACGCTACTAGGGTCAACACTCATTGCCATCAAATCGTCAAAACGTTTCCACGATGTCACTGCTCCTTCAACTCAAACGGTGCCATTGTAAAGGCCCTGATGATCCAGAAATCAAATCTAGATTAAAATATGTCCGTGTTTAAGCCAATTATCATTGCTTGGTTTAGCAGAAGAAGGGAAGCCCCCTCTGGAAAACTCCTTTTCGTAATTAGATTAGCCCAGTTGTGAAGTGCGACTGGTTTGTTCCATGGAATGCCTCAGTAGTTACAAGAGAGCGCTCGTATCACCGAAAAGACTTTAAAAATGCACGGTTGGGAATTTCGCTCAAACAAACGAGTTCTCGACAGGATTGCCACATTTTAACCTAACATTAGAATCGAATCGTCTGGTGATGCCGAATAGTTAGTAGTGCCAGTCCCTAATTTGTTTGACAGGAAAATTATCACCAACGCTGCGTACCTTTTGCAAAGAATAAACTCGAAATTGTGAATATGATTAGTGCGTAGAGAGCATCTGAAACATGAAAATGCATAGGTTGGGATAATTATCAGTTGAAACCTGAAGCATAACACTTACATGTGTGGGTTTTATTTGCCAGACAAAAAATACATTAAAGGCGCAAATCTGCGGCTAGGAGAATTTCATTCCACTGTGGACTTACACTGGGGTGAGACGATAATCTAGTGATGCAATTAAACCAAGTGGTGAAATTGTGGGCTCCTTGAGCAAATGAGATAAATTTTCCGGTTTTATCGATTTGAAAGAGATCGATGACAATATAGGTTAATGACTTATTTTGGCAAGAGGATATGCTGACGAAAAAATGGGTAGACATTCACAATTGTGGTTTTGACATAAAAGGCAAGCATGTAGAAAATTCACTCCAAATAACTTACTGGCACGAATTTTCAGAGTGGCTTTAGTTGCAGTTTCAGTAACCACTGAACCGATTTGTCAATTAAATGTCAGGTATTTTATACAGTGATGATATTAACGCAGTCGACCTCGATGTGTCAATCTGGACAAGAGGACTCAGCAAACAGGTGTTGCTAACTAGACTGTTCATCGAGATCAAGAAATACATCGGAAACAGTAGGAATTTTCCCATTTTATAATGGGCCATGCATGCCTCACCTGCTCCCAAACCCTATTGTCCACTACAACGAGCATTTGCGCTGTCTCCAGAGGTTACCATTCATTGGCCACACTGGCGTTCTTGTGGAAAATGCGCATTAGGCTGTGAAAAGTAATTTGAAAAACTACATACAGAAATTTTCCAGTAATAATTCTGTCAGGCCCCATTTAAATAGTCCATTTTAAAATTAATTTTCAGGATATCACTACCAATGACTAGAAGACGCAGTACTCTGAAGAAGCTAAATCGTAGTATGGACAACCGTCCTAAAATTAGTAAACAAAATTCCTTTTTATTACGAGGTTGTAATCTAGCTCAACTAACCCCAACGTTTCTAGTCTATACCACCTTCTTCACGCGTATTCGATGAGGATGAGTATGTGATGGAATTTGCGATACATTTTTGTTTTTTTTCGTAAATCATGATATGGAACCATTCGAATGCACTTGGAACCTTGATTTGTCGGCTTCCTCTCTCTTGTAACCTCGGGGAGGGTTCTTTGTGCCGGAGGTTTCACTACTGTGTCACCATGCCGAGACTTCGAAATACCGATGGGGTGACGACCAAACTCTCCTAAGCACCGTGCTTCGTGAGAGCTAGAGTGGTTGCATGGAAGGGACCTTCGACAAAATGATGGGCCTACTGAGAAATTCCATTAAGAGCACAGGCTTTACAAGCTTACTTGTTGATAACAAATCAACGTCACTGTTGAATCTGATTCAGAACACTGAAAACCACCTGGTTTTATGCAAGGCTTTATCCTTCTTGTCTTTTACCCCACAAATTTTCTTTTAATCCAGATCGTGTCATGTGTTGATTGTATAAGGGTAGACTAGTAAACCTTCCATACCCTCCCACCTCAAATGGGCAAATCATGGTTGTATCATACCCGGATTCAGATCTCAATCAGGTGAGAGCAGAGTCTATTCTCAACTGATAACTTCCTACGTTTCAATGTCTTCCTGAAGCCGACTCAACAACCACTGGACTTAAATTGTTCCCGTGAACGAAAAAATATCCAACTATTTATGGTTCATAAATTCGTTGATATTTCAACAGAAATTTATTAAAATTGAGAAATCGGCAATACCTGAGTTCACATGAGTCAAGTGATGACAGGTAGCTATTATGCACATTACTAATTTCCATTGCACACTTATCGACCATGATTTCAACTTGTGCCGTGTTAAGCAAATTGCTGTTGTT